TAATTTTATTCGTATTTTAAATATATATCCAAAAAGATACATTGCCTGAAGATCTTGCTTCCGTCTACATTTTATGTGAATCCAAAAATATTACATTGCTAGAAGTTTCTTGTTTCTTTCAACATTAATAACATATGCAATGTGGCAATTACTATGATAATAATAAACGCAGTTGTGCCTGACCCTGATATTGAACTGGACATAAAACCACAAAAGCTGATCGACATAATCGCAGCGTGTACTTTACTTCTGGTATTTTTCTAAGCCTTACACTTATACGCCAGACTACAGATTCTTGGACTACTACGTTGTACGAATTCCGGATGTGTACATGTGCTGGAAATGATTTTCCGCAATGAACCGTACTGGCTTGGTTGCATGTATATTTATATATATATATCGAGAGCATTTATAAGACGCATGTATCGAGCATATTATATCCAGAACTACCGGGTTGCAAACCCTGCTTGGAATCGATGGACGTTTCGTGTACGCTGCTGATGTCCTGCTGTCAACCGACCTGCTCTCAGCAAACTAAGTACAATAATAATAATAATAATAATAATAATAACGGCACGACCGCCACCATGGTCACTGCGAATAAAAAAATTAAAATTAAAACACTCACGAACTTGAAATTGTAATGGATAGAGTTCCATTACAATTTCATTACAGACAGTACCAAGTTTAGAAATTTCGTTTTTCGATTGCGTCACTGTGATTGTCATTAACGCTTTAGCCTTTTTGAAGTGCATTTCCTATAGCTGATAGCATGTTAAGTATTTTGGATTTTACCGTTTATTAGACGACTGCCTGCTGATTGACTGAGTGAGTTTTTTAATTGCATTGTTCGTGAAATGGAAAGCAAAAATATAACAACGTTGAGTTAAACATTGTGGGTACGCATTTTATAATTGCTAGTACATGTTACACGGTACTAATAATTAATAGGTACAGTAGGGATATAAGAATAAGTAGTAGGTACTTAAAGTATATCTACAAATTATAGTAGGTAGGTATATTATTAATTATACATTTTTCGGACTGTGCTTGATTTTTTGTTTAAAGTGATTTTATCATTCAGTCATTTTTTTGTGATTAGTTTGCACTGATTTTTGTTTTAGATTTGTGAATGAGCTAGAATATTAGCCAGAAACTTGATATGTTTACTAGCCACCTTAAACTAGCTTGATACTGCTTGTTAATATACTATTTTATTATCTATAATTCCACCACTATACTACATTTATTCGGTACTTCAACGAGACATGAAAATGCTCTTTTGACTATTATAAAATGAAATATATCAACGACCAGTTAACAGACAACTTTATTTAAAACAACAAAAAAAGTTAAACCGTACCATGTTGGAAGTCGAGTAACATGTACAGTTTTTGGGAGTTTTCTTGTATTTCCCCGCCCTAATATGCTTTGTTCCCACTGTAATGTTTTTTTAGGGGGGGGGGGGTTCTAAGACTTCCCCCCCCCTCAAAAAAAAATTGTGGTCTATTCAAATAAGAAATGCCTAAAATTTCAGATCCCTAGCTCAACTCTCGAGTACTTCAATATCGAGACATTTTAATAATTAATTTAAACAATTTTTACTTGAAAAGAATCAAAATTTTTACAATAAAAAAAAAATTTAAGCTGAAATATGATACTTTAAAATCCTTCTTATGTTAATTTGTAATAACATTTTTTTTGTTGAAAATTATGGAATTATGAGTTTTATCAGTTTCAATAGGCTGCTCTAACGGGATAAATTGAATTTGTAACCCAAAATATCAAAAGAAGGATTTTCAAGTGTAATATTTCTTTTTTTAAATTGTAAGAAATGTAATTAGTTTTCAAGTAAAATTTTTTTAATTAAAAATTAAAAGTTCCCTTGTTAATCATACTCAAAAAAAATTAATGCAAAAAGCACTTAGAGTTGAGCTGAGGTTATGAACTTTTGGAAATTTCTTATTTGAATAAACAGTAAACTACATTTTAGATAAAGTCGTATTACATAATATATTACAAAATTATGTTTTTTTTTAAACCGCAATTGCATTCAATTAATTGAAAGTTACTTGAATAATTGATTATTTGGATAACATTTTATTTTAAATATAACGCACAAATTTTTCCATAAAAAAACACCTTTTCTAGATAATAAACTAATGTTAATTGTTAAATTGATAATCAATATCCTTGCACGAAAAAACCATTAACCTCATTAACTCAAATTCAAATTTAAATACTTGAAAAACGCATAGCTTAAGCACACTTAAATTTGTTATTGAAATTGCACCTCTGATTATTACTATTAAGTAATTTAAAAATGCACGCTAAGATTTTCAAGGGATCAAGTTTCAAACTATAAATTTTACACTAGAATTTTGTTTTTTCATACAATTATTTTTAGAATCGACCCCTTTTGAATTTTAGAAATTAGTAAAAATGTACTTAACAAAAAAAAACGAACTTTATTATCACAGACTCCTTAATTGTTTCGCGAAGAAAACTGTATCCCTTTATGTAAAAAAAACGTTAATTATTTGTTTCTGACCTTTAAAATACCAATTATATCAGATGGAGTGTACCTTTTTTTAACCCTGATGACCGTTACGGAGGATAAAGAAAGTATTTTTTATCTAGAAAATATGTTTTTTTCTTACTATACTGAAATAATTAATGATTTAAATAAAAGTAAAATAGTTAAAAAAGAAAACAAACGATAGCTTATACAACTTAAAAACAGACTGTTTACGAAATTAATACCTATGTTAAATTTAGAAAATCATGACCGCGGTGTTTAAAAAATCCTGAACAAAAAAAAAATAAAGAATTATAAAATGTTTATAAAGGCTGTCCACAAACAAAATTGTTTTATTTAAGTCAAATTATTAGCTCAAGTATTATTATATATATATTACAGCCCAAGTGGAAAAATCGGTCATTGTAATAGAATGCCCAAACCAAATATATATACATGCAATTATTAAATAAAAACTACGTATTTCGGCGACTATGTTGCCATCTTCAGCTCCAAGTGCTAACGACAAACTGATGTTAGGCGCTGAAACCCTAATTCAATTTAGTATTATTGTACAACTATTTCGATTATTTTTCTGAAAGTTGAAGCCAGTTGTATTTTAAAGTTGGAAAGTCTAACAATATTTAAAGGCTATTTTCGATTTTGAGGAGGGACTGAGAAGGGCTGGAATTTTTCAACTTTTGGCCCTATACAGTACTTTTATTGTACAATTTTTAATTTATAGATTGGTTTTACGAAAAAATTAGTTAATTTTAAAGCAAATAAACTGTAGCTTATATTTTTTAGCCAAATGCCACTTCTCCTCTCTTTCTCCACGGTTATACGTTAAACGGGGTTTTGATACAGCAATACATACTATTACTTTGCGCTGGATTCCTTATTTAAATATTTATAAATATTAAATGTATTGTCTTTTTTTTTTCGTATCGTATAGTGTGCTATAATGTGTAATTACAAAAGCAATTAATAAAAAATAAAAATACATATTACATACTAAACATAACTTCAAACTATTGTAGAACACGCATTCGTACTTCTAACAGCCATGACTGCCTACTGCCTTTATATAAGCTTTAACAGTCGACAAAATTACAAACCCACAGAGCAGTATAATACGTCACATTTAAGTACATTAAACGGCGCGGCGGTACCACCACCACATTGCTGCTGTCTTCTCTTTTGACCCATGCCTTTAACCTCTTTTCCCTCACCCACACTTATTCATTATTCCCTTTTAATCCTACACGTATTAAGTTGACCAAATACCGATGTGCCTATATAATGACAGACACATAGGTACGTCATAATAGGTACTATACAAACGCTTTAACGCATTCGAACATATTATTATTGTAGTATAAAACGGTGTACAAATTAATAAGTAATTAAAATAATTTCAACGAAGCTTTGTTGGATAAAACGGTTCGTTGAGTTACAGCTAACATAACACACACTAAAAAAATAACGTGCATGTCGCCGCCCTGTTAATTAAACGGTCAAAGTAGACTGTAGATTAACATAAAAAATACAAATATAATAGTTGTAATAACTAAAATTAATATATTTTGTAACGTACACCCAGGACAGTAGGATAAGGTTAATCACTAGCGAGAGACAGTTTTTCTTAAAGATTTTCAAATTTACAAGGATAAATGTTATATAACAAAACCCATAAGTCATTTAAATTATCAAGTTAATATACTAAGACATAAAAAGAAATCAAAGGGGTGAACAGATTTTGGGTTGAGGCACCTTCTAGAGGCTCAAGTCCAAAATCCCAGGCGCGGATCCAAGGGAGCGCCCCCTTCCTAAATTCCTAAAAAACCTTTTATACGTCCCTAGAAGCCTGGAGCCCTAAAACTACAGCTGACATAGCCTAGTCATGAATGCCATTCTGCGCCCCCCCTGTGAAGAATTTCTGGATCCACCACTGCAGAGTCCTAACCGCAGGTAATACAATAGGGTAGTCATACCGATAAAAACCTATTCGCCAAGTACTATAAATGAGAATACGGAAAAGTCAATGAAGTTTCGCCAATATCATGGTCCTCAATTTTATAGATTAATATTACTTATCTCTTGTTCCTAATTTTTTTAAACGGCATGTTTATTAGATATATAACATCTAAAAGGGGTTGGGTAGACAAAACAAATAAAATTAATGGCAAAACATCTCCGAAAAATGTTACAAATTCCCTGTATTCTCATTTACAATATTTGATTTTACTTGATTGCATGTGTCGTGTTCATTCGTATAGGTAATAAAATATGTATTTCAATGACTAAGAATGCCCATATATATATTTTTTTTCACTAAAATATAAACAAAATTCGTTCAAGTACAAGTTATATAGAAGTTAATGAGTTATGTATACCTGTGATGTATGAATATGGAACTTTAGTACCATTACATTTGAAATATCCAGATAACTTAAATCAAAGTCAAATAAGTAGGTACATGTTTTTGATAAATAAATATATTGTTCAAAACATTTATAGTAAATACATAAATTGTTATGTCATTATGTGTTTTATTGTGGAATGACAATAAATAAAAAAAGTTGTAAAATGTTAAGAACCAATAATGTAATAACAGTTTGAGTATTATAAATGAAAGTACAATTTTACTTTATCGTATACTATCGTAGAGTGATTCTATTATAGTCTATTAATACAATAAAAAATCTAAAATAAATTATAACACTTATTAAAAAATATTTAACAATATAAGCCACTTATTGAGATTTGTACAAACTTTCTAGAACTCCATTTACTTTACATTCAAAAGCTTGGAATGAGAACATATCATCAAATCTTTTTTTACCTTGTTTACCAAAATGCTCGGCATTTTCTCGTACCTCCACTAATTGTTTTATAACCTTTGCAAATTCTTCAGGATTAGCATCACACAAATATCCGTTATGATTGTTTTTAATCGTTTCAGTAGGTCCTCCACTATTAACAGCTATGACAGGTTTACTACAGTACATAGCTTCTAATGGAACGATACCAAAATGCTCATTAGAAGGAGTATACACCAAACATGTGCAATATCTGAGAAGCGATATTTTCAGTTTGTCTGATGGCGATTTCAAAAATACTACACTATCTACGAGATCCAAATCTTGAACAAGTTTCTTTAGTACTTCGTAATATTCCATGTTTTCCAAATTTAAAGGATCATAACCACCCGCTAATACAAGTTTTACATTTTTGCTAAACGAGCAATGTGACATACACTTCACAGCTAATTCTAAATTCTTTTTCCTTTCAAATCTGTTAATAGACAGAACTATTTGATATTTTTCTAGCTCTACAATGTCACTTATGTCTATAGTTTCACAGTTATCAAAAAATGCTGTGTTTATAGAAGGATACAAAACTTGAGGTGTTTTCTTTACACTTTTAAATGTTTTTTTAAACACATTTAAAGTAAAATAACTGTTAACTAAAATTACATCAGCACATGCTGTAGTTTGTTCTTCTAACCAGTCCAATGGTAACCTATAGAATCTTTTCACAATGTTATCATGGGAGGTCAATAACTGATCAGGATAATGACAATAAAATATTACTTTACACGGAATCCAATGTAGAATTGGTACACAAACTGATACCTGATCGACAAACACAACATCAGGCTGGATGCGACTGAAGAATGCAAGATATAATGCCGCATAAATCATTCGTAAATAACTACACAATGCGTAACACTTTCCCAACAATGTTCTTGGTAACCAGTCGCCTACAACTGTAACTGACAGCATACCGTTTTTAGTTTCTTCAAAACAATGGGAAGGACTATGATGGTTTGTAATGAATTGTACGTCATGTCCTGTATTTTTCATTGCTAATGCTGTGTCTACAACTAACCGTTCGGCACCACCAATACCCAAATCTGGGTGCAAAAATACCACGTTCAATTTCATTGAAGAGAATCAATCACAATATTAGGTGTAAACAACTGATGAACAATTTACTAGGTAGATGATAAAATAAAAAGTATGTACTGAACAATACAGTTATATACAAATTGCTTAGGCATATACTTTTATTTAACATAAATTACAGACTGCACACAATAATAATAATTACTTTAATTTATTACGATAAATTTAACAGAATAATTTAAAGGATAACAGGTTTCTATCAAAATTCAAAATTTACCATTACCAAAATCGTCATATATCATAATTGATACTATTGAGTTGAGAATATTTTTTACATAACCTAAAAAAATGTTTTATCATGGATAAAGTTATTCAAAATCATGAAACAAACAACGTTATCATGATTGATGATTAAATCGTACTATCAAAACAATAATAATTAAAAATATTCGATTATTACTTCCCAAATAAAATTCGTTTTTTAGTTTTTATTTTATCTACCTACATGGTTTTTAAATTAAACGATTTATTCATAATACTGTAATGAGTATATTCACGAGTATTGTTGTTTTTAAGTGAGCATATGTAATGAAATGTAATACGACGTAAATTATTCAGTTCAAGGACTAACCAACACAGTAATTAGTAAGATATTGAGAATAAATATTTACAAAACATTTAAATTTTAGTTATACTGGCAAAATGACAAAAGACTTATCTCGAGATGAAGCATCTCGCTTACGACAAGAACGGTGGGAACAACACATGCACGGTCTTTGCATCCTTGACAATCATTTGAACGATGAAATGGAAAAAGCATCACATCGATCAGCTGTCCTTAACCACTTGGTTGATCAGACGAACAGAGTAAAAAACCTGTGGCAAGAATTTCAACGACAGTCTGACAACGGGTGTGTACTAGAAGATACTGCTGTACAAATGGCTATCGAACAACACGGCCTACAAAGTCATCACTTTCATCAACCCCAGTATAAAAGAGTAAGTGAATTGTCTTATATTGAAAAACTTGTTAATAAAAACGTTCACTTTTTTCTACAGGTTGAATCACAATTGACTAGTAAACCACCTGATATTGATTGTGATGATATATTCAACCAAGCTGTATCAGCTGCGATTGTATCAAATGGATTGATTACTGCACAACATGAACATTATATGTAAATTTGTATTTTAGTTTAGTTGTATAGATTTTATTATAAGAATTTGAGTTAATAATATAATTTAATTTTTGATGAGTACAACTAATATTTTAAGATTAACAAAACCTTGAATTTAGAAAATAATTATAATCATCTAACAAAATTTAAAAAAGTACTCGTTTTAAATTAAACATATAACATTGGTTGTTTAAACTGATATGTAAAAATATTGTATTACTTGAGAAAACTCTATAATATGTGGTTTACCAAATAATATTTACTATTCAATTTAATTTCAACCACCTACTTATTGCATACTACTATATTAATAACAAACATTTCTAGTTATTAACTGTTGGAACAATTTCCTATTAAATTATTTAAGCTTATTGCCAACAGGTATCACATCCGTATTAATATTTTTATTATTATATCATGTATTAAATTTGAAATCTAATTCATATTAATTTAGATCTTATTTTAGTCTAATTTTTTTTTTAACAGTTGACCTGAGATTTTTTAAATTACTATATTAGGTGTTGTAAAACTATAATATTTTACGCTTCCTTAAAATGAAACTCAAACACATATTATTGTTAAAAATTATGTATAACAATTAACAAACGTGCATATATACAGTATTACCTATTAAATATCCTAAAGAAAATCTATAGTCTTAAAATATTATTGGTTCACTAACATTATAAATATATTTTTAAAAAAAACGAAGTGTGTTCAATAAGTAATATTATGTACTTCCTAATATATATTTTTTAATTATAATGATTGAATAGTATTTTTTAAAACTCTTTTATTATGATAGAATAATATATATCTATATAGCTAACTATTAATATTATTATTATTAGAATATAAGTTTACAAATGTATAGAATGTACCTGAGTTAAGAAAAAATTATGTTTCTTAAATACTCTATCATTTATATTTTATTTATGTTTTACACACCTATTTGCCTTTGTTTGATGTTTTTTACTTTTATTTTTGTGCAATATTTTTTTTTATTTTTATTATTGTCATTATTGTATTAATTTAATTAAAAGTAAAATAAATGGTATATATATTTAAATCGGAACATTTTTTTACAATTTTGTTTATGTTTTTAATTATAGACATTTTTTTGTACAGGATTTTTTTTTTTAAATAGAAGCGGAAAATTGTATTTAGCATAGGGGTGGCAAATTGGTAAATCCGCTCCACGGGTTTAAATTTTTTATTTCATTACTTAATACTTAGTTTTAATTTCAACTAAAACTTCAGTTCAGAAAGGTTAAAAATTGTTATAATAATCTCATTCTCTACAATCCGGTTCATACATTTAAACTGATTTTAATGTCTTTTTTTTTAAATCAAAATACAATAGCTTTTTAAAATAAAATACATGTGCCGGGAAAAAAAATGTAGTTAGAATTTTTTTCCTATACTAGCCAAAAATTTGTAACATTAATACTTTTCTTCTACTCATTTTTTTTTTTTAATATACACATCAAAAATACATGATTTTTACTACAAATTATTGATTGTATTGATTTGATTATATTTCTTACCTTTTATGAGCAACAGAGAACAGCAGATGAATAGGCGTGATTGTAGGCTGTACAAATTATTTTTAACAATATGATAATTTATTTATGGCGATAGGGCAGCAAATATGGTATGCACTTTAGAGCGGGAACAACTTCTAAAGCATAATACAAATTACATTAGGGGCATAGTGTAGTGCAATGGCCACCTCAGTTGTCACTCAGCACCCGAGGTTAAGCTGTTTCCGTCGCTGCTTGATACACAATATGCCATGCCCTACTGCACGTATTACCTTCCATACATACACAAACCTAACCAACAAGATAATTGATGCTAATAATAATTTTTAAATGTCACATTAGAGAGAAAAAGTCGTTAATTATTGGTAAAATATAAAATGTAGTACTCTACATACCTAATAATGTTCTTAGGAAGACTAGCTTCACCCCCACCATGTCAGGTATAACTTAAATGTATTTTCTATAAACTTGAAAATAATAAATATTTTTTAAAGTTATCTCATACATTTTTATTTATTATAAATTTATATTTTATACTGGCTTATTACGTTTGTAGACGACCCAAGTTATTTTTTCAAGTCATTATGATGTTGTTTTTCCATTTTGTTATGTCCTTTAGGCCTTGCTTAGTTTTTAAGTCTTACTCAAAATATCATAATATTATTACTTTCAAAAAATGGACCAATTTTTTTTTTCTACAAAATACTTGTTTTTTACGCTTAATTCGTCGGTGAAATGAAAATCTGACTGGTCTGTCTGACATAGGTATTTAAGGAAAAGCGGTGAACATTTTTGGCATCATTCCATAGATTATTGATCCATAAATTTGCTACATAGTGAAATCGTTCCGACTTGCAGGGGTTAAAGAGTTGTCATAGGTCCAGAACAAAATAAAATATATTACACCATTAGCATCGAAACAAAAAAATCACAATTAAAATAAAAATCGTACAAAGTTTATATGTTCAAAGAAGTATATTTTATTATATTTTTAAAGTTACATCTTCAAAATAAAATTCTTCGACAATTACACATATTCAATAGATATTTCTAGTAGATTAAAATACAAATTATATTTTTGAAGTGCTCTTATGGGTGATGTTCATCAATTCTTTTTAATATCGTATTTTTTTAAAATTGACAAAAAATTACAAAACAAATACAAATAAATAAATGTCTCGTTGATAAACTAATAATCGATTGGGACTTCTTTATGAAAATAATTTTACTTTTACCCTTTAATTTGGTTCTCATGGCTTCAATTAATATTGAAATGTATACATAGAAGACACGTTTTCATAAGCACGGAGTTTCTTTTGCTATGAACATTTATTTTTCCCCATTGATGATATTATTTTAAGTAGTAGGTACTAGGTACACTTAAATTTAGACAGATTCATAATAGTATCTATATTATAGTTAGTAAACTAATAATTATAAACATTATACAAGGTAATATTGTGTGTAATATGAAATGTTATCATAGGAAATTAAAAATAAGTTCTGGTACTTTTTTATGCGTATACTAATAATATACTTATGTATAACGCGTGAACTAGAGTGCATTAATTGTGCTATAATTATTTTACGCAAAAAACCAATAGGTATAAACTATATTTCTTGTTTAAATCGTACATTACTCGGTGGCGCCCCAATCAATACTTAAGGTAATGCAAAATCTGTAATACTGAATACAAAAGATTCATTTGAGTTTGGAGGTCATAAATCCACGATTTATAACATACGAGAAACTAAATAGATTTAATTTTCCAAACGATGAGTGGATAGGTTTTTAAATATCTAACCTCAGTATAAAAATAAATTAATCGCCATCGATTTTTAAGACTACAACAGTGATAAGTATACTTAACTAGTTAATTTTTAAAATCGAACAGTTTAAATGGATAGAAATGTCCTTGTTCGAAAATAATAATACTTCATTATTGTCCGATAAGCTCAAAAAGTTTAAAAAAACTTAACATTTAAAATTAATTATTAATTATTTATATTAACACTTGTGCACTTAACTATGTTAGGCATGTATGTTCCTGTATGTGATTCAGCAATTTTTTATAAAAAATTCACAAATATCATTAAAAAAAACGAATTGTCTTGCCTTTGCTAAATATAAAATATTTGGACTTAAACCTCTTTTAGAATTGGGGCTAATCGCATCGTCTTGTATTAGTCTTTCACTCGGCATTAATAGCAATGGAAAACTCGGTATTTTAACTGAGTGTTTAGAGTTAGTATGTACAGTTAAGTATTTGGAATTAAGTGTGGTTAAAGATTAACTGATAAAAGACACTTATGGTTGAATGTGTAAGTTTTGATGGGAAAACGTATTGTCCGGATAGAGAACGTCCGCTAATGATTTTTCGAAACGGCGTTCCGGAGATCTAGAGAGTTAATATTCGTCCCCTTCGTCGCCACCGTCAGCCGAATCGGTGGCTACTTCCTCGTAATCCTTTTCCAGGGCGGCCAAGTCCTCGCGAGCCTCGCTGAACTCGCCTTCCTCCATGCCCTCGCCGACGTACCAATGGACGAACGCCCGTTTCGCGTACATCAAGTCGAACTTGTGGTCAAGGCGAGCCCACGCCTCGGCAATGGCCGTGGTGTTGGACAGCATACAAACGGCCCGCTGCACCTTGGCCAAGTCGCCGCCCGGCACTACGGTGGGCGGTTGATAATTGATGCCCACTTTGAAACCGGTCGGGCACCAGTCAACGAACTGAATGGTTCGCTTTGTCTTGATGGTAGCGATAGCAGCGTTCACGTCTTTTGGAACCACGTCCCCTCTGTACAGCATGCAACACGCCATGTACTTGCCATGTCGGGGATCACACTTTACCATCTGATTGGCTGTTTCGAAGCAGGCGTTGGTGATTTCGGCTACAGTCATCTGTTCGTGGTAAGCTTTCTCGGCGGATATCACCGGCGCGTACGTGGCCAACGGGAAATGAATCCGTGGGTATGGCACCAAGTTGGTCTGCAAACAAAATAGGCGTTAGTTTCATACATCGTTCGTTAGGTATTAACTATTACTATTATTATTGATAGAGACTACATTCCATATAATAATAGAGTAAACGTATTCATAAATGAATTAGATCAATAATAAACAGAAGAAAAAATAATAATTATAAATAAAAAATATGTGGTTTTTTTTAAAGGGTTTGACCTATATTACGTAACTATACCTTGGTGTTGTTTGTTACTAGTTTTTGCATGGATTTACGCACCTGAAATTCTGTGAGATCGACATTGAGAGCGCCGTCAAATCTCAACGACGCCGTAATGGAAGAAACTATTTGGCCGATCAGCCGGTTGAGATTCGTGTACGTCGGCCTCTCGATATCCAGATTCCTGCAGCAGATGTCATAGATAGCCTCATTATCAACCATGAACGAACAGTCAGAGTGCTCGAGCGTGGTGTGCGTGGTCAGTATGGAGTTGTACGGTTCTACCACGGCAGTTGACACTTGCGGCGCTGGGTAAATGGAAAACTCCAGTTTGCTCTTCTTGCCGTAGTCCACGCTCAAGCGCTCCATTAACAGCGATGTGAACCCGGAACCGGTGCCACCGCCGAACGAGTGAAACACCAGAAAACCCTGCAGTCCCGTACACTGGTCTGCAAGCTTACGAATTCGGTCCAGCACGATGTCCACAATTTCCTTGCCTATGGTGTAGTGACCTCGGGCGTAGTTATTAGCCGCATCCTCTTTGCCGGTGATTAGCTGCTCAGGATGAAACAACTGCCTGTAAGTGCCGGTGCGCACTTCGTCTAAAAATAATATACCAATACTAATATGCCAGATTGTAGGAAAGCGTATACATTCAACTTTTGAATTCAGTGGCGTATGTACAGGGCAATTACCATACCTAGGCATTTTGTTTTTTTATGTTTCAACCCATTTGTTTATGAAGTAGGAATTTTAATATACTGCCTACAAGGCACAACTATAAAGAGTGTTTAATAATACATAAAACGCAATCATAAACCCGGAAAAATGGAAAGGGATTTCGTAGTAAATTATCCGAGGGATGGGGAGAGAGTGTAGCCACTCCCTAATATGTTTTCAGAAAACATAGTAAGTACTTACCGACAACGGTCGGTTCCAAGTCGACAAAGACAGCCCTGGGAACGTGTTTTCCAGCGCCAGTCTCACTGAAAAACGTGTTAAAGCTGTCATCGCCTCCTCCGATGGTCTTGTCAGATGGCATTTGTCCGTCCGGTTGAATTCCATGTTCCAAGCAGTACAGTTCCCAGCAAGCATTACCGATCTGCACGCCGGCTTGGCCGATATGTACGGATATACACTCACGCTTAAAACATTAAAAAAAAAAACAAATTAAAAAATGGTAATATTTCAAATGATATAATAAATATTATCATTTAGATAACGAATCCTAGCAAAAATAATGGTGCAAATGTATAATTAAAATAGGAAAACAATACAATGTGTAGTTGCTTTCATAACTATACATTTATTGTAATTAACCATAATATTATAATAGGTTGGACATTATATTCGCGGGAAGATAAAATAAATATAACTTGTAATGTTCTGGTAACTTTTACTGTTTAAGTATTATACTGCTTATTGATATTTGTTAGCTATTTTTACTAAGAATTGCCGGCACCAGTTTTTTTTTAAATCATCTTTTAAGATTCCTTGAAATAGTTAAAGACGATAATACATAATACGAAGTTATAAGGAGGGTTTTGGTTTATTATTGAATCTTTTATGATAATTTCTAATTTCTTCAGTACATTTTATATATTTAGACCAATACTAGTTTTGTTGACTCGTAGCTTGCGGAGAATTTTGTTTTCGGAAGTGATTTTTGGATTTTTATTGTAGTTTAATTTTTTGGCATCAATGAAAATGCCTACTAACAGAATATGCTAGTTTTACATAGGGAACAAAGGGCATAATATATCTATATACACTTGACTCATGAAGATAATTTCCTAGCCACTTATTTGTTTTATCGTTCCCTCCGGTTAGTCATTTACCTTTTTATTATTATTATTATTATTAGTATTTTTAGCTTTTTTTCATTAAAATTCAAACGCGATGAACTGCGTCCGGTTGTGCTGGTAGCTTGTAAACGCGGTGGACGGGAAGAAAAAACGATGAGAAACGGGAACGAAGGTGATCTATAATATACAGACAGTGAGGGGAAGGAGAGAGAAAGGAGAAACCAACGATCCGAAAACACAGTGGCGACAAAAACTTTATCATAGGCAATGAGAAAGCAGATTAATCTACTATAGAACATTGGTAATTCGTGGTGAAGAAGGAAAGACTTAATAATATATTATAGCATACACAAAAGGAAACCGGACGGGAGCGGCTCCGGCAAAAACGGAATTACATCAACAATGACAAAAGAAGAAATAGAAAACAATAAAATATTATTAATAATAATAATAACGACGAAAATTACTAATGGAAACAATTATTATTATTATTGACGTTATAGGTTTTTATAGGATACGTTTATTAGACCCACGAACCGGACGAATGGGCTGGGCCGATGACAATGATACAGACAGATAATTGGGCGTACTTACTACTTACAGTCATACACCGTAAACAAACAAAAAATAGTCTTTTTGTATACCGTATACTTGCACATAGGTCTCAGCATACAGAATTTAAAAATTTGACTATAACAATCACGGTAAACAGCTACTAAATGTCTACCTAAATAACAGAAAAAGTTCCACGTGTCTAAACCATAGAATAATGATAAATTAAAAAATTTTAAAAAAATGAAACAACCTATTATGAACATTCAGTGTACTCCTGAAAAAAAAACATTTTGTAAATGTGTGCAATATAATATTTGCCCGTAGATGTATTCCCGAGTACATCATGTAGGTGGGAGGATATTATCACTTTTAAACCTTTTTTATTTATAATTTATTATGTTACCTAGTTTAAAAACTTATAATTACAAAATAGTCACAAAATAAATATAAATACTAGTGTAATCAATGTAATATGGGTTGCAACAATATTTTTTTTTACATTAAAGTGTAAAATACCTTTTTTTTAGAACTTTAAATGTCAATATGGCTGAGTTAAAAACTTTTATAGAAGCTGTTTGTGCCCTCTTCAAGAGTAGTATACATTATTAATTTAAATTAGCTTACCTATTTTTATTTAAAATTACCAAACACATCACTATTGTGTTGTCATTTAAATATTTAATATTATAAGTAAAAAATCAATTACTTCAGAATATATTTAGCTATTCCGAAAGCAATAGTCAATAAAGACCAAATTTTTTATTACCAGTCGTACGTTATTACTAACAGCCGATAGTATAGATTTATATTATTTTGTCTTTTATTTTAATTGATTTAACCGTAGTATTAGTCTTGTAGAAGTTGTGTGAATCAATTTAAAACGATATAACTTGAAGGTATAAACAAGTGCTAACCTAACCGGATAAGCCATATAGCAAATTAGTTTTGAACTGTTTATATGCAGCAACAAATATTCATTGGAATGTTACCGACAAATCCCCGATTGACGTTATAGTACATAAATCCTACCCCACCGTAGAATTAATGTAAATATGGATTAATCGGTAGAGCTTTGATTGAAATATGTTGCGTTTAAAATCTAACTTTACTGTAATAACCGAAATAATATAATTTGCATAATTTATTCATACTGTGAATCGAATTAGTACAAAAAAGAGCATTCTGTTTTCGCTTGATTGTATAGCTCAATCCTATCACAAAACAATCACGTGTAATGTATAATTTGTGTAGTAATCCTCCGACTCCTCCCGCTATATCATGATAGGCTATGTTTCATAGCATACTGCATACATAAGTGCATGGCTGTACTTTTAGCGCAAACGTATTAATTGAATGTTCGAGATTTACTCACCTATAGTAATAACCAATAACTTTTATGGTATAATTATTATTTGACAAAAAATGAACACATTAAAAAAAAAATGGTCTATTTAGTTATAGCGTCGAGAAAATCAAAGCGTAGTGTGTGGTTGTCAGCCTTTTGATTGATTGTATCAAATCAAATTGCATAGGTCTTAGCAGTTAGCTTTTTAAATTTTCAAATCAAAAAGTAAAAAATGGTAAAAGTTTATAGGTACTATAGCTATACTAGCTATTACATAGATATGTATACATTTATATTCAATGTTACTAGTTGTCGGCAATCGCTGTAATGCGTGACAGTTCATTAATTGTCCCTTCGAGTGATTTAACGTTCTTTCACTAAGAACTACTTAAGGCGAAAAATACATTATTCATTTAGAGAACTCTTAGAATTCAGATAGTGTATTTGGATTTTAGATTAAGGTTTTGTATTGAATTACAATAATTGATTGTCAACATTTGTATTGTAAACAAACCAAAGTAGCCAAGTTATTCAAAGAAAATATTATTCATTGTATAAGAATTATTTATTCTTATGAATTTATACTATTAGCACTGTTTAGTACTGTTCTTTAATTTTTATTTTTTACTGTACACTGAATTTAATATTAAAACTACTTATACAATTATTAGTGAAGAGTTCTAAATATCTAATTTGTCCTACTCATTTATCTAAATTTGCACACAAGTCACGAACCATAATTTTGTTAATAAAATCGGGGGGATCAAAAAAATCTTATTAATTTAGAAGTTACTGACTGAAATTGCAAAAAACATGCCAGAAACTTAATTTTCAAAAAACGTCTAATCATGTCCTGAGAACAAAGTAACCACCGATTTTTCGAGAACTAAACTTATTTAGTAAATGTTTAATTTAGACAAATAACTAAATGAAAAACTGTACAGCATTACAGCAATACAACTAGGTTACTAAACACAAAAGTAGCTCATCATATTTTGATTTAATAATTAAAGTTTTAATTTTAAACATGCTTAGTTAAACAATCCAAGTTACTCTTTTCGGTCTTAATTTTTACCAAAAAGATGGTACTTGCATAAAAACTAATCGGCCAAAAAACAATCAATTCAATGTGAATAATCTAATCCAATATCTAATTTGATAGTTTTGTACCTAGCTACTTAATCGTTGTTAAACTTGGTTATTTGGTGAACAACTCGGAACGATGTGATCGATGGCCTGTATCCAATTGTTAGCATATAATTTTCGACATGGCCAACGTACAGTGCGTTATAACCATAATATTCTCATTAGACATGCGGTATAGCTATTCTAACTACCTAGTACTTATAGAGACACGCATTCGCTATTCCACGGTACCCAAGAAAATAATTAATCATTAGACAAACGAGGGTTAGTCTCGTCTCCTTCGGAACAGGCATAAAATCATCGCCAGGTAATGCCTACCATGATAGCGATGATACAATTATTTTGCTTTTGATTTCCTAAAAAAATCTCTTAAACTAAAGAATCCAAAAATGACGGTTTTCAGGTTATTACAATTTTACATGTAAAAATCTGATTTTTATACGCAAATGATTACCGTAAAATATTTTTCAGTTTTCACTCAAAATCGTAATTGTCTCTCGATCCAACACAAACGGCCAAGTTTTATAAATTAGGTATTGAATTCATCGAATCGATTGATAAGAATACGCGAATGACCAATACAAATTTTAAAAAAAAAGTTCTAAAATATATATTAAACTTTATATATATGAATATTGTTATAATAAAGTAAATTCGCGTGTTAAGTAGAAATAAACACCTTACAAAATTACTCTGTAGTAAACCAAACTCGGGAGGGGGGGAGTTGAATTACTAATAGGGGATTGAGAAAAAAGGTAAATACTGTTTTATACAAAAAAGACGTTTTGACAGCTTTTGGCGCAAATGTTTAGCATTCTTATATCTCCATATGAAGCGCATAGAGCCAAAAAATCTTAACCCACAAATCCAATACTTCAAAAAAGAGATAACTATATTTTTTTAAATGACATTTCTAAACAAAGTAAGTTCTGCCATTTAGTGAATCAACTAATATTAGGTTTGGATCAGTTTGTTTTTGATATAATATGTTATATTATTCTAAAATGTTTAATGTAATAAATCAAAATTTAATTTTTTAAGGGTCAAGCTTTTCTAGCGCTTAACGCCTTTATATGTCACAAATATATAGATTAAAGTTTATTTTACCTATCAAATTTTCAAATTCCAGAATCAATTCGGTACTAATTTTAGTTTTAGTTTCAAATACTAAGTATTTTTAATCAAGAAAACTAATTTATTTAACGAGTATTAAATAATAAATCATAATAATACCTAAATTTAAAAACTCATATTTTAGCTTTATTTTAAAAATTCGTAAATATCGACCACCTATAGAATCATTACTGTCAAAAGAAAGTAAACACTTATAAAATCATGTAATTTATTTTTATTTAGTTATAGTTAAAATATTAATAAACGTCTCATTCGGAAGTTATTAAAACAATCTAAGTACTAATACCTACTTCTGTTAATCAACTATATATACTTAATACTAATAAATCTTCATAGCATCCGTTCATTTGTGTACCGCACGTGGCTAATTATTAAAGCATACGCCGTACAAGTAGTTATCATTAATTTACTAATTGTGTACCTATCCAATATACACAATACTATAGAAATTATAACTAAACAGTCTTCAGTTAAGGTACTTGAACTGCGTAAAACTTTAAAGAACTAGATTAGCTGTAACAGTTGAAAAAATGATCCTCCCTAAACTGTAAACACAACACAAAATAGGTTATAGGACTAATGAAAAAAATTATATTATACCTTAATAGATAAATTTTAAGTTAAACGATCGAAAAATTTCATTCTACCTAACATAACGGTAGTCGTTCCCCATGTAGAATTTTTAAAATACAGTTTGTTTATTTCAATAATAATAATAACCAAAAGTATACCAACTAGTACACGAAAAAAAATACATAGTTGAACCAACTAATATTATGGTTAATATAGTGAAACAGTAAATCCTGTAATTGTATAGTTGGCCATACTTCAACTAAAAAATGTTTTGGCCTAAATATTTATTTAGTTATTCCAACTTAAATTTGTCGTGTCCCTATATTAATTATAACTTTAGTTGGTCCAACTATGTGTTTTTTCATGTAGTATAACTTTTGACTCTTAACTCTACAATTTTATAAACCCGATATTAGAAGTTGCTCGATTTGGATACACAAATTACAATGGGAATCGTTACTGAGCCTATTTCTAGTATTCTATTTTTGTTTAAATATGAGCATAAAACGTGTAATGCGTCCTTTAATACTTTAATTTTAATTGTTATACATTTAGTTTCTTGATTTTTTGTTTTCTTAAAAAGTCCTTAAAAATTACTTAAAAGCCAGCACCAATAATAACGTGATACCCTAATAATAACCAGTAATAACGCAAATAAAAACGATTATTACCCCTAAAATATTATTATATATATTTTTTGCGATGTAGCACACCCAGAGCCCATTACTAGAAGAAGTCGGCTCCAAAGCCTTAATAAAAAAAACATAGTCATCGTACCGGCTTGTCAAGACATTGTACTATTTAAATACACATTATAATATTATGTCCATCGTTATGGATTCCGTCTCTTTCTCACGATATCCCATACATAGGCCCGAAACCTATATCATTTTGTTCAAAGAACAATTGTCTTCCCCCTGGATCAGATATATTGTGTTTAACGCAGTGTGATGACATGAATTTGCGGTGTCTACTGCGATTATTAACAATTTGTTACACACACATGCGTCAAGACGACTGCTTGTCAACCTTGTAAGTCCATGCAGGCGCAGAATATAATCTACTTAAAGCGAATGAACGGGTGGGACAGAATAAAGCATACCCGTCGTTAACCACAGCTACAACAGCTATCGGAACCAAACAATTATGTGGTAAACATCAAATGGCTGGGTAAAAGGATATTAATACAATTTTAATAGATGGCGACAAAATTAAAAACAAAATTGTTTTCAAAACTCATGACAGTTAATACAGTAATACAATGTATCGTTTATTTTATTGATTAATATTGAAGGTTAAAAACCAGTTTCTGAAAAAAATACGATCATTTGAACTCTATTGATTTTCACCACTTTGATAGTTGTTTTCTAGACAGATATTAATAGAAACTGTGAGAAGGAAGACAACCGTGCCGCTCAGATACACGTTTTTTCATTATTGTCTACATTTTTGAATGTATGATGAATCGATTAGCAACGGTTTTAGTGTACCTAAATGCGTAACGCGACGTCTCGGGAAATGACAATTTTCTCAATTGGAAAGTGCAGCTCAGCTGACACAGAATATATATATATATATATATATATATATATATATATATATATATATATATATATATAGAAAGAGAGGGAGAGATAAGGGTAAATAAATAATAAGAAAAACGTGACTAATGCCGAACGACGTAGATACCGTAACGTAAAAGAGAAAAAGACTTGAAGGATCACAGGAAAAAATCGTTGCAGTTTAATACATTTTGATTTGAAAACAACTTTTTTGCTTACCATTTTTCAAGTATCTGGTGCGATTGTCGACTATGTGAGTTAATAAAACCTCGGAGTTCCTCAAGACGGCGGCGTGTTGTCTTATACGGAGTTTCCTTAACACTGAGACAAGTCACGCGCGCTGTACGCGGTACGCCTGTTCTTATAAATAAGTAATACGTTTGAGGTACGTCGCCGATTCTCTACTGGGTATAAGCACAACGTCTTGGTCGGTTGCACCCGCCACATCGCCTTCTACAAACGTTTACCAACGAAAACAGTTCTACATAATAGGTATCTATGTATTATATTATTATGTTTGTCGCAGTTTAAAGGAAGAGGGGAAGGACCGCCTTAAAACGTGTGCTCTGATAGGAAAAAAGTCCCCCACATCTATATTTCACTGATTATCAGAGGTATACCAATTAAAAAGACTAAAATTGGTAATTATCATGACCCAATAAAATTGCCTTTTCGCTGTAAGTTGATTAATAGATATAGTAATTCGATTTACTCCAGTAGGTACCATCTGTATTGATCAGAAACTACATCTGGTTGCCGGTTGGTACTTCTTACTCACCAAAATCAGGAAAACCCTCCATAAAAATTGCCAGATTTTTAAAATTTATCTTCGATTACATAGCATTATATTACAGCAGTAATATAATGCAACGTGATCGGACCACATCGAAATTTTGTAAAAAAATTTAATATAAGTAATATTAATAATACTATAAAAACCTTATTATACGATTCCATTAACTCTGGGAGGGGGGAGGGGCAAGGGTAATTTTATATTTTTGAGTAATATAATCTCCGCAAACTATTTAACTAATATTATATGTATGACATATTTCTTATTTGAATCTATTTACGTTTCAGTGTAATCCAAAGACGGGTCCACTATTGAAGTAAAGGATTAAAACTTAAAATCATCAAATTGCTGTGCAAATTAATCTCTGAACTGAAATCAGTATAGGATAACTAGGCATTATACGAATTACGATATGCCACAGAACAATATATATATATAGATGTCTATTGATAGTACTAGATAATCGGTCACGTGTAATTGGATAAATCAAATTAGGAAGTCCCCCTGGGCAAATAGAGGTCGTCGCCAATAAATGGCGAATTACTAGTGCGGTCGAGGGCTATCTAAATTCAATACTTACTACATCATCCGTTTGCAAACAAATGTGGACGTGCTTTTGATGTAAACAAGTAGAAAAGCTACCTCAACAAATATGAGATTTATGTGTGGCGCCAAATGACCAATTCAATTATTACCGTGATATCCGATCGTAGAACAATGTACCTAACTAAGACCATTTTACATAATTATGAATATGGTTAGCATGACATAATACCACACATTACACATATCACACCAATTTTAACAGAAACTAAAATCTGTTATTTAATCCAAAGGGGAAAGGCTTGCTTATGAAAATACATTACGCATTAGTATAATTTTTACCGATTTTAACGATTTGTATAAAATATAAAACATACCACAAAAATAAAAATTTGACGATGACGTTGTTAAATATTATTAATAAATATTTATGGAAAACAACGACGCAAATTATTATTGCCCGATGCGTACCTAATCTCCTCATCTCCATCTTAATTAAAATGTGATGAAATAGAAGTCCAGTGTTCTGGAAACAAAAATATGCTCCCTATTAAAGCGTTAACGCAATCCCGTCCTTGGTAGTCGTTGACGCAGTGTCAGATGACATCACGTCAAATTATTAATTCCTGTAATCGAAGTACATAATCTGGAATCGGCTTCTAATTAAAAATGTTATATCTACTTGACCAGAAGTCATAATATAATTAAATGCACACCTACATTAAACACAATGTTACGTGTTCGAGACCCATATTAATAACTGGAAACAGCAAATATACCTAATACAAAAATGTCTTCTAAGTGTGTTACTTTCTTTTATTTTAGGATATTATACATTAGTTGAAAATTTAGTTAAGACTCATTATAAAAAATTTCACTCTAGATTACTCCTCCACTCGAATCCATTAATAGCAAACCAGCACACAGCTACTATCCCGGACAACGCCCCTCGTCGTCTTATAAGACGTTGGTGTCGAGACCTCCTAAATTGTAATGCCACCGTTTAATTTCTAGCCAAAACCTGTCAAAGAGTCCTATCACTGGATAGCTTCCCTACTCGTAGTCTACAAGTCATTTATTAAATTGTTAGCATATTTTCTTATTGTATATTTTGTATGTACAGATTGTAAATGTTATTAAAAAAAAAAAAAAAGGATATTATACATGATTATTCATTGACATGAACCGCAGTCGTATTGTGTCATAGATTTAAGGCTTACAATTTCAATTTATTTTACAAAAACTAAAACGGTTAAATTGACATGAGTTCTTTAAAGATTTCTTTATCTCTTCTATTACTTTAAAAGTACCATCAATTTTGAATTTAAAAATGGCACCCCTTAATTCTACTTTCAAATAAAAAATATATGAAATCCGGTCACCCTGCGAGGTGTTCTTCTTATTCAAATAGTAATTCTTCACAACTAAAATTAATATAACCTACATAAAAAAATGCATTACATACAAATCACCGACCGCCGGCACTAGGAATAATCTAAAACGTCGAAGCTAAAAGCGCGTAACACGCTTGAACCTTATCTAAAAACAATTTGATTGTTAAAATATTAAATATTGCACATATTTTGTCCCTTAATAAATAGTCGGAATCGAGGTCCTTATAAGCATTGTTTAATATATAATGATTTTTGTAAATTTAACCAATATGAATTACATTTCGTGACTTTATACTAAATTTTAATTTTAGAATGTCTAGTAAGTGAATAAACATATTTTAATGCGATATGGAATACCTAACTAATTCCTAGTTATCGACAAACTATTAAATATTTTTCTGCTGTAGATTCTTGACACACCTAACTTTAACAGTTTTTATTAGTTATTGATCAAATTAACTTGATTGTCGAAAATGATAGATGGGGATAATAAATGAGTGTTATATAAAATCGAAATGATTCTTGGAATGCTATATTTTATCAAGATTGTTTACCGTCTTGTGCTGTAGTTTGTAAGTATACAATACCTACATAAAGTTTATACATTGCGATTAAGTTTATCCAGAAGTTTAGGCAAGACATACAGCAATTTTGGAATTCCACATACTTAAGATTTTTAAGTGGTAACGTATACATTATCTTGACGTTTTAAATTAAAAATAATTTGCTGAAAACTTTGACTGATCGATAACCAGTTCTAAATAATTACTTTTAAAGTCATTACAATTCAAAATTTAGGACGGGAGTTGGAATGCGGTAAAATAATGTACGCGCAGATAAAAATAATACTACACTTCACCCTTCTCTCATCCTAAACTTTTAAATTTTAGTAACATTTAAAGTAAATATTTAAAACTGGTTATCGAACAGTCAAATTTTCAGCAAATTATTCTTAGTTAAAAAAGTTAATTAAATATACTCGTTACCGTTTAAACACATTAAGGATGAGGTTATATTTTTGAAAAATAATTTTAATTTGAGCAAACTATTAACTATAAAACAATAAAAAAAGTCTAATATCTTATGAAATATTGACAGATTCATATTTTGCGAATAACCCTGTAATAGTAATATATTAAATTAACGATAGCAGTTATATATAAGTAAACTATTTGGTATAGTAATATTATTTAGACAACTCGCTGTTGTACTGGCGACTCAGCAACACAGGTCCCATTTAGCATAAAACCTTAAAAGGGATGACGAAGTATATAGACTATAGAAAATTACGTTAATGATAAATGAACAATTCTCGTGGTAAAGTATAAGACACGAATGAAACCATCCGTTCCTTGTACCGACGTTCCCTTCGTTCGTAAAGGGGAAGAGTATGTTATAATATATAACAATACGTTTGTATTGTATAACCCGAGCTTTAGTTAACGACAATGAAAAAATAAATATAAAACATGAAAATCGTGTATAAGAATTCGGCATATTCTCAGAACTCAAAGGTTATCTACCTTTATAACGTAGCACCTATAGGTAAATTCAAAGGGGAGGCATGGTTATAACTTGGGACTGCACGCGACCTTCCATTCGTTTTTAATGCAGCCCTAGTCCCTATATTTTTACTGTTATTTTAAATTTGTTTTTTTTTTTTGCAACACAATAACATAGTTTTAATTAGGTACTTGTATGTACCAATGTACCTATTATAATTTAAAGATATAAATTATAGCCATTCCCTTAATACAAATATTTCATACACCCACCATAATACATAGGCGTGCGAACGGGGGCAGCACTGTACTTTTTGTAATCGTTAATAATTTTATTTCGTGTGTAGTTTATTTTATTTGAATCATGAGAAGTGTTATATTTATAATTTTCAACGATTTTTATATTTTTTCTTATTTAGGATAAAAAATAAATAAAGATTAAAGTGATTCGCGAACGGCTTTGTAAAAGGCAACTATTTAAGAGAACTTGATACCTACCTCTATTTAATGAGGAGTTAGGTATAGGCAATTTTTTGCAATCTTAATTTGAAGCTTAAACTATTATGTGTAATTAATTATTAGTTAAGTAATTAAGACTCTTTTTTAGTAGTTAAATTTATTTTTCGGATTATTACAGCATCCTTGACAGAGGTTTTAAATATTTTTTTATCTAAACACAACTACGCAGAATGTGTTGTACTATGTCCATGGCTATTTTAGGGCAAAAACACCAATTGTGAAATTGAGAGATAACATTTTGGTGATAATGTCATATCCGATTTTGAAAATAATAATATAAAAAAAAGTTATAGCTATTTTAAAAAGTAAAAACATGTGATTTAAAATATTAATTTAAATATAAGTTTATCAAAGAAAAGAATATGGCATTGTCGACAAAATCTTGTCATCTTTCATTTTTTTTTTTTGTACATTTGCTTTAAAATCATCACAGAGCAAGTAAAACGCATTCTGCGTAGGTATGTTTTAATACTAGGAAATTGGATGTATAACAGTCCTCTTAAGAATACCACTTAAGTACCACTGACATATTATGTTAAAATGGAGTGGTCAAATCTTATGCTACATCTGAAATTTAAGTCTGAAGTTTGTAGCCTGTGATAATATTTTTTTTTTTTTTATTAAAGAGTATTTACAATCTATGCTGCAAGGCATAATAAGCAAATAGTTACATTGTTATGTATACAGAGAGAGGGAAAAAAAAATAAACAAATAGAAACGGTGATTTGATATGAGGAGGGAGGCTATCCAGTAATAGAACCCAACGTGATTGTGATAATATTAATATAAAATTTATAAAGTCCAAGATGGTTAAATTTAACTGTGACTAAAAATTCTAATTAGTAATTTTCCAATAAATATGTTAAAATTAAAGGTTGAAGTGACTTATACATAGTATTACTTAAAAATGATTATAAAAACTCATTAAAATGATAATAATAAAACTAAAAAAATATACATTATTTTATTATTTATACTCGGGGGAGTATTTATTTATTACATAAAATAAGAAATAATCCTTTAAAACAAATGTATGTAAATTTATCAACTAATAATATCATAAAAAACATATAAATTGTGTTAACAAACAACTTATTTTTGTAAAAAAATGATCAATGACTTACAAAAAAACAACCATAAATAATTAATTGTCTTTTTTTGAAGGTAATGGAATAACACATTTTCTTGGGAACCAACCTCGTTGTTGTGGTTCTTTTGATGAAGTCTTATGGCCATACATCCAGTATCTAATAAAAAGTATATCATAAAAAAAAATAAACAAATAATCAATTCATACTAAATACTTACTTTCGAAAACGTGTTACTTGAATTATATCATTTAATTTTAGAGGCATACGCTTTTCATCGGTCCATGGTATTTGAAAACATGTGCATAAGCCAAATCTCAGAGGAAACCAACGACCATTATATTCTCTAATAACTTGCATTGGTTGTTTCCATGACTGTTTTATTAACTTTTGCTCCAACTGTTCTATCTACCAAAAAGTTTATAAAGTTTAGCACACTAGATTATATAACAACAAGCAGTGGCACCGTTTAGGGGAGGAACAAAAAGGACCATGCCATCTTAGTTATTAAAATTGTATACCTAGTACAATAAGTACCTCATATATCAGTAGTAAGAGGAGTTGGTAGTAAGTTTAAATGACTATGTACATTATACCATCACTATTGTACAAATTATGATTATATTACATCATATTTATTATAAACTAATATGTTTTTCTTTAATAGTAAAAAGTATACTATTATTATGAAGGGTATTCGGACTGAAATGAAATTTGCTCCCCCCCCCCACCAGATGACAAACCAAAGAATCTCACATTATCAATATCATTGCAACAATATTTACATTATTAATGACTGTTCTCACCAGTTTAGCTTAACACTAAAATTGTAGGCATTAGCCTATTAATCTATACTTACTTAAATAATGTTAAGCCTAGCTCATGAGAATGACCATAACATTTTTAACAAAAAATATAATATTTTAAATGTTATACAAAAATAATATAATATAAAATACAAAATTTAACCAGTATAATATTATTTAAAAAAAAGATACTTTATGTTTACTTACAGTTAAGTCATATTTACCACAACCTTCACGTAGAGGCCAATTAATGCCATCTCCTTTGGCAAAAAACTGATTAAAAAAACAAACAACAGCTCTTTAATTTGTAAGATTCTTTTTAAAAACAATTAAACATAAGATAATTATTAATAAAATACATACATTTTTAATATTGTTAATTTTGCCTAAATTATAAGGGTAGACAAAAGGAGGTATACTAGAATCTTGTTCGCGTCTTGAAATCGCTTTGCCAACAATCCAGTCTTCTATGTTAGTACAATTTCTCATTATGTATTTAATCTATAAAATAAATTAACAAAGAGTATTATTAACAAAATTTAATCTGAAAATATAAAATACAATTTATAATAATCACCACATTCATACTTGAATAAATAACAACAAGCTAAGAGTCAAAATGAGACACAAGTCTAGACCAAATGCTGTAAGCCACAGGAGTACAAGTTTTACAGGAAAATATACAAGTACTCGATTTCCAAAATAACTGTTAAAAATATTGTGTAATTAAAAATAATTAAAAAATAAGTATTTAAATTAATATATTTACCTCCATGCCACCATAAGGGTTTTTAATAACAATGTGGCTGATTGAATAGTTGCTACTATTGAGAAAAATATAAACAAAATAAAAGAAGGATAATTAGCATGGCCTACACAAGTATTTAACCACGGGCAGTGGTGATCCATTTTTAAAACACAGCGATTACCTAAAAAATTATTGGTTTATTAGAAAAAATAAATGCATCTTTTATATTATACCTATTACATACATTTATGGCAGTGATGTACGCGAGGAGCTTTAAAGCCATTACAAATTTTACAAAATTGCAAATACTGCTGGTCTTCTTCACAATTCTAATAGATCATAAAATGTATTAATTATTATATTTAAATATTTGTTATTTTTTTTTTAAATAGCTAAGCGTTTTTTTCATAATTTGTAATTAATATTGCCCCCCTCCCCCACCATCACTGCCAAGATAACAATGACTTATTTGAGGTAAGAGGCGGACAACATCTGTTTTGTAGTGCTGCAGGAAACAAACACAGTACCGCTAGTACCAAGTTTGAAGCTTTATATATATCATTGCATCACACACAGTAACATTATTTATTCGTACATTAACATAATTAACAAAATTAACAATAAAATTAATTGTACTTACAGGTGTCCATTTATAAGGCAAAAATCCAGGTCCAACAAACACAGACTTCAAATAACAGGAAAAACTAATAACAAATAAGGAGAGCAACAGGGCAGTATTAAGAATTCCACCCAGTGAACCAAAAATGGGCCACCACATTTCAGTAAAATACAGCGTAGTCAATGTCACAAATTTGAAAATCACTAAAATTATACATACATTTATTACTAATTTTTTTCTGTCATATTTTTAACCATTTATTATTTATGGTCACAATAAATACTTACGGATCGATAATATTGGTCCCCAATGGACAAATCTTGACCAGATGGAAGGCTGCATTTTAGACTTTATATATTATACTTCTACCATAATAATTATTTAAAAACTGTACTCTAAATTGTATTTTTTTTTTATAAAAATTTAAGAAAAGTATCAGTTTTTTAGTTTGAATTTCATATAAATTTTAATCATATCATGACCAAGTCCAAACGCCTGTTATCAACATCAGTGTAGCCATATATTGTGATACAGTATATGTGGGAAAGATTTGAGCCCTAAAAAGCATAGACCTATGAAGTATAGGTCTTTCTTTATAGGTCTATGCCACGATGTAGAGAAGATGTTCTCTACATCGTGGTCTATGCTAAAAAGCCTTCCGGTATCATTTATAGTATTTGCATAATTTTTATTATACAGCTCTGCGCCGCAATTAAAAATTGGTAATTAATAGTAGATAACTAAAAAAGTATTTGATATCAATGACTAGGTTGTAGTCTTGAATAAACTTCTATAATTCTTAAAACAGAAAGTCGTGCGAGGGGCCTAAGATTTACATTTACCGTGTCTATACGTTTACATGCGAGGTTAAAACCGATTTAGAATAATTTGAATTAATTTATTACCGTAGTTAAGAAAATATAAACGGCTTGGCTAAAACCGAATTAGTAACTCCGCATTTTTCAATTCTGATTAAAAATGCATATGAACGGTTAATGAGAAGTAGAAACCGAATTAGATTTATGGGGTATAAATGGACTAATAAAATTATTAACTGAAAACTGAAGAGGCGAGTCGATAAAGATGTAAAATGAAATTGTTTTGAAAACATTTTTTTATTGAAATTGTTGTAGGGTACACTTTTAGTAAAACATTAATAGTTAAATGCGAGTTCAGACGAGTTTGTTCAGCTTAAACATTTAAAAAGTCGAAACGTATTGAATAAAATGTTGCCTTCTAAAAAGTTTTGAAAATGCCAGTTAACACCTACAGCCTACAATCCACTAACCCCTTAAACTATTACTAGGTACTTGTTAGTATAAACCTGTCTAAAAGATTAAAAGTTTAAAAAATCAACTATTATGTTTTATTACTATAGTATAACATCTTATGTTTGTAGGTTTAAGACTACAATGAGTCACAATATAATATTGACTCAATATTATAGATATATAGGGTAGACTCCCTAATCACTAATAGTGATTTTTAACTGTTTAGGTAATAATTTTGAGTATAAGCAGAAAGGATGATTACCGTGTACTTACTTTTTACCGCCTAGTATAAAAATAAAATGGGATAATTTAATGAGATACAAGTGAGAAATATTGGTAAAAGTCAAGAAGAAATGAACTCTACAAAAATGTAAGTACAAATTAGGGTTGTCATTGAGAGATAGGTTAACCACATTTGATCAAGGTCAGGAAGAAATAAAAACAGTAATAGAAAATAATATGAGAAGTGTAATTGGATAAATAAGTGTTTCAGTCTTACATTTTTTATAATCAAATGCAGCAGAAATCATGTGAACCATATAAAAAAAAAATGTTTTTTTAGAATCACGAGTATTTATTTATTTGTATAAAATAATATCTTCATACAACTAGTTAAAAAAAATATGTATAAAACTAAAACTCACACATTTTTAAAAAATATATAAATAGTACCAATACAATTTTTGATTTAGGTTTATAATATAAAAGTAAATTTAATAAAAATTACACCACATTGTTTTAAATAAATATTACTTGTGATATATTAATTTGGTATTACTTTTGTAAAGCGTTTCTCTTTAGTTGTCAATACTGAACAGTGAACTCGGACTATTCATTTCCAGGGACATTATTTCACGTTCGTCATATCCATGGATTTCATCCTAAAACAATTTTTTTTATGATTAAAAAAATAAGATAATATTGATAATAAGATAATTTTGTTATAATGTTTCAACAGTATAAAACGATCAATGATCTTGATTTTTTTTAGAAATCTAGATTTGAATAATTATCGTTGATCACCTCCACCCCTAAATTTGTAGAAAATGCACCAGCATAATCCTTAGACGAAGCAATAGCACAGATTGGATAATACTCGTTTTATCTAATCTGTGGTAATAGTGCTATAGAGTTTAAAACAATTTTCTCTTATAATACTTAAATTTTATTTGAAAAAGTGTAAAATATTATAGAAGCAAAGTATAGGGTTGTCCCAATAAGAACGCCGGATTTAATCTGGTTTTTACTTTATTTAAAAAAATTAATGTGTAGAATACATTCCCCGATTTATGAATGGAATATAACATCTGACATATTTGAGGGACAGAAAATCCACAAAAAATTGAACAATGTCAAATGCATCCTGAACGGGTAACTGTATGGTGTGGCTTTTGGAGTGGAGGTGTTATTGGCTCATATTTTTTTCAAGAAGAAAATGGAAACACAGTGACGGTAACTGGCGAATGTTACCAAGATATGATTACAGAGTTATTGTGGCTAGTTTTACATGTTATTGACATAACCGATAAGTGGTTTCAGCAGGGCGGTGCCATTTCCCATACTGCTCGTTCAACAATCATGTTATTGCACGAAAAATTTGATGGTCAACTTTTTTCACAATGTGGTGACCAGAACTGGCCTTCCAGGTCTCGTGATCCATCCAATGGACTTTTTCCTTTGGGGTTACGTCAAAGCTCATGTCTACGAAAACAAACTACGGACAATTGAAGAACTTAAAGAAGAAATTTGTCGTGTCATTGGTGAATTAGACCCGGAGATGTGTTGGCAAGTGATGGGAAATTTTGTGACCAAAACTGAAGCTTGCCAGCATAGCCGAGGTGCTTAGACACATAAGCAAGGTGTTTATTCTATACATAATTCGGAGAATGTATACTACACGTATATTATAACTTTTTCTAATTAAGTAATAACAAGATCAAATCTGGCGTTCTTATTGGGACACCCTATATATGAAAATTATTTTGATAACACCATTAACATATAGCAAAGACTGTTTTTACAAATTAAATATTATCTAGTTAACAAACTACAAACCTCGCCTTGGAAATATTTCTCTACAATAGAATAAGCCATTTCGTATATTTTTTGAGAAGTATGATTCTGCAAAGCTTCCAAGTGATCTAAGCCACAAGCCTCTTCTATCAAAATGCATATTTTTCCTTGTGAACCATCATCACTAGCTTTCTAGAATATACAATTTTTAAAGAAGTTATTGAATAACAAAAACACATTGTTTGGAAGAATGCATTCAATATCAGAATGTCAATATGTTTTTATTATTAAATGGTGAATGTAAATTAATTATGAGCAGAATTCAACTTTAAGCTCTACATTTTTTTTCAAAAACTATGTTCTACATTATAGGTTTTGTTTTTTGTAAATTTTAATCCTTGTTTTTACACTTCAATTAAGTTATGTTAGATAATAATACTTTAAGTAAATTTTTTTTTTATGTATTCATAAATTCATTCAGTTTTGATAAAATGAGTCCTTATTATTTCATAAAAAATGTAGATAATTTACAAACAAATAATAAAAACTATATACTTTTTTTTTATAAATTGAAGAAAATTATACACAACTAACATTTTTATCAGTCTCTAGGAGTGCCTAAAAATTTTAGTACAGTATAAAATAGCAATATTCTCAATTTTTTCAAAATTGATTAAGACATCAAAAAACTAGAGTGAGGATATATGTTATTTAGTTAATTTTGCTTTTCATAATACATTTTATTTGTTAATTTATAAATAACAGATTATGTTTTTAAAAACTTGTCTACATAACAAATATTTAACTTAAAACAGTTAACTATTGAAATTACCTCTAACAATTGATTTAATCCTTCCAAAATAATCTCAACCATCCTTACATCTTGTGACAACAATAACCCACAGTACGGTTCTAATATACCCAAATCTATTAGCTGAGCTTTCTGTGCTACTGTTCCACCACTAAATAAGTTATTGATTGCCCATGCAGCTTCCTTTTGTACCTTAAGATCACCCTAAAAATTGTTTACTATTCATTAACTTGTTTTGTTTTTTCATAGAGCAATATATGTTTTAAATTAACAAATAAATATATACATACACGATGCAAAACGTTTACTAAAATTGGCAACAATTGATGATCAATAGCAGCTTGAATTTGGTCTACACTACCGGCCATAACATTGGATAAAAGCCATGCTGCATCCTTTACTACCGGAATACGTTTATGTGTTAGTAGATGTTTAAGGTACCTAAGTACACCATAATCCAATGCGTGTTTTGTCTAAAAAAATAATTTTTAATTCAATCATCAATCATACATAAAAATTAAATCATTTTTCTCACTTGTGAATCGTTTCCAGACACCACATTACCAACTACGCGCAATGCAGGTATAAGTATTGATGTATCGTCAACTTCTAAATATTTCATAATAGCATTCAAAGTTCCAGCTTCAATTATTACTTGTATTTTTTCATTACTACCATCCGTCAAATATGAAAGTGCCCAACAAGAGTTAGCTGTAATATACATTTTACAAAAATAGAACACTAGACAAGATTTTATCACAATATATAAAATATAATGGACACTATCTCATTGAATACCCTAAAGACAAGAATAAAATAGTCTTTATTTTTTTAATGTTTATAAATAAATAATTTGTTATAAATATTTGGCAATAATTGAATGTCATCCGTATGATTTTCAATCAATGAATGTTTCAATACATTCATAATAATTTAATGATTTTTTTATAAGCCTATCGGTCTTGAATTTTGGGCAATTACTTATGCAGATTTGCAAAATATCAACTTGAGGAAATGATTTGCAATATGCAAAAGGAAAAAAGGTGCATTATAGTGCATTTGTAAATCAGTTATATAAATTAATACTCATATTATATTATAGGTATTAGTAATAAATTATAGGTATTATTAATTTTATAGTGTATTTTAGGTTTAGTTAAACAAAAAGAGCACATAAAATGTGTACTGAAGTGTCTAAAAATATTATCTATTTACAATACAAATATTTAAAAAATTACTTACAAACAACTTGGGAATCATTATGTTTCAACATCTCGACTAATATAGGAATACTAGGTAGTAGTTCGTTGAAGTTAGGTGGTGGATTTTTACTTCGGCAAAGATTTGACAATGTCCATACAATGTTTTGCTGGGCTGTAACCTCTGTTGTACTTTGAAGCAAACTATTTAATACAGGTACAATTCCATGTGACAATACTGCATCGCGAGGCTCAGGTCCATCACCCGCAATATTACCAAGCGCCCACACAGCTTGTTCCATTACACGAATATCAGGTGACTGGAGTAGGTTGACGAGTAAAGGAATAGCACCTACTTTAATAATAGACATAGTATTGTCCGATGAGCCAGATGCAATGTTGGTTAAAATCCAAGCACACTCATACTGGAAGTCAGTTCTATCAATATAAATAGTATAAAAATTAAAAACAAAGTAATGTAGTTCTCAGTAGTGTATATTCTCACTTACTTATCATTATACTTTGTTGTTAAAAAATCCATCAACATAGGTAAAACACCGGCTTGTATAAAATCGTCAATAGGTGCACACTTACGAGAGCTTAACATTTTACGAGCATATTTTAAACAATTCAGCTGATGTGCCAGGGAGGATGACAAAAGACCTAAATCAATTAGATTTTGCGATAAAATAACAGATAAAAATAATTTGGAACTTGTAATCTACAGGCCTTTAAAATTAAATTTACTCTGTTAAGAGTACATACATTTAAAGTAAGGTGTAATCTTTTACTAAGAGTAAGTTTTGGATACAGTCTAGGAAGAGGTAATGCAATTTGTATTCAATAGGGCTGAATACAATATATATTGTTTTGTAATATTGTAATTTGTACCCTATTTTTAACACTCGTGTACTCGTCAGATAGTAAATTATTATCGACATAAAAACTACTATACATGGTACAGTATTTAACTTTTTAAAAAATTGAGAGAGCATAATTTGTTTTGCATATTCTTCGTCATAAGTAAAAATGCAACTATGTAAATGGAAAAAAATCTATAACAGACAAGTACAGAAAAGTGACACTATGCAGAAAAACAGCGGCCAATTTTATCCAACTAGATAATTTGGACAGAGAAAAAGGATAAACTGTTTTGGTTACAAGCCCAGATCAAAATTGCATAAAGAAAATAAAAGTAATTACATAATAATAGTTAAAAAATGTACCTTCTTTTAAATTATCCATGGTCATCTCATGGTCAATATTAAGTTCAACTACATCATCGTGCTTATTACTAGTACTAACTAATGCATCCATATTTCTTCGTTTAGCCATTTGTTCATCTCGTTTACTTTTACGTAATTCAATTGTTACATCATTACGTTTCCGGCGGAGATCCTAAGATATTAAAATTTGTAATTTTAATTTATCCTGCATAAAATGATAATAAAATTAACTACTTACTTCATAGTATTTAGTTCTGTCTTGAAAAACATCAAAACTTCGACTACTAGTTACTGTCTTTTTAACAGGCATATTAATTGATTTTGATTCTGAAAATAAAAATATTAGTTTTTAACTATTATACATACTTAAATAGTTTTTAAATAACTAAAAGAAATACAATTTATTTTATAATGCCAAATCAATAAATTTGAGGGCTATTTTGTATCAGCAACATTGTATACCAACTAGAAAACAACAAATACAAAATGTTGTCAACATAGAGTTCTTTAATTTTGCAGCTCAATATACATAGTAATAATGTCTGTAATATATTTTTAATATATTTTAATTGTTCTAATTTTTATGATCAAAGAAATGGAAACAACATGTATAGCGAACTTATTATTTAATAGTATTATATTATTATCTTACATTAATATATAAGGAGCCATTAAGGGTTTTTCCAAAAAAACCGAACAAATTACTAGGAAAAGTTTCAACACATCAACATTTAACTAGAAGACGTGTCACTATTTGTTCGACCCTAGTTTACAATATACATCAGAAAATTTGTTTAAAAAGTGAAACAAGTCAAAAAAATCTTAATTTTTATTGAGGTTATCACTGGTTAGACTTGGGGAAAGTCCTCAAAGTAGGCAATAATTGTATTGAATAATTTTTCCTAACACCTATAAACTTGAAACAATTATCAGTTATATAAATGCTTTTGGATAGACTCACTGAACAGTTTTTCGCAATTTTCTCGAAACATAAATTTTTGACTTGTGTCATTTTTAAAATGCATGCGTGATATAATTAGTACTGAAATGATTGACTACTATGATTTTAACAAATTCACTTACCCTTTTATTGACGAATATCTAATATAATATTGTTTAGTTCGGATTGTCGTAAAATTTAATGTTTAGTTATAATTGTGAATAAAATTTTAGACAAAACATATGTTTTGTGAGTCGAATATAATATTATGAGAACGACTAAACCTGTACGTGCTGAAGCTAAATTGTGAATAACGAGTAAAAAGTTACAAGGCTGACAAACATTAAAGTAGCCATGGACTATACGACACAGGTTAATCCAAATTATTTATAACTTTTTATCTTAATTTTTGAAAACTAGTTATCTCTAACGGCTGCGACCAACCAACTCCATTTTCGCAACTTGCAATGCTCCGTGCATTGGCGATTGGATAATACGCACAGAGAAACAGCTACAGCCTACAGGGCAACGTACACTCGTCAAAATTATTTATAATCCTGAGACGGTGAGACCTGAATCAGTATTTATAACGATCATCAGATTATTATTAATATTATTTATTATCACATGACACATTCTACAGATTACAAATTCAATCCGTGAAATTGTGACTTCTGCTGCTTAAAACCTAATCATTACATATTATAATATTAGTTATCATTAATTATAAGCCCACTTTTATAATGTTATAATATACTTGTATAAAGGTCTATACATTTTATGTAATATCATTTGTTACGTTAAACTACATTTGCATAGGTTATTATGGCTTTGTGTACGTTAAGTATAGATAATAAAAGAAAAAAAAACCAATTGTAAAGTAGAAAACAGGTCACAAGTGTCACACAAAAGTGTGACATCTTAGTTCTTTACGGTGAAGATTTTACCGGGCTAAAAAACTAAAGGTTCTTAGTTCACAAATTCAATCATTTACAAAAAAAATTGTGCTTTAAAATTAACAATATTATTTATTGTTTTCTATACTCGGTCATGTGCTGGTAAAAAATTACTTATATGCTAAAGTCTAATGTATGCACCATTACCAACAAGTTAATGAGTTATGTAACTCCTCTCTCTCTCAGCATGGCTAAGCTTTTATTAGCTTCAAAACAATTTTAAAACTAAAAACACAATTAAGCCTCTATGGTATTATTTTTGTTAAATTAAAATAAAAGTAATAGTTTTAATAAAAACTTTTATTTTTATAAAAATATCTAGTACATTGTTATGTTATTAATTTAATTAACAATATAAATTGAAGTCACAGGTAGTATTAATAATTTGAGATAAATGCAAGCACCATTTTAATTTTAATATCTATTTCTATAATAATATAGTTGATAAATAGAAGATTTATAGTTATATTTGTATGATATACTATAATATTATTAACAAGTATCAAAGTATTCACTTAAATTTAGTTTCCAAAAAAACAATATTTATTATGAAACAAAAATATAAATTAATCAGTTACAAAAGAGTTGTAATTAGGAAGACTGTAATAAGGCACAACTTGGTAAAAAGTATTACAATGATATATTATTTTATTTTTTAGAACAAAATAGCAAATGTTTTTCGATAAAACTATCATTTTTAACAAAACAATTTAACGAAAGATGCTTGAGTGTAATAATTCACAATAATATTACTTAATTTACTAGTGATAAAAAAAAAAAACTATACCGTTTACAACTGAACATACGCAACACATAAAAACTTAACGATTTCAAAGCTTTTTAACAACTATCTCTTCAAAATTAAATTTGTAACAGCTATATAAAAATAATAAAAATATATAATTTAATATAACCAGTATGGACATTATCTTTATGATACACACAATATTACTTTACAATTCTAAAAATAAATTAAGAAAGTATGTTAAAAATCACTGCACACAGCCAACAACTTAGCTTTTAAATACTTAAGTAAAATAAATTTAATAATAATTATAACACATGTGATCATGGATCTGTAAATTCAAAACATTGGAAGCTCCAAAATGTAAAATTGACATACGTAGGAATGCTGATACAATACAAACAAAACAAATATTGTACTTAGTTATTATCTCAGGTAGTTCTCAGTAGTTTCTTAATACATTAAATATATAATTAAAATTGTTTATTGAATATATGGTTGTTGATAAAATTAAGCCATAATTGTGGACATAGAACTTTTGATGGCTTCTCTTGCATAAGGTATGTATGACAATGAGTACCAGGTTAATGCTAGAAATTGAAATATTATGCACAGAAATGTTAACGGAGCATTTTTCATCTAAAAACGGAAACAAAATAAAATATTAATTAAGTTAAACAATAAAATGCTAAAAAAACAATTTAAGTCCATTTCATTGAAATAGTAATTATACATCATTTTAGTGTATAATTGTAGTGCAAATGGACACTGTTACCAAAAACTTATTGTTAACAAAGAATGATATAATTCATATTTCTTAGAGAATCTTTCCTTAAAATACACTCTTGTTAAATTCAATATAATCCTTAATTAAGTGTATTAGGCATGACTGTGTCTAAATATTAACTAAATGCCTATTTTTACCATCATATAATCTAAAATTTAATTTTTGTACAAGGTATAAAACAAATGTGTACATTGTATACACATTTTAAAACTGCACGAGTACTATATGCACAAGTGTGAAATAGGCTTAATGTACTTTAGTCCAATACTAGGGGGAATCATAGTTAATCTGTACAGGTTATGTTTTACTCTTTTAATTATTATCATTTATCACTATCTCTTTTCAATAAAAATAAAATACCAGCAAATACATTCATACTCGTACCAATGAAATATTTAAAAATTTAAAGTCCCAGAAAATAATGATAAATCATTATGTCAATAACCCAATATATCTTATTTTCTTTTCTTACAATATCTTAAAATTGAATTTACAGGTTTAATCAAATTTACAGCAAGGAATAACATTTTTATAGGTATTGGTATCAATATACCAATACCTACAGCCTACAATAACTATGTTTCATACATTTAAAAAATAATATACTTACACCAATAGCTGCTACTAAAGTAAGAACAATCATCACAAGTGCAATAACTGTTGCGATAATTCTAGAAGATGAAAACATTTTTTTTACTTGTTTCATTGGACCCATCAAAAAGCACGTACTAAAATATAAAATTCATTAAACAAAGTAAAATAATAGTTATAATTTAAAATAAAATACAATTTACCTGAGAAGTGATGTTACATTTCCTAAAGTATAAAATATACTAAATACAGCCATTTTTTTGTGTAAAGGCAAAATTAAAGCTGTTGCTCCCATTAATGAAAAAAATATTCCAATCACAAAGCAAGCAATAAAGCCTTTTATGCGTGTAGACCATTCTAATGAAGACATTTGGTTAACATTCTGTAAAAACAAGAAATGCATAAAATAAGTAATCCCTATTGAATACTATTCAGACAGTAGTTGACAGGAAAATAAAAATAGCTGAGGTGTTGTAACACATTATAATTAGTTTGAGTATCATATATTGCTGGCAGTCCATTTTTTTCTTTAAGCAGTCTGGAGAATAATTTAACATACCTGTCCCCAAATCTTGTCCTGGTAGGACAAATTAAATAACTATGAATAATAACAAAATTAAGTTTTTTTTTCTTAATTTAAAAGAACAATGGTACATACTTTATCGGGCACTTTTTCTGTCGAAATTATGTTTTTTTTTGTTAATTTTAAATTTATAATCTGAGAACTCTACTGGCTCTTAAATGTAATACATCATATACCCACACAATGATAATCAGTATCACTAACGTTCAAGTATAACTTAAACGTAACTTTTGAATCAATCGAGTTCAAGGTATAATTTAATTTTAAAAATCAGCAAAAAAAAGGTCACATTTGTTCCAAAATTAAAATAACATTTCTACAATGTTAAAAGAAACTATTTTAAAAATATATTTATTACTATTTAACTATCAATATGTTTTAGAAAACCTACAAAATAGTCTTATATTTATTATTAAATAGAGCCAAATGAAGATAATTACTGGCAAAATTCCTGTAGAGCTATCATTGTCTTGATTTTCTTGCCCACTCAATGCTTTTCGTAGCTTATCCATTGTAATTGTTGATTCTCTTTATAAATCACATATTATAAATGCATTATAATATTATATTCAAAATAATTTCAGGAAACATATAATATACTTACACACAAGAGAGTGTAAAAAATTGATTGTTTATGGTATAATTATTTAGATCCAATCGTTAAGAAAACAATTTATTATATTTTCTTGTTGGACCTATTTTTTTCTTAGAAAAAATTTGGACGAGAATTGTTTTGAACAAATCATAATAAAAATATGTCACAGTGATAAGAGATAACACGATGAAACATGAAAACCCAAGGTCACATTTTTTTACCATATGAACGCACTGATTAATCAACTCCCCTTTTTGCCATTACTACTTACTCACTATACGTAGCAGTACGCAATACGCACTTCACTGCTCAGCATACGGATAGGCGGATAGGTTCCATAGTATCGGACATGGCTTAAATATACAAGGTTTACTGTATAACGCTACTTTATAATATTATCAATTCACAAAATGGTAGCGTAAAGGTACATCACTGTTTTTTGAATTAATATATCTATACGTAATATCTTTAGAAAATAAATGAATTTGATTGGCTGACCTTAACGCTGCCATTTTTTATTATCATCGAAAATGTTGATGAAGAGGGGGTAGAAATGCAAAAACCTGGTATAAAATAACCATGGTATCCGACACCCATAGGCCATAATTCATCACACACACACTTCTGGCTACCGTATCTGTACGTAACTGATTATAGTGATTAGTGTATTGAGTATTCCAAATTCCAATTCATAAACAAATCTAGTAGTAGTATCTACCGACTACTACTGCGGAAAAAGGAGCTTGGGAGTGGACCAAAGTATTGACTACTGACTTGTGTGTAAATCGGCAGCGGGCAGACGTGAAACTACTTACTACACGAGTGATACGACAGTCGCTGTTTCCAGTTGGAACAATATATTGATAGACGTGACATCGCAAATCAATCATTAAACACCCGATCCCTTTAGTGTCGATATTTTAAATTCATACACAAATTACTGATGATTGATGATATCAGTATCATTTAGATCTGTATAAATATTCGGAAAGTTTACTTTTTCTTTATACAATTCTCCTGAAAATTTACTTCATGTGAGTATATTAATGTGGTTGATTCACGATATTACTCATTGTTGATACAGCTTTGTGTAACTGTTGGATAAAACATGTTGAATCAGTTCTGTTGTTGTGTTTTAGTTTGAAATACGCATATTATAATATATGGGATGTAATTCAAGTAAAAGTGCATCAAAAGCAGTTCATAACAAAAAGCACTTGCTTCCAATCATGAGTTTGCCATCATCTAATAATGTAAGAAATTATTTATTTATTATATCTTGTAAATAACTGAATTCCCTATTTATAAGATTTAAGAATAATCTATGGTGATATAGATTTACTTTACCTGACATTCCTTTTTTTCAATCTATCTGTGCTTAATTCTATTCTATTAATACCCTTATTTTGAATTTAAAAATTATAGCTTTATTTATACTTCGGCAATTATTGTTGCCTATGACAAAACTATAGAAAAAAACAATGGGTTTTGGCTTGGAACAATTTCATTTTACTAGGAACTCTTATATAATTTTTTTTCTGGCCAACTTGTACCTAGTGTTTCTTACGTTTATTAAGAATCTGAAATAAAAAATCTATAGCCTTCTCTAGTTCAAAATTTATAGTTACTTTAACTGAGAATTATTGTTATGTTTATTTCACTACGGCTGGATTTTGAAGCAGGCATCTTTTACAATGACATTTCTCAACAAAGTAGCAATAACTTATGAACTAAAGGAGTGTGCAGATTCCTGACTTAGATTTTTAATTAGCATAAAAAACATTACATTGGGGCAAAAAATAACCAATTGCAAAATATGGGTGTTTTGTAAAGTGCATTTATTGGCTCGTACTAACATAATATTACATAGTGCAATTTTCAATAATTAACATATTATTTTTTTATTTTTAAATAACATTTACAATCTGTACATAAAAGAAAATATACAATACAATAAGAAAATATGCTAACAATGTAAATAAATGTCTTGTAGACTATGAGTTGGGAAGCTATCCAGTGATAGGACCCTTACAATATTATTTTTTTATATTCGTATTTGAAAAAATATTCATTTCCACAACTCAAGTAGTTGTAGTTGCATTTTCAAAAAAAAATTGTATTTTAAACGTAAAACTAACTTAATATTTTGTACATTTTAACAAATAAGCTTAAAGTTTTAATTTTCTATTAGTAAGCATAATTTTTAAATTAATGAACTAGTTTATTGTTGATTTGTTCAAGGAAAGTAAACTCTGTTAGGTGTATTGCAAACTAGATGGTGTAAAATAAGTAATAATTTGTGCTGGCTAAAAATTAAGATTGGTTGTTTAGACCTAAAATACATTGATTGCAACAGTATTAAGATTGTGTAATATCAGCTTATTAAAAAGCAGCAAATATATTATTTAATAATGCTATGACAAACATATTTTTTAATTTTCCATTAAAAACTTTATCATTGATAATCTAAGTTTTAATTTTCTGCTATATAAAAATTAGGCTTCTATTTTTTTAACATGAAAATGCATAGTAGGATTATCTGAAACTGTTAGAATAAACATGAAATATAATATATAACGTTACAATTTTTTTAAAAATCTGTAGCTAAAAGACGTCCGGTATTCCAGAATATATAAGTTCTTTTAAATTACTAACATGGAAAATGAGTGGTTTATTCATTTTTACTAAAACTTTACGGTAACTTAAGCGTTCTTCGAACAGCACTGTCCTGCCTTATCTGGTATAATAGATTGTAATTGTACCTTTGTTATGCGTACAATGTTTAAACAATGAATGTAGAATTTGAGAATACTAATATTGTGCTTATTCTTTTGTGTATGAATGATTTAAATTCTATAAGTACTCAGGTTATGATTTTTTTTTTACCACCATTTCACAGATAATATTACAAGGTTAATGGCCAGCAGATGACGTGTGTTAGCATATTAAACAGCTAATAGGAAAAATAACAAACTAGAAGAGTATTTTGAAAGCATTATCAGAGTTTAGTTCTTTAATAAAATTCTAAGACAGACCAATGTAAGTTGCAAGTACTCTCATTACACAAATACAACTAACCCTTGAATAAAAAAAAACTAACTAATAAATACTATCATAGTTTTATTTATTTTATCTAAATGTTCTCTTTATTCTACAGTTTGTACGATAAATAAACATTTGGATGATGTAATTATTACACACCCCTTCCAGAGTTGTGTTACCACCCTCTTGTGCAAGGGTGTTTCCTCTTTATTGATCCATTCTAGAGGGCATGGCCAGTGAGCAACACTCACTTTCTCTACCTTCCAACATAACATAACTGAATATTTATTTTTTTGTTTTTATTAATTGAAAGTAAATGGTTATTCATTTTTGGTAACTAATTTTAATTATGTTATTAATCTAATACATTTTATGGAGCATAATAACACTACAGTAGAGAAATGTAATAAATTAAATAGTACAGAGCTATTTACAAAAATATAGAGGGAGCTGCAATCAATTCACGTCAACACATAGTAATGAATGAAAAATTGTGGTTAAAATTAATGTTTATTTATTTTTTATCAAAGTGTTGAATTCATACATCATAATAAATCAAACTCAATCAATATTCATTGTGATTTAGTAGCTTTGACATTGAATATTTATGTTATTCGTATCTAACATATTAAATATGCATACCATTTAACAGTTTTACACTACCTTAGAAACATTAAAGTGCGTTAGGTGATAACTTGAAGAATAATTAAAAACAGTGCAAGATTATGGTAATTTTATTTAGTATTATTAATAGTAGTTAATATATTCAATATTAATATTGAATTTGTTTTTAATATTTATTCATTTATAAATTATCAGCAGTAGGGATGGTGCAATTTCGGGATGTTAACTATAAACTTGTTGTAGTATAATTGGCTATTACTTAAATAGTGTTTTTGTACAAATTCAATCTCATTTACAGCTAGATTTCACAATATATTTATTTATATATATTTGAGATTTGTTATCATTATATTAAATTGTAATTTGGATGAGAAAATTTAGTTTAAACTGTTATGGGGTTATAGCAAAAACATCATTTAAGGTTGAAAGTATCTATTACTCGTAAAGTTGGATAATTATTGTACATTAGAGTCTATAGAACTCATTTATATAGGTAGTCAAAACATAAAATCGAATAATAGCCTAGAATGAAACAATTTTGGGGAAAAAACCTCTTGTTGGCCGACTACGAAGTTGCAAACTTCAAAATGCAATAACTTAAAAATCATTAAAGATTCAGAAAATAACACTAGCTCAATGTCAGGAAATATTAATAAAAAATCCCCTTTCGTTTTTCAAAATGCATATTATTTTTACCATACTGACTAATCAATATCCAAAATCGGTAAACAAAAAAATCTTTTCTTCCAACCTAAGTAGTTGAAATAACATGTAATTTACTAAATTCTATGTAAAGACTAAAACTCTAAAATTTAGACTTTTAAAAAAATAAGTAGGATTCAAAATTAAATTGAATCCCGCTACTGAATTCTGTTGGTAAACATTGTTTTAATTATTGTATAGATCTGAATGAAAAAAATGACAATCATGTATTTTCGTCTCAATAAAACTTACAATTTTGTGACTGGAAAAATTATTATTAGTTATTACTTATTACCTACCTGAGCAGGCTGAAGGCAACAACCTCATTCAAATAAAAAAATATTAACTATGTGTACAGTTTTTAATATTTTAGTTAAGTGACATTGTCACTTTTATTTATAATATAAGTTAAAGTGTGTTAATTTTTTTAAAGTTGCTATGAATTATAATTTTTATTTTTTTAAATAATAATGATTCATTATAATATTTATTTTATTATTTTTTATTTATTGATTATTAATATTATTATATATTTTATAATTAATAAAAGAGAGATTAATATAATTAATATTTACATAATACAAAAAAAACCTAAATTTTGCTTTTCTGAATTTCTAAAGTAGCAATTCCAAGTTCTAAGAGAATGAAACAATACTTATTGTCTTCTAAACGTACTATAAATAGATTTATTTTGGTTCTTGTTCTAAAAATACAGTGTTTTTATCATCGTTATAAACAGTCTGAAGTTTATTTTTGTTTCTATCACGTGTATAAAATCTATTTCAGTATATTTTAGGAACTAAATTGTTGACGTATTGCATTGACATAGTCAACATCGTCTAGTTTTTATTGCCTGTAAAATCAATGCGTTCAAGTTGAAACGATTGTTTGAAAATTATATTAAGATATTAAGTTGTAATTCATAAAAGTACAATGCATAATAGGCATAAATATATTAGATTTATACGCACATCTCATTTCTTTTTCGTGTTCAGAATAATAATAATACTTAATCGGCTGACGGCGTGTATATGTAGAATTAACTTAAAAAATCCTAATGTTTCTTTCTACCTACTATTTTTAAAACCATTTTATTAGAAAACAATATAACCAGACTAATATCTTCCAAATCAATAGCAACATGTTAAAACTTACATAATTTTATAAACAGTGCAAATTATTTTGAAGTAAAAATTGTACTTCTCTTTTTTCTAAAATACTTTATTTGGTGAGTGGATTTTCTATCTTTTTCGTAGACCACGTGTTTTAATTTATGATTTTTTACAAATATTTGCGAAAACTGATAAATAATTTGTTTAATTAATAAAATTATAAAAATATATAAATCTTGAAATGCCAATTTAGTAGCACTTTTCGTATGTTAAAATCTATATATAAATCTATAGTGACTTTAACTGATGAAATGTATTAAACAATTTAAATATTTATTTAAATTCATGAATTAAATAACTTACCAATCCACCTCTTACCTATTTATGTATAGTATATAATTAGTTGTAGTGCTGAAAGTTTATATATGTCGATAGTTAATTCTAAATGTTTTCAATGTACTAATTTTTAATTATTTTATAACTTAATATTGTTAGGATGACGAGCCATTAAGTAAATAGTATGCTTGCCGTTTTTACTCCTGAAATTGAGCTATTTAAGTTAAATTTTTTAGTTTTCTTATTTAAAATTAGGAGTACCTATATATATTATATTAAATGTAAAAAATGCCGGCGACAATGACTGGTTAATCGAATATCCTCTTATGGAATTGGGAAAGGAAATCGTGACCTCATGTTTTCACAATAATCTCACGCCTATGTTCCACATATCCTGCCATATGGTGTTATCGCTGATTACACAATACACTCGTCACAGTTGTGCAAACTTTATATCTCAATTGTATTTTTAGTTCATGTAAATTTTGTAATGTTAAAAAATAAATTATAATTCTTTTTAGGCGAACCGAAGTTTAAAAAATCAATTTCCAGCCACAAAAGGGTTGTCTTCATCTTTTGGATTTAGAAGACCCACTCAGACCAATAAAGTCAGACCAATATCAGGTCCATCTAATTCGATTGACAAAGTGCCTATAGACACTAAAATGCCAAAACCAAGTACAGCACCTACAGGAAATTGTCGAAGTAGTAATTCAAAATCTACACCTTCACCTAATAGGTAAATTTAGTCATTGGTGTTATAATTTAACAGTCGAGTAGGTATGAGTAGTAAGCTACAACATTATTTTTAGGTTTGGATTTTGTAAACCAGTTGTAAAACCTGTCCAACCTATTGCAAAAAAAGTAGAAATAGAGCGAAGAAGTCAGTCTGAACCTCAAAAGAGAGAAATTCCTAAATTGAATTCTGGTGGTTCAAAAATTGCAGTATCAAAAGTTACTGCTAGCCATTTGCCGAGGCCTCAAATACCACTTAGATACCAAATATCTAAAAGTCCAGATAAGAGTGCTAAGACAGCCGCTAATATGCGCTTAAAAAATGAAGCAATAAGAAAAATGCAGCAAGGAGTGACTGTTCGAAAATTAAGTGACTCAGTTGAGTTTACTGAAGTGATTGCCATTAATAGGCCATCAAGGCTCACATTAAATTCAAATGCTAAAGGACCTTTAATAAGAGAAAGAGCCAATAAGTATTTAAGGTTAGTTTTTTTGAAATTATGTATGTAAGCTAGCATACTAACAATAGTAAACATATTTTTTCCAAAATCCTTTTTTTAGGCAAGTATCTAGTTCATCTTCTAAACATTTGACATCATCTGATGAGGATTCAGACCTAAGCAGTTACGAAGAAAAACATGACAAGTAAATGTTGTTTTAAACGATGGCTTTTCTAAAATAAGTAGAAGTGTTTGAGCACTGGAAATAACAGAAAATCCCTTCTCATTATATTATAAAACAAAAAATTGTTTAGTGTGCTAATTTCATAACTAAGGATTTTAAGCACACTTAAACTCCCCCAAATTGCTCTTATTTTTTTAATATGTACTTTTTTTTTAGCAAGGGTCCGGATATTATTCTTAAAAAGTTCCTATCTGATTTTTTTCCGGAACAAAAATTGGATAGAAACAAAAAGATTCATTTGTTCAGAAAAAAATATAAGAGTAAAATATTATTAGTAAAATATTATTGCTGAACAAATGATTAAGTGCAGCATTAAGACAATTTTCGGAACTTTATCAAGACCCTTTATTTTTAGTTATAAAAATGATTGATTTTACTATTTTTATGTTTAGGGAAGAGTTTATAAAAGAAAAGACTGAAATAATTGAACAGGTGGATACACCATGTAGCGATGAAGAATATGGACCTGGTGAAGCATTAGCTGTAGAAGAGTTCACAGAGATGAAAGATAAAATGAATGTTGTAGATAATAAGTTTGGTTAGAAAAATATTTTATTAAAAATAAATCTATTAAATTCATTAAAAAAAAATGATTTGTCCAGCTAATGTAGATATGTCAGTTTCACTACGAGATGTCCTGTTGAACATTGAAGATACGACATTTGCCACTTTGGCAGCTATGTCTTCCAATATGCGTATTGAAGATGAAACATCACCAGATGATGAATGCTTAAGTCCTACCGAGTCAGAATCTGCTGAATTCCATCATAGTAAAACAGGTAAACTACTTTCTACAAAATAATTAGAAATACATATTAGGTATCTAATAACACTACAACAATTTTGAGGCTAGATTCAGATTTATCGAAAAGTAGATTTATTTTAGTTTTTGTTCCAGAACAGTGTTGTAAAGAGTAACTTATGGAAATAAAGTTAGGTAATAAAATCTAGGTAAAATTATATAAATATGTAATTCACAATCGTAAGTTAATACAAATTTCCTTTTTAATGCAAATTCATAAATAAGAGACTTAATATATTTATGCAAAAAAATTATAAGTTAATTACAGAAATACAATTAAAAGCAAATTTTGTGTAGCAAAAATTACCTATATTAAAATATCTTTTATTAAACATAAATTGGTATTAATCATTATTAGTAATATAAAATGTGTATAATTAAACTTTATTTAAAATATATTGTCTTTCAAAATCGTGAAGTAAGTTTTGCGCACTGCAATTTTTATTACGTTTTTTTTTCATAAAGTTAATAACATTATGTTTCGTTAATCATAAAGTTTCCCAACATGCATGTATGTTATATATTATAGAATTTAGAGACTTTATTCCTAATATGCACTTATGTCGTAATGAACATCAGACGATTTTTAGGATTTGACGTTTGCTAAGCTCTGAAAAAAAACAGTTGTGTTACTTGTGGTGAATAGTTATTAAAGAAACAAAAATGTAGAGAAGTCTGGAACTAGATTGCTTCTTGTTCTTGGACGATCTTGATGACCATTTAATACAACATATTTTAAAACGTAATAAAAAAATTTCAATTTGAAATCGTAACTAGGTTACTGGTGTATTTTATTGGGTCCTCAAATCCTGAATAGCTATAAAACATTATTTTAGCAGTAATAACTGAATATTTTACATTTTACAATATTTTTGCATTTTCTTTTCCTATTAGTTGTAACCATATAGCTGTCAAACATTATAAAGTACAAAATAAATAATCAAGAATCCTTAGTTCAGTTTATAAATAAATCATATATGCGGTGGTCTTATAATTTTTATTATCTGAAGTTTTACATTTAATTCCAAAATACTCTGTAAAATATGTTTTTCTGTTTACCGTTATGTGATATCAATTTATTAATTTTTCGGTTACTCAATCCACTGAATTTTAATAATTTTTAGAAAAAATACTAATAACCCTGAACTTTCAACAGTTTCAGGAAAAAAAATATTCGATTTATAAAAAAAATCCCACGCTTTAAGCATGTTAACATTCTCCATTTTTCTATGAAAATTTGGCAATTCTAGTACTATCATAGCCTCTACAGTATTATTTCGCGCAAAGTGCAAACTGTTTTACACTAGAAATTACAGTTAGGTAGCGTTCTCTGAAGGATTTGTTTTAATAATCTAAAAATAAGTACGAGTATTCATTTTACTGGTTAATGGAAAATATAAAAAATACTTACCTTGCCTGTAGAAAATTATACTTCTACACATATAAAGAAAAGTAAAAAAATCTACAACCGTTGAATATTTTACTTTTTTATATGGTTACTGCTAAAAATATAACCTAACCAAGTTAAAAAGAGTATCACGGTACAATTTGGCGGCTGATCTTTATTTATTCAAGCGCAACATAGTAAAGGTTTTCTGAGAAACGCATGATTTTTAAATTCAATAATTGCCACCATAACCGTAACCGGACTCTAAATCGTTCATATTTCATGCCGCCCTTGGTATTGAATACTTTTAAACTATCGATAAAAATAATGTATAAATCATGTCGATTTTTACATCTCTCATAATTTACAAATTGGAATCTGGACGGCCACTATTTTGGAAATGGTTTTATATTTTGCAATAATTATTATACGACAACGATGGTTTCTGAAAATGGAAACTATAGTTTTTCAAACAAAAACAATATGTAAAATCTTCGAAAAATCGGAAATGAATACTTATATCTATATTCATACAAATTTATTCGCCGAATTCGATTCTTTGAAGTTGCGAAAAACACGACTTGTCGCTCTTTTTTATGTGTTACCCAATATGTATTTATTACAACAATAATAAATATTAATAATAAAAACTACAATCCATATCTTCTATTCAGCATTTAACACATATTTTAAGGAATTACATTGTTAAATATAATATAAACGCTTCAATGCGATTCTGTCTATGGTAAAACTATTAAATATCAAGAAAAAGCATTGTATAATCAAAATTGAACTTAACATTTTATTTTAGCAATTGGGTATGACTGTCTGTCTATAATATTTTTTTACAATTACTTATATGTACATATATTTTCCCGATGAGTCATTCACACACAACAACCTGGAAATTAATTACGCAGCCGGTGTGATTTTTTCATTTTTTTGGTTTTCCTTAAAAAAAAAAAATTTAACTACAGATTTTTGAGAAAATTGTATGTTATAGTCCTATTCTAGATCGACCTTCAGTTATTTAAGTCCTAAAACTACGTCTAACAAATTTAAATAAAGAAAAAGGTTCCTCCCCCTCTAGGGGAAAAGGTAAGGTTCTTGATAAAATGGAAAATAGTGTGGTTATGTTGTAAATTATTATATATGTAATAGTCAATGTTATTTGTACAATATAGTTTATTAATTGTTCATGCAACTTACCTCTAATAACTTTAGTGATATTTAGATGTTATCCAGAATAACACACAATTTCAATTGTAAATATCATATATTTTACTGTTTATTGGTGGTAGAAAATTAATTAAAAGCAACGTCTGCTTTCGTCTAAACAAACGATTGAAATATTTTTAATAAAATAAATAAAATAGAAAAGGGATACGGTCAATGGGACTACAAACCGCGATAATATCATTATCGGTTAGTCTATTTATAAAAGCAAAATTACAAGAGCAATGACCAATTTCTTGGTAATATAGGATAAACGTTTTTATGTTTACAATGTCAAATAATATTATGTTGGTCATCCAATACTGTTTTTGATGAGTCATGATTACTAACATCAAAGTGTAGATTTTAGGCAAGGAGGAAACTATTGAAATGGACCAATGCCTTCCTCAGCTAGGTATTTTTTTAAAATCAAAAATATTTTATTAAAATTAAATTATTTGTATACAGTGTATCATTAGTATTTATTAATGAAGAATATACATTAGTTATTACTTAGCTAATACAAGTTACAATTATATTGAAGGCGTAGCTTATTGATTTACGGTTACCTATAAAACTGACAAATATATCCGCAATAATAATATATGAATATTCGATGCAGACAATGGCATACAGAAAAATTAGAGATATCGAAGTATTAAAATAATTGATTTCTCCACTATACTACTTCACGTAATATAACAAAACCGATCCCTGGCCAATAACCCTTTGCTGGACTGTTGATTGCTACCTATATAGTAGTAATAAATGGTAATTTTTTTATCATACTACCAAAGCGACTATTAACAACAGAAACAGTTTTCGTCGGACACTGGGGATTTTTTTTTTTATCAAAATACCTACGCAAATACCGTTTTACTCAGTCCATCGTGGATATCATGTATGATATTTCCTACAAAAGGTCATCCTTCTTCGTTTTCAAAATAGGTTTTGTTAGTCTTGCTCTTTATCCACCACGGATCGAGTAAAGAGCATTCAGCGCATAGTACAATTTTTACACTAGATAATTAAGTGCATAACGACCTTGTATAATTGTTGTTAGTTGTTTGATTGTGTCGTATTTAACTGTTACTTTCTAGTTTCTAGCCCCTATGATAGTTGATTTTCCATTTGTATAACTCTTTTTAGGGTCGTCAGTAAAACAAATATTTTATTATTTCGTACTAATAATTTTATTTATGAATGGAATATAGTTAAACTGAATTATAATGAAATTATTCCTATGTTTGCCATCTACTGGGACTTTGGGGATGTAAAAAACTGTAGGTTTAAATGCGTTTATTCGCTACCTTCTTTATAAAATATAATTATAAATAGGGAAAGAAATAATATTTGTTGTGATCAATTCTCGAAAATTTTTAAATTACTTGTACGGTTACTGGCCTTTTAAAAGTGTTGTCAATACCCATAAAATTGGCTTATTCATAAATCAATGAATAATGTAATATTCAAACTTTTCATCTTGTCCTGTACAGAATCCATTCACGGCGAGCATCACCGAGATTCCATGTCGCCGGCTAAGTGTAACATTTCCAAGTGTGGGTCGTTTTCGTCGGACACTAGGGATTTTTTTGACGATGAGATAGCTGACCAGCCGGCCCTTATGTTTAGTGGACCACCGTCGGAGTCATGTAATGGAGACGACATTGACGAAATTATGTTTCGACGGGGAAGTTATATAAGCAGTGGTCGAACGGGTATAGACTTTCAAAATACATAATCCCGCGTTGTGACATTTAAAAGTGTATTGCAAACCCGATTTGTGTACATGTGTGTATAATTATGCATACATATGAAATATTTATTTTTTTTTTGCGTAGGCAACAAATCTCTGAGACGATCACAGAGCGCCGACGGGTCTCTGAGCGACAGCCTCAACTCGGACGACCTAATGTTGGATTTGGACCTGGCAGACGATAAGAACTCGGTGAAAAACGCCACTCCTAACAGCGACGAAGATCAAACCATGCTGAAAACATTGGAGAGCAAAAAACAGAATGCGTTTGATGAATGGACTTGTTTCATAACCAAGAGGTAGGTCCTACGGGATAAAATTAAAAAATAAGTTATAATTACATTTGGAGAGCACGTTTATGGTAATGGCGTAATACATTTAACGAGGGGAATACAAAAAAAAAATATACTACATGTTATTATTGGGTGGGAGTAAACTATTTTATTGTCGATACTACCGAAAGAGGACAATGTTAATGACCTTGGTCGCTGCCGCCGCGGACTGGTGGAACCGAGTGCGTGTTCCCCCCAACTAACAGGCAGCAGGCTACATCTGAGTCATTAAACCGGTTAACTACACACCGTACAGTCAATGTGCTCCGTCACTATTTTTCTCTTACTTCTCAAAGCCGCCGTACTAAAGAAGTATTATTTTGTCCTTAAGTCTCAAGCTTTCCCTGGGCGCCGTCGCTTTCGTCAATTTCACACATTAAGACGTGTTCAATACATAACAAACGCGTTTATATATATAAATGTGCAGTAAAAAACAGCTGGTCTGTTCGTAATAAAAAAAGTTCGAAATGATCAAAGCATTTAATAGATCTAAAAGAGTTTTTAAAAGGTTTAAAAGAATAGACGAATAAAAAAAAATTACTCAAATAAGTTTAATTGTGTTATATTTGTTTTTTTAGGAACAGTAGTAGTTCATTAAAGGAAGATAATATAGTCCCAGTCCAAGATACAGTTGATGTCAATTCAAAAGTAAGCGAATAGCTTAATTTATCCTGTTTGGGCAGTGGTAACATTTTTTGAGTAAAATTTAAGTGTATAATTAAAGGAGATCAACAATGGGGAGGTAATAATGAGCTACAACCGGTTTCAAGAAGTCACAGACGAGGTTGCGAGCATCAAGAGCATGTTGTTCGAGTTAAACAGAGTTCTAATAGAGGTAATTAGCAAACTGAATTATGACAAACATTTTTTTTGAAACCCTTTTTTTATTTTGTACAAATCAATTTTGGGCTATTGTACCGGTGTCCAATTCTCAAATGGTATCACCAAGTACTATAGTATGCTTGTTTTGTACATAATAACTGAGTTCAAATATCAATAGTAAAAAAATCAATCATACATAAATCCCAAGGACCAAAGTTTAGTAATTAGTTTAATTAAAAAATCAGCTGAATGCCAAGGTTGGTAAACAATAAAAAGAGTGTTCTTAAGATAAATTATTTAAGGATATCTAAAACAATTTTTGTTTTGTCCACTTTGTTTATTATTAATCAAAATATTTTTCTAGGACAAAAAAGATATGACTTATCCATTGGAACAGGAAATGCATTGCTGTTACGAGGATCAACTCGTGGATTTGAAACAACAGGTTAGTTAAATAATTGAGTAAAATTATTTTGTGTTCTTATAATGTTCAATATCAACAAATCATAAATGATCAAATTCAAAATGTATCTTGTTTAGAAATACTCAGTAGTTTATAAATTGTAATAAAAGCATGGCTTACTTTGCATGAATACTTTATTTTAAATGGGATAAATATTTTTGTAAAACTGCTGCATTTTGGAGACAAGTATGCGTTATTTACTTTAATCAGGAGTTGAGTTGCGGATCATGCGTTTCAGATAGCGTATATGGCTCAGCAGATGGAAAAAAAGGACCGTACTATTCAGATACTCAGGGATCAGTTAGCTCAAAAACCACGATTATCAGTAAAAACGATAGAAACACGAAATTCTGCCACACAAACCGACCGAGTTAGTACTTGTTATTTTTTTACATTAATATTAGTATTTTAAATAATAAATATTTCTTTATTTTTCTTTCAAGTGTCGGTCGACCACAATACCAACATTATGCACCTTCGATAGAGATGGCCAAACAAATGGGCGTCCAGTAATCAGGTATTTAATTTGTTTAAATGTACAGTCATTTTTTTTAACTGAAAAGATATTATTATGTGTTATTAATTTTAAAATATAACTTTGTATTTTTAATGCTAACAATGACATTGTTTACTTTCAACAATAGTTTCGCGCTGGGACAGGTAGATAAACTAGATATGGTGTTGTGTTTATTTGCAATGTGTGCGTTTGAATATTTCTGCTTGTCTATTATAATGCTTTAAATCATTTGGCACCCATCCCAGTGAGCATGAATGTAGATTTTAGTCTACAATATAAAAAATTCCAAGTATAGTTACTCATAAAACATAATATTATTTCACATTTTTAATCGATTTTCTAAATGTTTTATGTACATTAACTATTATGATTTGTTATTATGCTCGTGAGTGTTATAGGCACACATAATAGATAAACAGTTTTATAATTATGTCCTCGAAATTCATTTACATACGATTAACCTACATAACTGTTTTATTTTTATCACCACTTCTGCATGATACCATTATTGTTCAACTTAGCTATACCGATAGTACCTACTGGATTAAAATAATTGAATGCATGTCTTACGTGCAAGATAATAAAACAAGAAACATTTTGAATTTGATTTAATAGAATCGTTGATTTAACAAATTATACAAACATTTTTTTATTAAAATATTCAAGATAGCAATTTTAAACAATTTTTCTGAACATTTTAACTTGTCTACAACCAGTTAACCATATGTCTTATGGTTAAAGGTTAATCTAACATTAATATAGACATTTTCATGTCCTAATATTGCAACATTGTCACAATATCTAGAAAAGGACATAATATTCATGATCTAATATCTCTCACTCAACACCTCATACATTTCAGACTCTAATAACTTTAAAAGTATTTATTCAAAACTGGTTATTGACCAATCAAAATGTTCAGTAAGTTATTCTTATTTAAAAAAAATAATTAAATATATTCGTTGCCATTTAAATTTAAAAGTTAATAATGCTGTGGGAAATATTTAAAAAAAGCTAAATATTTTGTAATTGTATAACATTGTACAATAAAACAAATAAAAAAAGCTTCAATAAGAAAAACTATAAAATTGTAATTATTTTCTGAGAAAATTAGTGTCTTGCATTATGGATCACCCTGTATGTGTTACGTATAAGTTAAAACATATAAATAATTTTTAATCAGAATATTATATTCGTATGCATATTTTTTTTATCGATTTTTATAATGGAGAGAATGCATTGAATTTTCCGTGAGCTAATAAATGTTAAAAATGTGAGCGCAATGTTGATTGTGTATAACAATGGAGTCAAAAATATATTTAATGTATAAGTATGTTAGTCTCGTTTTATGGATAACGACTTGCGCAAAAGATAAAAGAATGAGATAGCTAGCCTAAAACAAACTCACGATTTACATAGTAATTAGTATGTTATATAATAATAAATTATTACTATGGAGAGAGGATTTCTGAATTATAAAGACAAAAATCCTTACACAAAATGCTGTTAGTATACTGCAATATTTATAAATAGGTACACATACATCTACCACACATAGAATTATCCGTCTCCTGTAACATTATGTAAAACTATACATATAATTTTTGAATCTGTAAGGGATCGTGTTTTCATTTCGAGTCAATTTGGCCAATTTAAATTCCTCCGACCTCGTTTAAAGGAATACCTAAAATAAATTACATATATTTTTGTTTGTCGTACTTTAATTAAAAACAACAGCTCGTCATACAAGTGTACTGTACTATACTATTTGCTTTCTGGTTCTAACTTCTATACTAATTGCTGCCGAATGTTTTCCTAGTATTTTCTGACAAAAGAAAACGTTACCACAAATTATGTATTCTGTTATCGTAATACTAGTATGTCAAACTAAAAAAACCTTTAAATGTATTTACTAACGACTAACGAGTCACTATTTATACTTGTTCACTCGTTTTTTTCAAACTCATAACAACATACTACTGAGAACTGCTGTTTCTCTTACTGCACGATGTACTTTTAAAATATCCTATTATGATTATGTTTATGAACAATTTTCCCGTAGCTCCTAATGGCAATTTTTGTGTTACTATTACTAGGAATCTCTTTAATGCTCGCAAATAAAATAGTTCATACCCGACAAATCATTATGAATTGACGTTGTACCATAATAAATATTATATAACAGGGCTCAAATATAGATAAATTCATAAATGATAATCAATCCTGTAGGCGTGCAAACTCCTGAAAACACACATGATGTTTCTAATGTCATTCGATTAGTAAATCATCGCCAAATAAACATTTTTAAGGTCGAGAACAGTTTCCTCTCCAAACATTTTCTATTTGTGCTACATAAATTATATTTTATACTAGGTAGTCTATTTAATCTATAATACTAAATAAGCTTTTATCCGGAACTATAAAAGTATTTTTTTCTATTTTTGTCATCTGGACTTTCAATAACTTTTTAACCTGACAGAATTCTCCATGTAGAATAGACATTACTGTCAGACTTCAATTATATTATGGTATGAATGAAGGTTTGGTACAGAAGGACTGATGTAATCAATTTTTTTTTTTATCACAATGATGTTTTTTTATCAGTTTTTAATTTTCCGCTTCTCATCCCATACAAATTGAATTAGCCATCCATATTCTCTTTCTGCATTTCTCTATTCGCCAATTTACACATACACAACGGTAGCTTTGTTAATTTTATAAATGTATTTTTATAAGTCTGTATAATTTTTAGTACATCGTGTGTGTCAGTGGTGCATTTAGGATTTATTTATAGACTATATTGACTATACTTTGAAGTAAATCTATAACGTCATTATTTAATGAAACTTTTATTTATATAAAAGTTAAACTAATTTTGATTATAATGTGAAGAACCTTAATATGTATTTATTTATTTTTTATGTAGAATTTAGAAGCTATTATCACAGTGGTCATTATATTGTAATCTTATTAAATCAGGATTTTTATTAGAAGAAAGCGTTGAAAAATAAATGATTAGGGTGGTCCAATCTGAGGACAAAGAGTACTGAGTAAGACAATTTTAGATATCCATCATGGCACTTAGTGCGGCAGGATTCAAAAATATATACTAACTTAATCTAGTTTATTAAAAATATGAGGGCTGGTGGAGGGGTTCTCATTAATATATTTTCCATTATTGAAAAGTTTATTCTTAAAGTTTTTAATGTTATAAACGTATGCCTGTCTAGAATTTTTAGACTTGTATAGTTAGCTGTGTGGTTATTGGTCATTTGTATATGCATTAACATTAACATTTTTAATTAATTTTTAGGTGCAGTGATACAGTTGAAAGGTCAAAGTCAGTGTCAGGCAGTCGCATTCGCATCGGCATGCTTAAGCATAAATTTCTAATGGACGCGGGAAGAACGTTACCAAATGTATAAAATTACTCGTTCCTCTTCCGTACAGTATTATATGTATTAAACAAATCATTCCATGTTTAAACGTTCCATGAATTGAAACTATAAGTATAATTTTTAAGTACCATTTATTTTGTTCCAAGTGATTAGTTATGTTCGTGTAATTTACACGAGTTCATTTTCAATTGTTTTTGAGTTTAAGTATTATAAAATGTATATTTTACACATGCATATATTCTAGAAACCTCGTACTAGGGGTTTTTTTTGCTTAATGTGTTATTGTCTTTTTTTCCACTTTACCAAAATTAAACTAGTCAATCTTTGTTTTGTTTAAATATACATATATTTTTTTGTATTTCTAACAACACTAAATTTGTGTTTTTTGTAATGTCGAATAATATTACTCTCGTTTATTTGTTAGGGACCTTAACACATTTTTGGTGTATAACAATTATTATTAATCATCTAATTCAATATTTTTATTTAGCGCATTTTTCTCATAATATGAGTAAAATAATCTCTTTTCCCTAAGACTATCTATAATAAATTTAAATTATAGTTTATTATAATAAATATACATTGTTTATAATATATTATATTTTAATTAATGTACTTAGTTATTGTACAAAAATTATAACTATTTTTTGGTATTATTGTCTTAAAATTGTATAATACAATAATTTGTTTGCTAGAAAACTGAAATTCAGACATTATTTTATTATTAATTATATATATATATAATAGATATAACATATTATAATTTTTACAATTAAATAGTATTTGTAAATTGTATCATATCATAAGCAATGTGTTTAAATTATTGCGGTATATTTGATTATTTAATTTTTATATAATATTAAATTATTTCCTTGCTATACTTGGGTGTATCCTAAAATAAATCAAAACCAGTACTACTCTATTGTAAATATAATTTTATTTTCTTTGTTCTAAGTTAAAATCTATATATTATTCTTACCGGGCAAAGTTTTGCTGTGATGAGTTAAATTACAGCTAAGTGGCGATTTAACTAGTTTGGAACCTAGAGTGGCAGCACAATATGACAAAAGGTCAGGCGTCGTATTGTATTTGACCACAGCTACTCTGCTTATTCTATGTATTGTAATTTGTAAATTTCGTATTAATCGTGGTATCCATCTAGAAGCCATTCTATCATTTCATGATGGCAGCGTTGAAACTTAAGGCTCATTAGGCTGATGATGATGATTCATTGTGTTGGTACCAAATAAATGATTATAGACTACAGTTCTGCCCTCAAACAAAATAATAAAATGGCATCAATTTTAACTGAATTAAGTTATTATTATATGAAGGCTATTAACAAAAAAAAATATATATAACTAATATTAATTATAATTATACTTTAAGTTTCTTTGATCTTTTGAGATAATACTTATTTTTCTGATTGTCATGTTATGATAGGAAAGTTAATAACCTTTAATTTAATTATATCTCGAAAATAACCAAAAATTAAAATTAAAGTGGTTTTTTGGTACGTCAGACATTTTTTGCTTAAAATTGTTGATGCAAAAAGTTTAGTTTGTAGTCCAGGATTTCCATAAATAACATGAGTGCATCAGACTTAAACAAATAGCAATTAATATTGTGACTAATGTAAAAATTGCATTATATAAAGAAACTACTGATTGAGATCGGGGTTTCAATTGAACAACAACCAGATATCAATTATTAACAAAAATTATTGTTTATGGAGAAATTATCATTACATTTAGAAAGCAAGTAGCAACAAATAGTAAAATCTGACTACACTTGCATGTTATTGCAAAATTTATTTTTCCCCCCATTATAGAAAAATGGATAGAGGAAAAAAAACAAATTGTATTTGATTGTTGCTCCAAGCCCTTAAACTGTTGAGGCAAGATGTGTGAGTGTTTCTGATTTTTCAAAATTTATTTACAATGTAAAACCACTTATTTTAGAATATTAAGAGCGGTAATTTTACTTTTCAGTTGGTCTTTTGCTATAAAAAAACTGAATCAACAGACGATTTACAGTAAATGCAATTATATTTGTGTAATTATTGTTCAACAATGGCTAAAATAAGTTAAAAATAAACATATATAAAAAAAAATTGACTAATAAATTATACATATATAAATAAATAAATAAATATATGTAAAAAAAAATAACATAAAAACATATCTTGAACACAAATTTTTGAGAAAAAAAATTATTTTGTACCTATAATGTATTATTTTTTAAATAATATAAATATATATTAGATAGTAAAATAAAGAATAATTGTTTAACACTACAGTCATAGTAATAATAAACAGTACTAACTAATGTCAGTGTGCATTTTCAATAAATACTAAGTATGCTATAAAAATTGTATTTCAATTTTCAGTGGCACTAACAATGTATACATTGTAATAAGTATTTCAAATTATATGCTTTAATGTACAATTAAGTTTATTTTTAAAATAAAACAAGTAGACATTCCTCAATATGATAACTCGAGTATAAATTTAATAAAAAAAAGTGGGCATGCAGATTGCGGTGAAAAGATAACTGAAACAAAATGATTACTGTGAACTGTGATGTGATAAATTAAAATACAAATAAATAATTTTTTGCTCGAATAAATTTGTTTGGTTACATTAAAAAAAATCAACATACCTATAATTATATGAGCTGAATTAATAAAAAAAACTGGTGAGTAGAACTTAATAATTATAGTACATTATACAGAGATCAAATTAAAAAAGTATTTTAATTTTTGGTAAAAGAAAAATATGAAAAAAAGTGCAAGTGATGTGCAGCGATAAAAAATTACCATAAATGATTATCAATACAACAAATTATATAATAATTTATATATAATCCAAATTTGTATTATAGCACACAAAAACAACTAAAATTTTGTGAAATTATCAAATAATTAAAAAAATAAAATTATATAAATTACTAGAGATTTTGATAGGTAACAAAGAAGCTAAACCCAAACTCCATGTGGATTTTTGCTCGTTGGTGCAGCATTTTCAAGCTGTCTTGGTGATCCTATCATCTTACGAGTACTTCCTGGTCTTTGAGCCCCTAAATACATACATAACAATATCACACAAATATTTGTACAACAATAATTTAAAATAACTTTACTTTATCTAGGCAGAAATTACAGGGGAATTCCAGATTACCAAATTTGATATTTATTATTGTTATTTATGTTATTTAATAACTAAATATTATACTTTTAAATTATTTAAATGATTATTCAAATTAAATAGAGTTAAACATTTTTTTAAAGTCAATATTCTATTTATTTAAGAAGTATAATTTTGACTTAAAATATTCAAATGTCGTGCACAATCGCCTATATGACTTCAAACATACATAACATTTTTTTTACCCAACTGCATAAGATGGAACCTAAAAAAAAACTGAAATTCACACAATCCACTCTAAATATATGATTATAAATGATAATGTAACAATGTTAATTTAATTGGTGTAACTTAATAAACATTTTATAAATACTCTTAGAATTATCTTTTATAATTATTGTACACATATTGTATTTTAGTTAATGCTTCATTAGTTATATTTGGTAATAGTACAATTTATTAGGCACCTTTTTTTTGGAATTTATGTAGATCAAAAGTATATTTATTATATACAGTGTATCTATGAGGATTTGATCTTTGGTCATTGTAATATACTAATATGAATTCTTAGGACCATTTTTTGAGCAATAGTTATCAAAATAAAGTATATTCAGTAAAACTATTACTTTAATTTCTAAACTGTTTTTAGTTTATTTTAAAAACAAGTTGTCTTATGGATATTTTTTTTTACATATTTTACATTTAAAATAATTGTCAATTAAAACTTTTTAATCCTATATATTCTAAGTAATAGAATTATTAATAATTTACCTTCAAGAATAAACTTTAACTCATCTGGTGGTGAAATCGCTAATGATTGCAAATTTGCTTCCTTCATATCTGTAACAAGTTTATCAACCTGTCTTTTTTTCTCAGCTATAGTTGTTTCTAAAATGGCAACCTGTAGAAAAAATAATAGGTAAATAACTATTGAACTTTTAATTAATTTAATATAATTGGCAATACTAACTTCTTTTCGTAAACCATCTCCAACTTGAGCAGCCATTTCTGTTTCTTGTTTAGCTCGTTCAACTTCAGTTTGCAGTCTATCTACTTCTTTCATTATACCACGTTCAGCTCTGCGTTTCTCTTCTAAATCTCGCGACAACATTTTTTGTTCCATTTCTACTTCTTCCATTAAAAGTCGTATCTTATTTTTACAAACCAGTAACTCAGTTTCACAATTAGCTAATTTAGATCTTAATAATGTCATTTCAGATTTTAATGTTTTTTCTTGTTGTCTAACAATATCATTTTCTTCTTCGACTTGGCCAAAAAGTCTTAACTAAAATTATTTTTAATAAAATATAGTTTAGATTTTAATTGTACTTCAATTTGCAATATAAATTAAATTATGAATATATTATTCACTATTTCAAATCATAAGCGGATAGGGCTTTTTTTTGATAGGCCCTTTCCTCGGTAGGTTTTTTTTATATTTATATACTATATCTAGTGTTCGTTATTCAGTACATGAAAATATACAGAAGGGTCTAACCAATTTTATTATTGTAATACCTATTAATAAATATTTATTTTTGACATCCCCCCCCCCAAAAAAAAAAATATGTACTGAAAATAACAAATACAGTTATCTATGTACTTTCATTATTTATGAAAATGTATGTACTGATATTTATAAATACAGGGATTTAGGCTTTTTATAATTATTTTAATATTGATAACCTATTCTAAGGCTCAACAAAAATGTACCCTATCTGCCTCTGCCTTAAAGTATGTTATTTTTAACTAAAAAACGTCTTATCCAAAGTTGAGTTTTGTGTACACTATGACTACAACCAGTCTTACAGCAGTAGTTACGTATTTCACAAATAGTACATTGAGTTATTTTTAAAAAGCTGTTATACAGAATATAATATTCTTATTTAGTTGAAATGTAAATTACTTATTCATTAACTGTTTAAAATTCAATTTGAAAACATTAATAATTTTCTAGCATTTATAAATGTATGTGATGAGTACAATGTATATATTTTTTATTCGAGTGCACTATTTACTCCACTACTTTTTCATTAGTTACAATTGATTAGTTTTAATTGCAAGTACAAAACAAATAATATTAAAAAGTATTAAAACAACAATTTTTTTTATGAAAGGGATTAGATATCTTTTTATATGTTGTGTCCATCTCACATGCATGCAACTTAGGAGTTAAGACGTATTTCTGTTCCAATGTACTGATCAATCTAGCGATGAAATAAGGATTTAATAATATAATTTAATTTATCAGCATCGCTTATATATTTGCTTACATTAATTTATCAAGCAATTTTTTGTTTAAATGTAGTTCTTTGTTAACTTTTTAAGCCCAAAAATAAAAAGTTATTCTTTAGAAAAGACGTAGAAGAATTTATTTCTATCAATTTCTATTTAATTGACTCTATTTTCATTTAGCAATCATTTTACAGATTAAAAACACGAATGTACCTTTTTAGAGACTAAAACTAGTAAATATCACTTATTTTTCTTCATAATCAAAAACATTGTACATATTTTTCAGGTTAAAGGAGCACACAACACAAAACAATTTTTTTTAAAATTATTATTAAATGTTTATTTATTGTAGTCAGAACTATTAAAAACGATTTGGTCAAAATCCGATGCAAAAAAAATTAATGTTTAAGGAGATATTAGGATATTTAGAATAGCCGCGTGACGTCATTGGGCCGAGTTCGACATAATTGCTTATCTTACACAATTAGAAGTAGCTCGCTTTACAAAATGATTTACTAACCTATACATTTTATTTTTGATATTTCATTTACACATAGAGCTCATATTGATTATTGAGCATTATTTACATATTGAGCTCGGCCCAATGACGTCACGCGTCTTTTTTCAATGTTCTACTCATTGAATATTGTGAGTAGGAACGTCAAACCTATATCATTTTTCTTAGAATTAAACGTTCTTTTAAATTAAAAAAACATATTTTTTGTGTTTTGTGCGCCTTTAAAATAACGTCAAGCAATAGCTTTATAAAAAATAGGTTCCAAAGTTATGTGAGGTTGTATACATTTGTTGATAACTATAGTCCAGCTCACGAAAACTGAACGTTTAAGGCCAATGGGTGGTGGCCAAATATTGTCGATGCCAATGGTTCTCCGTATGGTACGTATTATTGTTGTTATCAGCTGTTGGATAGAGTCAGCTGTTATGGTAAAATATACATACTAAACATATTTTTATTAATTGTTTTTAATTGCTATATGCTTAACACATAACGTAGGGCATGAGATAAAATAATAAAATATGTACATTTAAACATTTCAAAAAGCCCGCCAATTATTTTGATACCCACTAATGACAATTTGCCACTGGTAGCGCTGATGTCAACGTTCAGTTTTCGTGAGCCGGACTATAGACACTAAATTAAATTGATCATAATATTTATCCAAAACAAAACCAAGTAAATAACTTCTGAGATAAGTAGTTATGATTTAAACATTTTAAAATAATAACCCAACCTGTTCTTCTGTATGACGACCAGTTGCTTCAATACGTGCAGCTTCTTGGGCCATAAAATCCATTTGATGTTGTTGCTCTTTAGTTTTTCCTTCCCAATACATTATTTCTGCATCATACTTGGTTAGCTCAGCTTGTTGTATGGACAATTTATCTCTTTGATAATTTATAAGTCTAACAAGATCTTTATACTGTGGGTTGTACATCACATTAGAACTGTTGCCATTATTTTCATTTTGGTATTCCTACAAACATTATCACCAAGTATTAGAATTAGAAAAACATAAAATTGTATTAACAAATAATTTGTATCATTACCTTAAATATTGGTTGTTTTAATCGATCACTACACACTGTTGTAGGAGATATTCTAGCTGGACTGACAGAAGGTGGAGGTGGCTCTCTGTACGGGGGTAATGCTCTAGCTGTTGGCGGTCGAACATTTGGACTGTCATATTTTTTACTTGGACTGCCAGAAGTTTGTAAAATACTACTATTTATTGGTGTAGATGTTTGCTCCTTAAAAAATATTATTTTATTACATTAGAATATAAGTTTATATTGTTGAATAAAGAACAATATTTATCTATACACCATAAAACTTAAGAAGATTAAAACTAAATTTTCAATTATTAGCTTTTGAAAAAGTAATGATTTGTATTATATTGTAAAAGAGAACTCGCTTAAATATTCTACAGACTACCTAAATGGATCTTAGCGCAAAACTAGCAGAACTGGAAGATCAAGCACTCAATACTACATGTGCTATACACCAAATTGACCGAGTGTATAGCAGGCATAAAAAAATTAATTTAAAATGTTTTGAAACTTTAAAAATCTTTAATTGGCAAAAAATACACACATCTAAACCCAATTTAATATTTTTTGTTTTATTTATAAAAAATGTTCGTTCTGCTTTTCATATTTTGTATTATAAAAACAATAAACAAAGTTACTTTATTCAAATGACTAGAAGTATTTATTGGCGAAGTAGATGAACCATCACCAGTAGTTGATGATGAAACAACTGTTAATGGCGCTGTGGCTCCAGGTGTCAGCAATGTGTTTGGTCTTTGAGGAATTCCTCGCACAACTCCTACATTATCGGGTAAACGATTACCTTAATAAACAAAAATAAATAATACACAAAATGGTTTAACAATTACAATTTAATTACTTAACATATAGAAAATATATAAAAAATGGCATTTTTACATCCTCTTATTTAATACTACCTGGCTTGCACACAACAAAATGTCTTTTTAATAATTGGAACAAGCCTAATATATAACATTTAGATAAAACAAAACTTTTATTTTATATTGATGTATTAATTACATGAACACTGAAGTGTCCACATGCCCATATATGTAAACATTTTTACAGTTATTTTTAGTTTTTAATTTTTAATACCCCACCGAATAAGCAGAGCCTGTGCGAGGTGGGAACAGACATCATCTATATTTTAGCAGTGCTGCAGAAATCAAACTCAGTAGTTAAGTCTTACGTGACACTATATGATGAGTAGGAGTATATGCGATTAGGAGTACAGCTGTATAAGCTGTACTCCTAATCGGATAACAGGTCTGCATGGGCCAAAACATTGTAGCCTGACTAATGATTGGAATAAGAAAACCCAAATTTAAAAAAAAATTTTATTTAAGCCACTTAAAAATCATTAATTTTCCCAAACATCAAGCAATGAAGGTTAAACATAAGAATAAGGAGAACCAGATTTACAACGACAAGGCAAGGCCTTAAGTAAAGAAGAAGACTTAAAAATCGTATAAATATTAATACAATATAAAACTGTGTACCCAAGTAAAATGTTTTAAAAAAAATTAAAAAAAAAAAATCTTTACTTGGGACTACATTTTGTTTTTGGATTTTTTTAAATCCAAATTTATTATAATTTATTGTTTTGGTATTGTTTTAATTTTACATTTTCATTAAAAATATTTTACTTAAGTATACAGGTTTAAATTGTATAAATATTAGCGTTTTTTTGTTTTGTTGGAAAAATCTGGATTTTCAGATTCCCACCTCAGCCTGACCCGAGAGCTTTTTAGTAAATATTTCATTTCATGAGCCAGCATTTAATGGTTTTTAGGGGCCACTTTTGAAGCTATTGCCTACCTAAAGCATAATGTCTGCTTCTACCTGTAAGTAAATTAAAATAAATTGGTTTCATAATTTTAACATACCAATATTACTAAATATCAATGATTTTCTAGTGTCTCTATTACGTTCTTGAGCAAAATAAGGTACAGCATCAGATTCACTAAGCTTTAGATTATTCACTGTATTATTGTTTGATGAAACATTGCCAGAACGTTGTAATATAAACTGTACATCATTGGCGTATTCTCCCCATTTCATCAATACCTGCAGTGAAAATAAAAAATTGAATCATTTTTAAATTCTAATTAAATAATAGAAAAATGCACGTTATACAACATTTTATACATATTTAAGTACTCTATTTCACTTCAAATTTACTTAACAGACTTATTGTTCCAAATATGTTAATATAAATTTAAAAAAAATTAGTTCAAAAACTCATACTATTAAATCTAATTGCTACTGATTTCCATAAATTATTATTTTCAAGCTTTATAGGAGATTGAAAGCTTATCACTATAAAGATATATAAGTGTTCTTTTGTTGTGCTCCTTTTAACAGATACCACCGCTCACTTAGGTTAATCTTTGCTTTCAATTACCATTAGATAAAATGTAAAAATGACAAATATTAGAACAAATCTGAATAGTAATCTGAAGTCAGAAATTGGAGGACACCTCTTGTTCTAAAGTTATAGCTACTTGAACTTTGAACTTTTCCGCATTAATAAATATTATACAAACTGAGTTGTACAAAAAAAAAACCATCACGAAGGGCAGGTCAATAATTTTACAAATCTATGCCCAAAGAGGTAGTTTGTTAGAACAGGGAAAAATTTGCAAACAAATCCCTTTTTAAAACAAACACTATGGTAAATATATAAACTTGACTTATATAAAGCAACTCCCTACGCCTGCTGGCTCTAGAAGCCGACTCGAGCCATTTCAGGACTCTTTGTTGGGATGGGGCGCACACCCCCATAACCCCAGAGGAAAGAACTAAACTGCTTAACTTGCTTAAAGAACTAAACTAACTTGATACTGCTCAGGAAGTGTCAGCGACCTAACGAGACTGAATCTAACCTAACCTAACCTACATTTAAAAATAACAAAAAATATTAAGCTCTTTTGTAACTTTGCGCCGTCGCAGCTGCCCACTGTCGTTGCACACATAGATGGCCTACCCCTAATGTTTTATACAAGGGAAAGTAGTTATAACTTTTGAACCATAGGTATCTACCGATTTCTGACTACAAATTTGTAATCGTCGTAAAAAACACTACAAGATGGCGGGGGAAAAAAGGGTGTCTAGTATAGTAAATGCCCAAAAATTGTTTTCATTTATATTCCTATTCTGATAACAGTATTTCTTTTTAGTACTGTTAGAAAACAAATTTTGCGAAAATAAGATATCTTGTGGAATTTTGAAATACAATTAAATAAATAAGATACATACAGTTACTGGATGATCTTGTGGTGCCAAAAGTCGCTCATTGTTACGCCAACGCTCGATTAATGTAAACCGTCCAGTCTTACCAGTAGCATGAGCCAACGCATATACAACATCCTGAAATATAATAAGTATATTAGAACTCAATCTTTATTCAAAGTTGATTGTCAAATATGTTTACAAGAATAAAATATTGTGTTATAATGTAGATAAAAAATAATGATAATTGTTAACAGGTAGCCAGGGGTGTTTTGGGTGTTAGAACCAGGGGGGTGGCTATGTGCCTGATTGTTACTTATAACAAGCATCCAATTATATAAATTGAACCCTACTCTAAGCTGGTTATATTTTTGCTAATTTCAGATTATACAACTCACTTGACAAGTTGTTGATTCTGTAACACCACAAACAACACGCTGTATGCCTTCGACCCAAACTTTTAGTTCCATAACTTAAATACTAGCAATTTCTTTATGTTATAATTATCCTATCATAATTTATTCTATTAGTGACATCTGAAAAAGAATAAAACAATAGAAACATATTTTAACCAATTCAATTATATGGCAAAGGTAATCAACATGTTGATGAATAAAAATAATACGTGACATATACTAAGGATCAAAACAACTTTCATGGTATTGACCTAGAGATTTAATTGAGTAGAAATTTAGAAATCAGGGTCAGACTTACCGAAACAGTAGTACAATGATGAGTACAGAGTAATAAAGTTCTATTTTATCAAATATGGTTCTTTTTCCGTGACAAATTAACTGGAATATAACTTATAAGTATAAAAATATGATTAGAAGTTTAAGACTTTAAGAACAATGAACTCTTGCATTAATATAATAAGGTAAAAAAGTATAGGTATGTCGGAAAATTGAGTTATCAATATACGCAAAATGGCTACTATTGGAAAAAGAAATAAATAATAACCTGCGGCCCACTATTAAATGATAAAAGCAGAAGAGTCACTTTCGATGTAAACAAATATGTGACGATTCGTAAAAACCAGGTTTACAGGTCCTATTTAGTATTGTGTTTACACAATTAAATATAATAATGTGCAGGTATAACATAAAGCGGTGTAGCCTTAAGAAAATGGCCTCCGCGTTTTTGCGTGGTATCTTCCCCCGTGTTAGTTTTTATCAGTGTCCAGGGCCTTATACTAATGGAAACTATTACGCGGTGGGAGGCGGGAGGGTGGTGCGAGCACGGCTATCGTCGTATTTAGATATACACCAACATAAATTGAGGTATATTTAAAATTATAATACCAAACTGATAACTTAAATACGCATGAGTGCATGACTTAGTGACGTCATCTAGTCCCGCCGGCTCGATGAAACAATCATATAGCATTTTAAAAGTCACTAATCAATTAATATTAAAAAATTAATAATTGAAAAACATGTCAAATTGATTTTAATTATTTATACGGAATAAAGGACGAAATTAATGAAACTTGCCTTTTGAAGAAAGCGCTTTATATTCCCTCTCCCTTATAAACGGCACTGTCTGTAAACACAAATGCATAATTGTATTTATTATATGACCGATATAAACATAAATAAAGTTCAATTTCAACTTCCAAAACTATATTGTGGGACAGGTGCTAGAAAAGAAAGACTATGAAAGATACTCAGGTTGAAAAATGTAATACTATTACATCTTATATATAATGTATATATTCTTTATTATATTTCCATCAAAATTTTACTTTTTTAAAGAAACTCATCACCTTACCTTTTAAAATTAAATTGAACATTTTTGTTTAATGGATTGCAACTCAATTTGTAGATTTTAAGTACACATTTTTCAGACAAAATAATATAAGTGTTAACTGACGTTTTATACAAACTAATTAAGATATTTTTAAGGGGTGTAAGTCAATTATTTCATTTATGATAAACAAATTTGAATAAAGACTAAAAATAAAATACCAATATTAACTTCTAAAAAAATACAATATTAAATTTGTCATTCAATATACAACTGTATAAATATAGTATATAATATTAAAAAACACCTATTTAACAAGCTAACAAATGATAAATATAAATTAAATTAAGCAGAACAAAACCCCTCATACACATTTGCACTTAAAACCTTAACTTTTGAATCAATATGCACATCTTGTTTAAAATTACAATCCCCATTTTCTGTTACTTTAACTGATCTGTCTAAAATTGGTAGCCATTTTGCAAATGGCATTTGTACGGTAGTAGGTAATGCAACTGATCGATTTGGCATGTTTACAATAATTGTATCCATTAACTTGTTGAAACTATGACACGTGCAGTAACGTGCTACTGACATTATTTCTTCATTTTTTAGTAACTCTCTGGTTTCATTCACCATATCTTGCAATAATGCTTCTCGGGGTTGAGACACTTGGTGTAAAACATATGAATCAATGCATCGAAAGGGACTGTCTGAATCACTAGCTACATCAGTTTGTATGAGATAAAATATTTTTTCCAAATCCTGTAAATTATACTGTTCTTGAATAGGAACTTGTTGTACATATTTTAGAACTTTATTGCGTAAATACTCTTCAAGACGCTGAACTCCTTCTTCAATAAAATAACCAAACATGGATAAATAATCTTCTTGAGTTTTTGAACAAATTGGTGGTGAATCTTGAGATAAGCTTTTATATACAACACCACCCAACAAATTTAATTGTATTTTTAATGTTATTACTAATAATGTCTCAGCATAAACAAGCAAACAAGCTCTTGTAAAAACACAAATTCTCATTTTTTCCCAAAGTTCAACGCTATTTTTTTTTTTTAATTGTTCAATAATATCATCAATGCACAAGTTTTTTACAAAATATTTCAAATGTAACTGCTTTATAAATTCTATTATCATACGGTCAGATGTATTTTCTGTTGCCTCATAATGCTGTTGACGTCTGCAACGTTCCACATATTCACGACTATCCTTTTCACGTTTTTCAGCAATTTTCTTTTTAATTGTGTAAACCACATAAGCAGTACCACAGAGAAATGCTCCACTGAATATTAATTTTCGCTTGTGACGGGAAATTAACTTTTTTACTGAATCATACATTTTGAATTGATGAGAGAAAAATCAGCTAGTTAAAGAGAACACACAGTAATGGATTAAAGACAAATATGTCAATATACGTTTAAGTTAAATTACACTGAATAGATACCTGAAGAAAAACGTTGGGAGTTTTAAGCCAAATGTTGGATTAAATGCCAAATGGAATTATTTAATGTTACAAGTATAGAATATTGCATGACAAACCAAATACTTTATCACAGAATATAAATAATTCACAAATCACAATTTAGAAATTGAATAACATATTTTTTAATTTTTATAATCATTACTTTACTTTACAATTTGGTGCCATGGCCAGTGCAATCTTAAATATTATGCTTATTGCTCAATGATTTATGTAATTATAAGATAACCGTGTTACTACATTAACAACTGCTGTCAACAGTATCATCGATTATCAAATAAATATAACCTAAAACTTTCTATAGATTACTAACTAGCGATAAGAATTGAAGCCGACGGTCAGCCATTCTAGTGGGATTTATGTGTGTTATCAATGCATATAATATATAATATTATAATATCAATATTATATATATATATATATATATATTTGATTGTTAAAAACATTTATTATTCTCGCGTGAAAAGGTTCTAATTCCCACCAAGATGGCGGAAGATGGCGAGATTATATATCTATGGCACGACCGACAGACGACGTAGCTGTGATACGCGAACATGGTAGCAGTGGAATAGCGCCTTTGGGAACAGTGTTTACTGTTTACATTGTAGATATGGTTAAGTTTATATATGGAAAAAGAGATAATAATCAAGATTTCAGAATTCTATCTAGTATCTACACAAAGTATGAACTATGAACTATTTTCATCCTATTCTATTATAGTTTATACTGTATACAGTTAAAACTTAACAATTTGGACGTTACAATAAAAACGCTCTTCATTAAATTATAGTTACTCTTTTACATAAGTACTTAAAATGTTATTACTGTATTGCAACTTTAGTTAGACATTTAAATTTTAAAATATTTGTTTTAATGGCTAAGTACTTTTAGATGTTTAAATCTTGTAACTAAATAAAAAACAATGGGTAAATCCCATAAAAAACATAAGAAACATAAACGTTCTAAAGATACTAATTATCCAACACCAATTGTTCCACTGAAGAATTCTTTACCTCTGGAACAAGATCAAATATTGGATGAGAAAGAAAAAAAAAATGCAATTGGTCCTATAATACCTTCTTGTTTATTAAATTGTAATACAAAAAATTTAAATGACGCTCCAAATGTTCAAGATAATGAATACGGCCCAAAGTTACCACCACATTTAGTACAAAAAAAAGTTGTGCCTGGACCGTCTCTACCTCCAGGCTTTGAAATTCCAGAAAACATAGAATTAAATGATGACACTGCTGGTATAGGTCCTTTGCCAGACAATTTAATTGTCTCAGATTCTGAGCAAATATTCATTCAAAAACAATTGGAATTGAGGGCTGAATATATGAAAAGAAAATTTGCAGGGGAAGTAAGTTATGCAAAGTAATATAAAATCAACTTGTACATTAATTATTAAACAAGATTTTGATATAATTATTGTATAAATTATTATTTAAATTTCTTTGTAGGTCTTACACTTAAAATATTATTCCTTTTTTTTATTTATTTACTTATTTTTAATGCTAAAAGTGTACATGCTTCTTGTATAATGTTATAGAATTACTAATTTCTAATATTCAATTTTGTATTTTAAAAATTAATTAATTTCTTGTACTTATTATAACAACGCCCTTTACAAAAAGTAATGTTTCATTATGTAATGAAAGCTAGTATATTTCAAAATTTATGTTGAGACTAATACATTTACCTCTCTAATGGCAAAAACTAAAACATGAACGTGTAGAAGTTTTCATGGGTTGAAATATCATTTGGATGACTTACAAATATATCCGTGTTAATAGTTGTTAGCTGACATTTTGGACTTTGCAGAGTTCATCTCCAGGGCTGCGATAGTTGCAACGCGGTATATCTGAAAGTCATCAACTTGAAAAACTAATATTTTTCTCATTTAACCATGAAAAGTAATGCCATTGTTTTGAATGGTCAAAAAATATTACTTTTTATATTACCTTTTTTAGTGACTTAAAAGCAATTCATACTACGTAGGTTAAATATAAAAAAATATTAGTTTTCGTAATTGGTGCATTCATCATTATGTAATATAATGATTACTATACTTTAATTATTATTTTTGCAAAATATATTGTAGCAGTGAAATCCGTATGCTATAAAAGCAAACAAATTTTGAAAAAAAGTAAAATTTTTATAAATTTATAATAAAAATCACTCATTCTTGTTTAGGAATTTTTTTTTTTTTGGCATGTGTTAGTAATTTATTTAGAGAACAAAGAATATTCTCACCAGGCTGACCTCATACGCTTAGATAATAGATGCAGCACTTTTTTTTCATTTAAAGCGGTTTAAATGCCGTTTGGGTAGCTGCTAGGAGGTTAAGCTTATTTAAGAATTATATATTTTGCAATTGATAATACATTTGAATATAGGCTCCTGCTACTGTTTTAAAAATGTATATATATTTTTTTTAATGGTAACTATCAACTTTTTGTAATTTTAAGGTGCATGAGGATAAGACTGTTTCAGCTAGAGAAATGTGGATGTTAGAATTACCTCCTGAAAAAGCTGCTAATATTGGACTAGGTGCAAGACAATTTCGTAAACGTGAAGGCCCTGATATGAGTAATCGATCAGAATGGACAGAAACGCCACATGACAAGCAGAAAAAAGTAGATAAGCCAAATTTCGATGAAACATCTAATATGATGGCTCTAAAACAAATTTCAATTCAAAAACGTGACCAACAAATGGAAAAATTAGCAGAAAATTCTGAAAAAAGAAAACCATATTCTTTAGTTGAAATGCACCAAGAAAAATTAAAAAAGGAAAAAAAGGTAAAATTAACCCTAAAGCCCTTGCATGCTCTTGTGGTGCAATTAGTACTACTCTCAATATTTTTTTTTTATTATTATTTATGTTTATTTATAACTAGAGACTACCCAGCAGTCCCACAAGACCATCTTCACATATTTAGATGTGATTGGCTTTTTTTTAAAAAAGTAGTGTAAATGCTGTCCACGTTAATGCTCGAATATAATAGTTGTATAACTCACAATAAGGTGTTTAGATTTTAAGCAATAATTTATTTTCTATTCATAGTTAATAGTTCTTGGTAACATTAAAAAAATAATCTGATGTATTAGATACAAATTTATTAAAAATAATACCTACTGACCAAACTTGAAATTTAGTACTTATTAAAGGTACAAATTAAATTTTCTTATCTACAGCGTACATAACTATAATATTTTAAATCCATTGTATATTTTAATTAAGAAAAAGATCATTGCTGTTATATAAAATGCTGAAACTCATGTTAAGAGTATATATTTGTCTTCGAATTATTGCTGACTAGGTTTATTATAATGATTTAATAAAAAAAAAATATATTATTATTATCACCTTAAAAACATACTTCTCTGAACAATTTCAAATGAATAAAATAGGCATTCTTCATACTGAACTTGTGATTTTTAATAAATTACAAAAAAAAAATAATTATGTCGATTATGTAACAATATTATAATAATAATTAAATCATTAATGCTTAATTGTTTTCAATATTAATGTTAATATTAATAATTATTATTTGTTTTCTATTATTTATAGGAAAAAAGTAAAGAAAAGTCACCACAAGAAAGAAGACCATTTAGTAGAGAAATTGATTTACAATCAAATCGATTTGATAATGCACAGAAACAGTCTATACTGAAAAAAGCTAGTCTTCTAGATAGTAGATTTTCACAAGGAGAATCACGTTTCTTATGAGTTTAAATTCAGATAGACAATCATTTATCTTTAGACAGAAACCAATATCCTTTCGCTTTGGGAAAATATTAAGTTCTCATTAAAAATAGTTCATTAAATTATACTTGAAACGCCTTGACTTTCGTTTTATATATTATCTTATAATAAATATAGGTAGCGTAAGTAATTTTATAAACACTATTATTTTTATAAAATACTTAAGTATTTTATGTTTGTATCAGAGCTTATTTTGACCAGTAGGCTGAAATGTGAGTTTACACATATGTTAAACTGCACAAACTAATTAATGGTATTTTTGCATAAATAAACAGAGTAAATTGTTTTGGATTTATACGTTCATTTTTAAAAAAAATTGTTTGTACAGTTTTAATTCTAATCCCTCATTATCCATTTATACACTACGAAAACTGTATGATCATAGTTACTTTTATTGATTAGTTTTCTTCAGGCAACACCTGAACTCTTCACATTATTAATTTTTAACAGTATGATCATACAAATTTTACTTGCACACAATTAGTTTATGCAAACCAAAGGAGATATCTTTATGTAACTTAACATAAGTATTTTAGTTAATATGTTAAAAATAAATTACATTATAAGTAACAAATCATTAAACAAATAGTTATTATATTAAATATAACATTTTTATTATTTTAATGTATATTTTTTAAGTATAAAAGTAAACAGATTTTAAATACGTTTGAAACATTTTAACAATAAAACTACTTTTTCTTGACATTTTTGGCCATGTAACCAAACTTTTGTAAATAACGAATTGTTATACCTGTACCACCCAAAGTAACCATGTATCTAATAGGTGTAAACAATTTGTACAACGCATAAGAAATGACTAAGTGTCCTGTAAAAGAGTGACCATTTTTCAATTTTTCTGATATCCATGCAGGTAAGCCTATTGAATCTAAAAGAGCAGGAATGTCAATTCCACTGCTCGAAATCAGGTAGAATGAACCAAACCATACAGATGATGTAACCAAGTGGACAGGTAGTACAACAAACCAATACTTTTTGTACGCTATTTTAAATCTTTGTAATATTCCTGGTTTTTTTTCATTATTGTCACAAGACGGAGTTGTAGGTTTTTCTATTGTGTAATTTCTTGCTAGTATGCCATTATTATTATTGATCTTGACAGTATTGCACCTAAGTCGTGATAAAGTAACTGACTGATGAAATGCAATTCTAACCATACATATAGGAAATGATGTACATAATCGCCGATGCTTCATGGATCTCTGGAACACGGTGAGCATATTTTGTGCTATACATACCTTGGAGATATTAAAAATACACCTTGGTAACATTGCAAATATTAATATCGTTTTATGTACAACATAATATTTAAATATTTATTAAAGTAAAGTATTACTTTTTATTACAAAATATGACTGGAGTCTGGAAATTGGAATATAATATTTTATAGACCAAGACCATAGAGAAATAATATTACCACACAATTGATAAATGTCAAATGATATTACTCCATACTGTAATCAGTAAGCTCTTATCATTAGTGTCTAATACTAAGGTGGATTTACAAACACAGAATAAACAGAAGGGAATATTAGAGCTTATCAAAAAACGGAGACATATTAGATTTGTTCGTTTTGAAAAATAGTACACTATTATAATTAGTGAAGTGTAAGGGGTGTGATCAGGTGTAGTATTTCAAAACAAACGTTTTTGGTGTAGATTAATTAACCGATAATTTATTTCTATTAATAGTAGAAATGATTCTAAAAATTAGTTGATAAGAAATATGATAACGAAAATTTGGGATCACACCTACTCTACGGTCGGCATAGATGTATATAATAAACTATATTGCTAACTGTACATGCCACCAATAGAGAAAATTGAAGCAACCACTTTCTGCCACCTAGGTGGGAATTAGAAGCTTATCATGCGAGAATAATATATGTTTATAACAATCACGTATATATATATATATATATATATATATATATATATATATATAATATTGATTTAATAATATATACGGATATATATACAGACCATAAATTAGTCTGATGTAATTAAACCAATTAAATTTGAAAATTTTTCAGCATTAAAAACAATTTTTTTACATAAAATAAGCAAAAATTTGCTTCCGACAAGCCAGTAAAGTATCCAGAGAATTAGTATCTCTTTACAGAATTGAAATCATCCTAAGTAGTCAACATTTTGTCAGAATTTTTAGTTTAAAATGTTAAAAAAACAGACAGCATTCAATTCCCTTTAAGTACTAAATTAAATACACAAATTTTGATTTTTCTAATATTAATATTATTAATATTTGTGAATATATTAGCTACAATAAACAAATAATTGCATTGATGTTAATAGATAGTGTATAGTTAAAGTTATATTAAAATGACTACTTAATTAAAAATATTTAGTTTAAATGTGTATTAATATAGACTATAAATAGGTTTATTAACATGTATAGGTATACTTTTAAAATAACATAATTCTTAGCTAAAATAAACATTAAAACATAATACACAATATAATATAAAAAAGATGTAGAATTTTAATAATTTATTTAAAAAAAGTTAAAACAAACCTGTTTAATACGTTTTGTAACATAAGCATGTATTGTAAAGCTGGGTTATTCATTAAAATGCTAATTAATAATTAAACAATAGTATTGATTTGATATTTTTTTTTATTTCTCCCTAATACTTTCTATATAAATTTGTTTATTGGGCTCAAGACATCATATAAATAGTATTGAGATTATCCTTTAAAACTAGTAGCTGAAAAAAAGAAATCAGTCTATAAATAGTTTATAATTTTTATAATTTTTTTTTTAAGAAAATTTGTCTTTTGAGTTGTTTTTATACCTTACATAATTAGGGTTCTTGAAATGAAAAAATCTATGTACATACCATCTATCTCTTTCATTATAAATAATAAGTTAAATAAGTTCATAATTAGTTTTACACAAATTAGCTTTTTGTATACTGTCAAAAAATTATTTAAATGTTAACTAATAATTAATCAAAAAACTAGAAATCGATTATATTTAACCCATAACTTTATAAATGTATGTCATTTGTTAACACTTTTATGTGGATTTAATTATAGTTTATGACTATATTGTAATTAAAGAGTTTACATGTCAACTAATACTGCTATACAAATAACAATTAATTTTGTTGCTTCCTCCGTGCAGCTCGCTGCTTGTCAAATCTCATTTCCATTTCCTCCAACACCTTAGGTGTATATCTGACAACTAACTTTACTGAACCTTGAGCTTGTTTTAGAAGTTCAACAGCTTTTTCATGATTTTCACCTTCAACGCACTAAAAATAACATTTTTATTTAATATGTAAAATTATTTGAGCTGATGAAAAAGTAAATACGGTTTTTATATGATTAACTAACCACTCCATTAACGGACAAGAGTTGATCGCCTCTCTTCAAACCACCATGTCTATCAGCCACACCACTAGGAATTATGCGCGATATATAAATTGGAGAATTTTGTTCCCGTCCGCCCATTACATTAAAACCGAGTCCTTCTTCAGTTTTAGGTAGCTCGACTACCCTTGGATGAGCATGACCTTCACTTGCAGCGAATGCAGCAACAGTAGCTTTAGCTGTAGCTGATGCTCGGACATCCTAATTTTTATATTATACGTCATAAGACAATTATATATCACATGTATTTATAAATGACCGAAGACAAAAAATGTATTTTATCGAGATTTGAGATATCAATAAAATTAGGTAAACCATCTTCTAATAAAATTTATATTTTCACATTATTGTTTACTTTTTTATTTGTATCACTTTAAAATTACGTATGTAAATATCTTGCCGTCAAAAAGTATATACTGTACCTGAGATCCTTGTATATCAACAGTTTCATATACATGTTCATAAACTTCTCTGACTGATGCCAGAAAATCACTTTGTAGGACTTTCTGTAATGCTGCCAATTTAGTTACAGGTACTTCTCCAGCTAAGTAAAAATACAATTTATAAGTTTTTAGGATTTAATAAATATCATACAAATTATTGATCATACTTTTTTGAAGCTTTTCCAATAGTTCAATAGCTCGTTTGACATCTGTAAAGAAATTACTCATTTAATAAATTGAAAATCACTACACTAGGTATTATATACTTGTACTACTGACCTTTAGCTAAATTTAAAGGTTCGCCAGCTACAGCCATTATTAATAACACTTGGGACGAATCAAAAACAATGTACACATAAAAACACAGTATCGGAAAATAGCAATTCTATGCGGATATTATACTGTTGTAACTACCTACCAAGTTTTCAAGAATAAATAATTTTGGACAATCGCATACAATAATTTCATAGTATTTAATGATTCTATTATATTATACCTACGATATAATCTATAGATTCAAGATTGTACTGTATTGTTATCATTTATGTTTAAGCCTTAAGGAGGTGGTCACTGGTTACTAGCAAAGTTTTCTTTTCTATGGAATACACAAAAATACAATTAATGGGAAATGTATTACAAAAACAGCTGTAGCCACAAGCCCGAAAAATACTAAAAACCACGGACTATAATCTGTGCTAAAAACATAGGATAGTGATAACAAAAAATTAAATAATAACAACGATAACAGCTTTAATACATTTTAAAATTTAAATTTCTATTGATAATAATAATTAATATCATTACTTTGTCATACGTATTAATCGTCTACGTAATCGTCTTGATGTATAAGATGTATTAGATTGGCCAAACAGCTGGTAATTATTAAATTTTAATGTAGTCAGTATCATAGTAATATCTTGTTTATGGTAGTACCAATAGGTTTACTTACTTAATGTTATACCTATATGTTAGATAATTCATAATTATTGTCATTTGGTTCTAATCACTATATAGAAATTAGAATAAAACGTGCTTAGTAAGTAAGCAATATTTATTTGTCAATATAGTTTCTCTTTTCGATAATTATAATTATAAGTCTTTACAAACTTTCATCTAAATTTGTTGTTCAAAATTACTACAAAAGGTAATTTGTAAATATGTAAAAAACATAAGTGGCGTTAATGATTATAAAGTTTTGTAAGCTTGTGTTAAAGTATTTGCTGTTTAAATTTTACATTTATCCAATTTATGATTGTAATTGTAATTAAATATATTATATTATATACATATAAACATGTATGTTATTATATAATACATATAATATATAATATATAGATAAGTATCTTAAAATTATTATAAAATTAATTATTACTCTAAAGTGTGTCTACAAAGTGACATTGTAACGTTTGTTTATGACACATAGATGAATTTAGCTACCGCGACAAAAAAAAAAAAATATTACATAAATATCATTAGATTATATTATATATTAGTTATATAATAATGTGTTTTTTTTTCAATAACTGTTTAGTTTTTTTAATACAATAACACATTTGATAATGTTTTCAAATCTAAAAAAAAAATTAATTTTGCATATAACTATTAAAATAACATTGAATGACATTGCTGTTTGATTAATTATACATATTCATGTTCTGCCAGCTCAATATTTGTGTTGTGTTCTCATAATTATTTTAATAACTTGTGTTATAATTTTTAAGTTTTACCGAGAGTAACTTGTTTTTTATTAGTTATACAAGTCAGTATATTGGAATATATTATTAACATTAAGTTTTAAACAAATTGCTAGCCATAGAATTACTAAATAACCAACAGTATATGTTTGGGTCTTGGATCAAGAGGGGCCAATCTTACTTTTCGTATTAATGAAACTTGTATTTTCTATAAGGGTCTGTGTAAATATTTGTACAAATAACAAAATGCTTCATAACTTTACCTTCTAGTTCTGAAAGTGCCTTTTTTATAAATGTTTGTATTTTTTTATTAGGGTGTTTAGTTCATAAGTGATATTAGCTTAAACATTTTTTATGTTATACACTATATTAATGTTAATATGGTATAACTTCAAATTCGAGTTATAACATTTGAAGTTACTCACAAATTTTTAGGGTGACTGGCTAACCTTTTACTGCCTTATAAATTTATGTACCAACTATGGAAGCCTTATACAATTTTGTCTTTCATTTTAAATGCTAAATTTACAATGGTACGGAAATATTAAACCAGATTACATATCTGTAGGTGTAACGTGCCAAAGTGTGCCTGACTAGTGATTCTTTAAATTAATCAAAGTATAAAGATATTTTTATTTAATTTTACAAAAAATTAAAATAGTGTTCTAATGAGCGATCGTTTAGTTTTTTCAATATATTCTTCAAGAATTTTTAAACAAGTGCAAGAAGAAAAACCATTAAAAAATAATAGTTGAAAACTAGTTAAAAAAAAAAAAAAATGGTTTCTTGTATCTTTTGGTTCACATCACTTTAAATAAATGGATATCTAACCTAAAGTAATTGAGTCAAAAAGAGTAATAATTACTTCTTATACAAATTTGATCTAATTTTTTTTATTCATTTAAAGCCGTTACTTCTGGCCATTGGACATTTGGTTATTTGAACTATGTAATTAATTTATAGTATGCAAAAAGGAACCTCTTGTTGATGGAAAAGTTGATTACAAGAAAAAAGCAAAAACATTTGCAAACTATTCCTACTCATAAACTTCAAAGTGCAAACTTAGTTATTTTTTTAGATACATAGATGTACTAAGTCTCAAATTTAAAAAAATTAATCAAAATTCCGGATATAGCACTAACTTAATTTTGGATAATGTCTACAAGAGTTTCCTTTTGCTTTCCCTATCATATTATAAGAAAGTAAAGTTAAAAAAATGGTATGAAATTTTTTAAATACTATGGAGTAAATAACTTTAATTTTGGTAAAAAAAAATAATAGGCGAGTAATTTATTTAGTACATTTTTTTCATAGATGTACCTAGTATAATTTTCACTATGGTTTCATTTCAGATTTATAATGGAACAGCAAGAAAATGTTCAACCAACATTTGAAGAAATCCAAATACCTGTACCATTTGGTTACGTAAGTGGTAGGTATCTAATTTTGAGTAAAACTTTATAGATGAAGTAAATATTTCATTAATGTGATATTTTACAATTTTGATGATGACAATATTTAAAGAAAGTCATAAATTTATAATAGTTTTCAATTATGCCGGTTTTTAATACATATTTGCTACATTTCATTTTGTAGATATAATAATTAAATTCAAGTTTAATACCTGTCTCAAAACTGCTTGGGACTCAATGAAAATTGCATGTTAAAGCATTTTTTCATATTATTTATTAAAATAAACATTAAAACCTTTTTTATTATGCTAAATCAATAAGGGGGAGGCTGTTAATCATTTGCCTTACCTTAATTTGAAGGGGTTTGACAGGACCTTACACAAATTTCACATTCTTCAGCAGCATAAAAAAACAAATAGTTTACGCCTTACGTACCGAAAATTTGACCAGCTCATAAAAATCAAAGGTGGGGCAAAAGCCCCTGCCTGCCTCTCCCCCCAAATGACGCCACTGGGTAAAAATAAACCCAGATGTATATATTACAATAGTATATGTAATATATTAATATTATGTAACTGTAGTTATATACTTTATAAATATCCTGTAATATTTGTATTTAATTATAAAATATGTATTGATTTTAGCTAAATGGTGGGGACCAAGAGATAAGCAACCTATAATAGCTATACACGGATGGCAAGATAATGCTGGAACTTTCGATCCTCTTATTGAATTACTCCCAAAAGAATTATCTATACTATGTATAGATTTACCGGGACATGGACGTTCTTCACACATACCTCCAGTAAATATTTTTTTGTACTAACTATTTTTTACTAATAATTAATTAGTTTTAATTCAAAAGTGAAAATACAATTTATTTCAAGTTTTTTCATGTCACATTTTTTCCTAAGTTTATAAAAGAAGCGATATGCTTAATAATAGGTGCTTACTGCCTAAGCAGATTCTTTTCAGAAGGAATTCAATTTCTAGTACAGTTCCCAAAATTTTTCATCATGTGTTATCAATAAATTCCTAAAGTATATATGATTTATGTCTAATGACTAATTGCATTAACTATACTTAAAATTTAAATATATTTTAACAATATCATTAAAATTATTGGTTTAAAGTTTAGGCAGTTATAAGTCACCTAAGACATTTTTAATTATATATCAAGTAATAAGTATATAAATACCAAGTGCAAAGAGCAAGCGATATCTATGGAAAAAGCATCCTTAATGATAATGAAATGAGTTTTATCAGTTGAATCAGTGATTGTAAAAACACCACACTTGTCACAGTGATGACAAGTGTGGTTTTTACAATTGTCAATTCAGTTTATATCCAATTAAATTAGATATATTCACATGAGTGTGTATGTGTTAGGGTGGTGCTTAAATTTGACATGGCATTGGATAGCCATCATTCGGCTCCAATTATGGAAAAAATATTTCTCTAATATTTTCAGATTTTATTTCATTCCCTTAGTTTTCCTGTTTGCACATCAAATGTATAGGGCCGCGCGCTCCACTGGGCCGGGCTGGACCATTTAATGCCATGTCAAATTTAAAGACCACTCTAGTGTATATAGATAAATCTTTTTTTTGCTATTAGGGAATTCCATATTATTTATTTTGGGATGGTCTTACAATATTACGTAGAATAGTCAGACATTACAATTGGAGGAACATATCCATTATGGGTCATTCTCTAGGAGCTGCTATTGGTTTTTTGTATGCTGCATCCTATCCCGATGATACAGAAATGTTGATATCAATTGATACTGTAGCACCAGTAGTCTTTAATCCAGCTGAAATTGTTAAAAATACTGGACCCTTTCTTGATAGGTAAGAATATTTTTACCTTGATAAAAACTCTGGTATATTACAATATATTTTCAGGTTCTTTTATTATGAGTCATTGGGTACTGATAAAATGCCAGCATATGGTTATTCAGATATGATTGACCTAGTAATGGATGGCCATCATAGTACATTAACTCGTAAAGCATGTGAGACCCTTATGAAACGAGGTATGTATCCTGTGAAAGACAATAAATACTTCTTTTCAAGAGACACAAGACTTAAGGTAGCTATTAGTATTTTACTAAAATTATTTATTTTATTAGCTAGAATGATGTTAATTGTCACATGGGTTGCTATTTCATTTTCATTTTTTAACTTTTTAACTTTGCATGTGTAGGTAGCATGGATGGGATTACCTTCACTTGAAGTGTTAAAAGAATTTGCTGGTCATGTAACATGTCGCTATTTCAACATCAAAGCTAAACCATATAGGCCGTTAGATAATTGGCCAGTATATTCAGAATTGCTGGGAATAATTAAAACAAATGCTAAGGAATATTTATATAAAGAATATGATGGTACTCATCATTTGCATTTGAATAATCCCGAGTGTTTGACTTCAGATATTACTGACTTCATATTACAGTCTAACAAATCATAATGCAATCTTAAAAAATAACATGTAATTATACGTTATACATTATTATTAATTAAATTATATTTTACTGGTATTATATTTCTGGTAGATGTATAGGCTGTTTTATTGTTGGTATTTGATTGCAATGTTATTTATAAAACTCATACATTTTGAAAAAAAAAAACAAAATGTCAATTTTTATTTACATAATTTGTATCTGTAATTTTACAGGTTAACAGATTAGCATTACCAACTTATGAAACAGTTCTTGAATTTGCAAAACAAATTCATTGTCGTTACTTAATGATAAAAGCGGTTCCTGGTAGAGTACGTGATAATTGGGTATTATACAAAAATGTGTTGGACACAATAAAAGAGTCTACCAATGATTTTACTTATGTAGAAGTTGAAGGATCCCATCATGTACATTTGAATGATGCTCCATTGGTAGCTCCATATATTTTGAATTTTTTGTACAAATCAGATCCATCTGTGAAATAATTTTTTTTATGTATGATAATATATTGCATATGGGTAGAAAGTACATAAAGTCTAATATATTTGTTAACCATTTCCATGCACCTTGAATGAAAAATATTAAATTATGATTCCTCTAGTAGTCATAATTCCTTATAGTCAATAGTGTGAAATGTGATACATCCATAGTATAATCATAGATTGAATGTACACTAGATAGGCAGTGTATATACAAAAAAAAAATGTATCGCTCTGTTTCTAATAACTAATATCGATGCTAGATGGTGTCATGTTCTGATCTGTAAATATAATATTATTATTCATTAGGTTATAAAGGGGGGGTATCTGTTACCAATACAACCTGCGAACCACGGTGTGTACTGTTTATCGGCTTTGCTAGATTATGAATAGTAATTTGTATATGAAATGCAGAAACGCGGAACGCCACTTTATAATAAAAAATATTACTATATTAGGTAGTTGGTAAGTATTTATAGTTTGCCAATAAAAAATTTCTGTTACCTACAAAAAAGTAGTAAGACTTTTTAAAATTGAAGGCAATTTACAGACAAATAAGATTTTTATAAACAATAGATATATTATAATTATATTTTTTGGTTTGTATCTTAAAATTGTGTTGTTCCCTAAATAGACTTTTAAAAGTGAGATTTGAAGAGTAAGGTACCCAATACTACTTTATTTTTCGTGTAAATACATGACTCGAGAGTTGCATTATTTTAGGAATTTATCTATCAGTTTTAGCATAAATGTAAATTTCTAACAAATAAAAGATCAAGACCTACTACATTTTAAGATGAGCTTTTATTTTACGTACAAATATTTGAGCAATGTTAAAATGTATTGAAAAATTATAAAATTTAAACTACTATCTTAATTTTTGCTACATTTGTCAAAAATCAGTCAAAATTAAAATATTCTTTCTTTATTTTTGTATAGCAGATAGATGTTCTTTTACGTTCAAACAACTCTGTTACTCACAAAGTACATCTCCTAAGACATAAGTGTGGTCAAAACATGCTATTTAAGTTTTAACTAAATTATAAGAATAATTGTTATTTGTTATGCTTATAATATGTGCATGAGTAAAAATTAAAAATGCATTTATAAGTAAATATTTTTGAATTGCGTTTACATTTTTAAAGGGCTAATATAACCGCAGATTAGACTGAACCTAGTGGTATAAGCACGTGAATTAGGTAACTAATCGTTCCGTATAGTGTATTTTAGTCTCGGGCACGGTTATAGATAAACAGGTTACGCATCGCAGCCGACAATCGCGGTTATGTCGCGTTACGCTGTCTATAGAGCGCGCCACCGGGGTGCAGGTCATCAAAAGTTATATTTCCTATCTAACGTGTACTAAAAAACTGTTTTTTAAATCAATAAAGATAGTATTATACAAGTCTACAAGAACAATATAAAATATGAATTTGTTGTATTTTTTTGTCCTAAAAACGATGGTGTAGTCATAATACTGCTGTTAGGCATAGTTTTTTCATTATAATGGCTAAGAAAATACCGATTAAAAAAAAATGTTAATGGCTAAAACCATGGTAATAATACCACATTATTCATAAACAAAACTAGTCTTTTATTACAATCTATTGATATTGATATGAGCACAGTAATTGGTTTGTATTCTTCGTTAATTAAATACATTCAAACTTTACGATCAATGTTTAATGATTATGAAAAGTTGATGACATAGTTCTTGACTGAGAACACAAAAATAGAAAACGTAAGAAACGCAATGATAAATATATTGAACCCGACACTGTTTTCAGTAGACGCCAACATTTCAAAATTAATTCCTTTTATATAATTTAGTTGAAAAACTAAAACAAAGGAAAATGTCGTATACTATGTACATAATATCTACTTCTAAGTACTTACTTATTTTTCTTAAATATAAGTGAACAAAAAATAACAGAAGTTCGTGATGGTGCAAAACAACTGAGAAAAGTATATAATAGAACGATTTGGATGAAACATTTGAAAATGAGTGTGTGTTCATTTTCAGAGCCTTATTAAAACAATTAAAACCCCTCCAAAAACATGATTCAAATGAGTAAATTCATTAGGGAAAAAAACATGGAAGCTATTTTTCCATGTGTTGCTCTCCAAATGGTTTTGTATACTCCTGCTTACAACTGTTCAACGGAAAGATCATTTTCTACACTTTGAAGAATTAAAACCTATTTAAGATCAACTACGACATCAGTAAGATTAAATAGTTTAGCCATATTAAATATAGAGTCTTCTATAACCAAACAATTACGATGATATTATTAAATCATTTGCATCGAAACATTCTTGTAGAACATTTTTAAAAGACCCAGAATGAAGCTAATATGTATTTAACTATGTACCTACTACTTACAAAATGTAAGCAATTTATAAGATAATATATTTATTTACAATGTATTTAGAGTGGTTTTAAGGGTTTAACTCCCTCTTTAGTGTTATTAGACATCTAAATGGTTTTTCATGTTTTTTTTATATTCTGAACAAAATGCTAGCAACGCCTATCATATATAAAACTTGTTTTGAACTTCATCAAGTTTTGTAGGCTTAGCATTTACTGTTTAAGAATACTAATATAATACTTCTATAGTTCTATAACCAACCACAGACCACTTCATATACTATGCTGATTTCTAAAATAACTAAGAAATATTTAATATTATTTTTATCGTTCAAATTTAAAATTCAATTTTTAATGTTTGTGGGGTAGACAGAAAGTGAGAAATTTCAGTGTTCTTCTTATTTAACTCGTTATAACTTATAGTTTTCCTGTATGTGTTATAACATTTCAAAAGTAACCAAAATAGTGTTTTGTTTGTGGTTTAAGCTATACTACCTATTTCAGGTCTCGTGCGACGTACATAAAATAAAGAAACAATTGTGTACTCTTAACAACCAATTGTATTTTTAGTAGATATGGGCCTGCCTATACCATACTTTTAATGAAGTTCCGCCGCCCGGGTGTTCCATACCTGCTAGTAGGGCCCGCACCACAGGTTAAGCCCAGGAGTCTAGTAACTAGATTAACTTTGGATAACTAGTCTAATAGTTATTCAAATACGGTCCTGTAATGTCTCGTCGAAAAAAAATTGTTTTGATTATTTTAATGACTTGTTTATACCTACCTCTTATGATGAACTATTAGATCAATGCGGCATTGTTCTGTAGGTTTAGTACAGGTTGGCCTTGGACTACTATAATATAGCTGTTTACCACAATATACACGCGTGACGTCCCTATAAACCACTCAGGTCTCAGTCTTCTATTTAGCTTATTGTCTGAGTATCACGTATGATGTGCGCACCTCACTGGTATATCGCCGATCATAACAGTTACAACCATGAGTGCGTTGATCAACAATGTGAGCTGTTTCTTGACAACGATTTTATTACTTCGGCCAATAACCTGGTGTTCCTCGCAACAGACAACCAAAAAGCAGCCACATATAATACTTATTCTTGCCGATGATTTGGTGAGTGAAATGTTTTTAAATCATATTCTTATTTTTGGATTCAACACATACAATTTAAAATTCGAGTAATTGTGCTACAAAAACACATTTTTTAATAAGTATTTTAGAAACAAATTCACTTCACTGGATACCCCTTTTGTTTTGCCATATTTCAGTGTTGATTTATTGCCATATTTTTACGCTGATTACGAATCTGAAGTCAAAATTAGACGGACTTCTTGAGTTTAAAAGTTATAACTACTTGAAATTTGTATATTTCCACGTGTTAACAATAGGCGGTGGCTGCGGACGCCGCCAACCGCCGCTGCACCATACATTTGTCGGCGACGCGAGTACGTGCTGCTACAGTATTATTAGTTAATTATTTATTTTTATCATTATTATTGATTATTTTAAGGTTATCAATGATGTAATATCAGTTATCAATATTGTATTAAACAACAATATGATTTTTTAAAGCTTTAAGTTAGTTAGTCTTTAACTATTAAAAATAACTCCCTACGTCTGTCGTCTTTGGGAGTCAACTCCGGGCCCCTCTTCGGGATTCTTCGTTGGACGGGGTTGGTCACGCCCCCAAACCGCCTAAGAGAAAAATAGCTTGCCTAAAGGACTAAACTAACCTAACCTATATACTGGAAGCGTTCTAACACTAAATGATGGCAAAAAAAAATGGTGTCCGGTAAAATGAATTTATGCAGTTTTTTAAAAAGGTACTCCTGAAAAAAACTGAAAATGATGTGACCCCTCTTTTAAGGTGAGCTTTTTACACTGAATAACAGGGAATTATTTTTTTTAAGTCATTATTTTTTTACTTAACTGTCGAAATCTTCAATTTTTGACTTATCGAAAAAATGAAAACAGGGGGCTTATTTGGGGGTCCCCCAGATGTCCAATCACCTATTACTTACCTTTCATGCTGGAACACCCTGTATATTATTAATTACAATAAAGTTTTTGTATTATCTAATACACCTATACTTCTCGTTTTCCTCTGCACTCATTTACCTATTAGTAGCTGATACGCTCAGTGCTATTCACTTATTTTGTTCAAAAAACCTCACAAGAGCGGATCCAGCATCTATTTACAGTCGGGCACTTTATGGGAAAATTATATAATATAGCTGAGCATAGCCGTATGAAGGGGGTCTTAGGGGAAGAACAAATTTGTTCTTTAACGGCTTCATTCTCAAAAGCCTATTGACGATTCGGAGATTTCGGTAGTTACTAATATTTTTTAAATTATTTTTTGCCAACGGGGGTGGCACTTGCCCTCAGTCCCCCCCTTTATACGCCCTTGAACCTTACAATGTGAAAAAAATGGACTTGGTTCACTTTTGTACTGAGCCCTCCAATCCTAGTGATATTCCACTTTGTTTATTTAAAAAAAAGTTGTGTTTTTAAATATTATTTCATAAATATACGAAAAAATATATAAATATAAAATAAATGTTGAAGGTTTTAATATGATCAACACCTTTCATTATTATTGTTTAAAAACAAAATATTTATTAAAAAAAACATCGTGTCGTACAAAGTACATAGGTATAACAAGCGCCAGCTCATGTAACACTTAAAGGCTCGCCTGCTGAAAGGTTAATTACTAAAATAAGTAAATATATTATATTTTAAAATTATAGAAATGTATAAAGTATTACTTATTAGTTAAATATAAAAATAGTTTTTTTCTGTATGATGTCATATTGATAAACACTTCAATAATATGCGATAATACGTTGAAGTATTACGATATTCATTCTTTATTTTATTCAATATTAATTTAGAAGATTTAAATCATAAATAGGTTTAGTAGATTAATACATAAAAATACCACTTCATATTTTAAAAATCATAACTAAATATTAAAATTTAAATTAAAAATGTATATTATTTTAAATGAAAAAGTTAATTGATAAATTGGTTTGCGATAATTGTTTTTATTCGGGCCGACGATTAATGAAAACCATTACCCTAGAGTGGGAGATATTTTTGCTTTTCTGGTACAATTTGATTAAATATAATATTATCTAAGGTCTGAAAATATAAATGTTATAAAATAACAAAATACATATTGTGCCGTATTGTATTTAATAAAAACAATTTTTTCTAACTTAACTTACATATGTACATAGGGCACTTATAAGTTATATCTTACTACGAGTTCCCTATATTTCCTTAGTAGCTTTATTTTTAGGTATATGTAATACTAAATGTATTGTTTCAAGTAGTAAAGAGTCCTGGATTGGGTGATTTTATAAATATAAGTATTACGTAACTTTTTAGCTAACAAAATAATATTTTAGACAGTTGTGTAAAATACACTTTTATATTGAGGGGATCTTAAAAAGAGCGCATAACAATAGTACATTCTCAAGTTTTAATAAATGATACATCATAATATATTTATTGTATTTACTGTTTATCTGCATAAATATATCATTATATGTTTCATTAGGGTTGGAATGATGTTGGATTTCATGGATCTATTCAGATACCGACTCCAAATATAGATGCCTTAGCTTTTAATGGAATTATATTAAATCGTCATTATGTACAACCCACATGCACTCCTTCTAGAGCCGCCTTATTAAGCGGAAAATATCCAATTCGATATGGTAAATTACATGTGATATAACACAGATTTACACTGCACATTGTACAGTATTTTTAATAATTTTTAAGCATTTATACAATTTCATAATTTCAATTTTTTTGTTTAATTTAATAATGGCATATCATATAAATATCATGTAAACGTAATCAGTTTATTGAAAGCCTGGGATTTCATATCGCAACTACATATACAACATAATTGTACAATTATTATTATGTTTAGTGTTTATTAATAATTTGCTAAACTTTGAAATAAATTTCATTTGATACAGACGCATTTGTCAATTTGTGTAAAACTTCTAAACAGTTAAATTTAACATATAAATTAAAATATTAAATAATTTAAATGTTACTTAATTTTCTATTAAAAACAAATGTATCTCAAACAATTGAAGAATATTTTCAATTTTTTACATGCGGGTATATGAATATATTTATTAAAAAAAAACTGTGGAATTTATAAATATTTAATAACTCTGTTCTCTATAAAAACAGTTATAATTTGTATTAAATAATACAATGTTATTCTATATTAATAGGTCTTCAAGGAACTCCAATAATTGCAGGTCAAGCTTCAGCTCTACCACTAAGTGAAAAAATTCTGCCACAAGTACAATACTAACTTTAAGGTTTTACCACAGATTAAATAAAAACAAATAGACTGTATTTAATTTGTGGTTTATGCGTTAAGGTAGACGGTAGTCTTAATAGTTGTTATTGATCATGCTATATACTTTCAGTACTTAAAAGACCTAGGATACAGTACTCATCTGGTTGGAAAATGGCATTTAGGCGCTTACCAGAGAAAGTTCACTCCTACCGAAAGAGGATTTGATACTCATTTTGGATATTGGAACGGATTTATAAGTTACAGAAATAGCACTCATTCTAATGTAAGTACTGAGTACCGATTTATTATAAATTAGGGTTTGTTAGTACCTACTTGCTGTTTGATGTCGAAATATACGAGTGATTTTTCTTGAATATTACACAGGATATAATGAGTGGTAAGGATGCAAGGCGCGGTTTCGACAGAGCCGGTGATGAAATGATTAATAAATACGCGACTGATATTTTCACAGAAGAAGCTATAAAATTAATTGATTCGCACAAACATCAAGAGAAACCTATGTTTCTCATGGTTAGTCATTTAGCAGTACATACTGGGGACCCTGGACCAAATCTCTTAGAAGTAGCAAATAAAACGTATAATGACGAACAATTTAAATACATTAAAAATAAAGACAGGAGACTTTTTGCCGGTAAGTAGATTATATAATTTTTACATATGTGTATGTACGTAAAATTGCGTCAGAAAAGAAATAAATCTGGCGAAAGTAGATTGTCATAATACTATTTATGAATTAAAATAAAACAAAATTAAAATAGTAAAATAAAGTAACTTCAAGCGAAACCTGAATAACATGTTTAACTACTATGTAGCTATTATTAGCTGTTAGCGTACTTACAATTATAAATATTACTTAGCTAAGTCTTTGCTAAATTTAGGGTGACTGAGTACTGACTAATGTGAAGATAGAGTATTTACTATCGCAGTTTGCAATTCGTCATGAAATATATGTTCGTAATTATTATTATCAACATCTGTAAAGTATAAATTATGTTCCAATAGGACTTAACTCTACTACAAACCATTTTACTAAAATTCGTGAAGACACGTGTTGACGTGTGAAAAAATAAAAATGCATTTACTACAAATAAAATTGATCAAAATATAAAATATATTTGTAATCAATATCTGTATAACTATTAATAAACCGCTATGGACCAACGGTTCACAAATCTGGGCAGTTGCAAAAATAAAAAATCTTAAAAAAATACATTGTTCAAAACAAATTGTTAATTTTGATAAATTTCTTACGGGATGAGAATAGGCAGCATAGGATTAATTAGATAGTTAAATATTCTTATTTGAATGTTTATTAATAAAATATTATAATTTAGGTATATAAATTATAAAATTAAAATACTATTATTTAATTGTATAATTATTATTATTGTGTTATCATATAACTGTTTAATATTATTATTTTATTGTAAACTAGGTATGATGACCTCGTTGGACAATTCAGTGGGCAGTGTTATTGAGTCATTGGACAACAATGGAATGTTAGAAAATAGTATAATATTATTCATTGCAGATAATGGAGCACCGGCTGATGATCCGATTTGGGGTTATGGTAATGCTGGTTCTAATTGGCCATTAAGAGGAGTACGCATATTACTACACATATTTGCTGACGTTGTCATTATAATCGCATTCAGTCGCTAACTGTCATTATGACAATCCCTATGACAATCATATTTGGCGTCCCTATTTAACATGTATTCATATTTTTTTGACACCTCTAAAATTTTCTTCTAGGGCACTTGCCCCGGTTGTCACGCCCTAAGCACCGCCCTGATCGCAGTATAACAAATACTTTTATTAAACATAAATGATTACCCAAAATAATGGTTTAACACAAATATAGAATTATTAAGGTACGTTTCATTACAGCATCTATTTAAATTTGAATTTAGGAAAAAGGAGCTGTACTAGAAGGAGGAGTGCGTGGAGTTGCTGCTTTTTGGAGTTCATGGTTAAAAAAAAAACACCGAATTTCCGAAAATTTATTCCATATTACTGATTGGTTACCGACATTATATACAGCTGCGGGTAATATTTATTTACGCTCTTATGGTTTAAATAAAATAATTTAATTTGATTCAATATATACTTTTTTACATTTATGTAGACTATAGAAATTAAAATAAGTGGAACACATATGTACTTAATATGACGTATCCATCGGAATAGGTAGGTACTTCATTTGTGTTCATAAAAATGGATAATATTATGTAGATATTTAAAATATGGGAGTGCGTTATTTACGAGTATTAAATAAATAAAGAAGAACGGTTCAATCGCATCGGGGTTTTAACGGTTTTTATTAGTTAAAACTATTCCAATGGAAATATTATGGGTTACTATATTTAGGAATTTATTAGAAAAAGGGTTTAAAAAAATTAGCTTCGTAGAGTAGTGAGGTAAAACATTTCAATACATTTTGAATTGTTTATTACATTTTTAAAATGCACATAAAAAATAAAAATATGTAAAACATTTTAATGAAGATCTGAATTCTGAAATGTATGTCAATTATCATCTTGGTATAAAGTAATATACAAAATTATGTTACGCACGAAAAGTGAATTTTTGTTGACCATTGTTATTAACTATTCATAGTTTTAAACTTAAATTCTCTTATACCTGAAAATTATGTATGTAGTATAGTATTTGTAATACTCTACATAGTCCATATTTAAAAATTCTGAAATGTTTCTCTTATAACTATATGCTAATAAGTAATAAGTATTATGCGTTTTAGGTGGTGATTTTATAGATTTAGGCCAAATCGATGGTATTGATCAATGGAATAGCTTAACGGAATCGTCAAAAATCATGAGGTCAATAGCGTTAGTGAATATTGATGAAACACGAGGAGAGGAAGCTCTGATTTTCAATCAATGGAAAATTGTAAAAAGTAAATTGAATTGCTGTTTGTTTATGAGTTGACCATATAAGTATACATTATGATAATTGATAACATACGTTTTTATAATTTCCAAGCTAGAAAATTGAATCTAAAAACGTCCTAGACTATTCAAGGCCGAGAATTTCAATGTTTAATTAATTGTAAATAAATATACTACTAATGAACATAAGTTATACATAATATGTATAACTTAAACTATAGTATGGAGTATTTTAGTTTATCTTCTTTTAATTTATAACATTTAATTTAATTATCTGTATATCTACTACAAAATACCGACTTGAATACAAATTGAATTTTTAGGTAACAAAACGAGCGATATAGCTTATTACCTTCGATACAGCGGCGATCCCGGTGACACGGGACCAGATTATAATATGCAAAGTGTTGCAAGTAGCATAGCGGGATCACGTCTATCTAAAGTTAACTGTCGGTTGAACAAAGAAGACTGCATGGATTCAATTACCACATATCAACTTTTTTACAGTATCCGCTCCCAAGCTAGAGTGCACGATAAATGTTCTGAACGCATTTCAAAACCCAGTGAACATTATGAATGTTTCAACGGTTACTGTTTATTCGATTTAGAAAACGACCCGTGTGAGTATAAAAATGTGGCTAAACAACATCCTCAAGTTCTGAACATGACTTTGGATATGATGAACGAGTTCAAAAAAGAATTAGTGAAACAAAATAGACCCGGTATCGATCCTAACTCGGACCCTCGCAAATTCAATGGATATTGGGAAACATGGTTGGATCATGATGAAACTTCTGATAACGCGTCTAATTCACCAATGATCATTTTAATAACAGTATTCGTCGTCTACTTTTTAAACTTGGATGCGCTGTTAATTTAATATTAATACATTATACTGTATTTTATAGTACCAATAAAAAGTAAATTTTGATGTTTTTTTCTAACTAATGATTGTTGATAAAAAATACTTAACTTTACCTAGATAATTACAATAAAAATTGTAAGCATAATTACTGACAGTCTAATTAATTTAATATAGCTGTATAAGTTATTCAAATAAGTACGATGAACAGCTACTGCGTGCCTACACCAAATTGAACAACTTCAACAATTTGTATTATTCGTTAACGTAACACGAATACCTAACTAATAAGTACAACAAAATAATGACTCTGTACTGATGTGCATTATAATACAAATACAATATAGCAATTATCGATCTGTACTCAGAATAATAAAACCATTATAAATTCATTATTGTTGTTTTTTAACGATGTATAAAAGTAATATTTATTTGAAACGATAGATTTACACAATACAATATATTCCACTTATATACATCAGGTATTATATATATATTTATTTGTACACAATTACAATGAAATCTTAATAACTCAAAGCTCGTGAGTCGAAAAGAAGTTTAAACTAGCGAAGATTTGGATTTACAATACGTTGTTTAATTATTAGACTTTAAAGTGTTCGAGAATTTCCACTTATCGAGACTGACTTATTTTCAGTATATTCATAGAATATCAGAGTATTCAATTATTATTTGGTAACATTTCTCAGACCATTGTTCTTCTTGACTACGAGAATGGTGATGAACATGAATACTCCTATCCATCCGGATGCGGACAGGAATCCCTTGTAGACCGTTGGATGGGTTATAGACCAATCTCTTGCCGACAAGGCTCTGAACGATTCTGTCGATAACGTAATGGGCAAAATCCAACCGATTGATCTCAGAATCCAGTGCATGCCTTCCAGTGGCCAAATCATCCCACTAAGCATAGCTAACGGGAAGAAGCTTCCCAGTCCCATGAACGTAGCTGAAGTATCAGTATTACAAAATACCGAAACCATGAAACCTAGAAGGAATTTTAATATTATATTATATTTTAATATTCAGTAAAATTCAGATTGTATTCTCTAACTTAGTTTTGCCGCCATAGTAACTTACCATAGCACATTCCGCTGGTTCCCGTTAAAAATAGTAAAGATAATGTCCACACTAGACTACCCACCATAGGATTGTCAAAGAACACAAATAAGACCAACATCATGAGAGCCGTTTGTACACTCAACACGATGTACTGTACCACGATATGTGACAACAATACTTCGGTAACGGTAACGCCTAAAAATAGTATACAATAACACATTATGCCTGGCGTAGACATTAAGAGGACACTACACCACCCATTTTTCAGGAGTAAAGTATAGGACATTTTTTGCAAAATCTTAACTTAGAGCATGAACTTAGTATGTACTAATTAATACAGTAATGAAGATTCTTAATTGGTTGCCGTATTTTTCATCAGGTTACCGAAGTCATTTATACTTGGTAAATTACAATTTTTTCCCTATTAAAACTGCTTTGCGCGGGACAAGTATGTGAGGCCAGTTTAACAGTAGATTAACCAAATGTTCATAATGCATAGAGATAGAGAAGAACTTTATCTATGCCGTAGCGTTTTTATTTTTTTGATATCTATACTTAATATTTTTTTATAAACAAATGAAAAAAGGAAAAAAAAGAATCTTTACAAATGAATTGATGAATGATTGTGTTTAAGTTATCAAAAAACTAAAAACGCTACGACATAGATAAAGTTCTTTTCAATCTCTTGTAAAAATTGTATACGTTTAATACCGCCCTGATATACTTATCCCCCGCAAAACCATTTTTCATGGATAAATTATGGATGTGTAGCGTCCTATTAATTAAAAGATTGAAAAACTGATTCATTACCTGCAACGAGACTCCTTTCCAGCAAACCACCCATTTTTTCCATTAGAATCGCTCCGACAGTAAACACCATAGGAAGATAAAATTCGAAGCTGCAAATCAATTAATGTTCCTTGTAAGATTTTAAGTTCTGACAAACAAAAAGCGTGTTTACTTACAGGGATATTATGGCCGGAGCTGTGAAATGTCCAAAACTTGGATTATTGCTTCCGTAAATGGCATCTTCCATCTACAAGCATTATACGTTAGGAAATCAAAGCGTTACGTAAGAGTTTAGTAAAACCGTACCTTAATTGGAATATCTGCCATCGCAATAGGCCATCCACAGTCTCTAAACACACTTTGTAGGAAAAGCACGTACCTCGAAAGCATATCCCTTCGCAACAAATTGCTAACGTATTGATCTGTAATAATTGAAATAAGTACAAGAGTTATCGAAGTAACTCAAAATCATAAATGTTCGGATTAATGTTGATTAAAGACAATTTCTCACTGGACATGTCTTGCCATATATTAACGTCACTTATGTTCAAAGTTCTCTCGGTCAGATTTTCCGGCATTTGAATACGAGCTCCCAGCGATTCCGAATAACCTTTTTCGAAAAATAGCACTCCCCAGACTCGGTTTTTCTTGACAGCAAATTTTGCTTCGTCCAAAGTATTGTATTCCACCTGTAATATACATTACCCACGTTTTATTTCATGTTAGATTGAATGTCTACCGGATTAACCAACCAAATTGTAACTCTTGTCCCGTAAGTTTTGTAAGTATCGACAGCTCAAAGGCACGCTAAAATTACATCCACTCATCGGATAGTTATTGCAACTGGCCATTCCGTGCTTGAGCTCTTCGTTGACTACCGCCAATTTCAGTCCTTGCGGATCGCGACCAATACACGTACAAAATAGGTAACACTGCACCACTGGCAAGATCATGAGGAAACACATAATACTATAGGTATAAACATAATGTCAAAGTTCAATTAGATGTATAAACATTATTATATTGTAATGATTTATTCAATTACGGTATGTTTCTCTTCATCCAATAAAAATTTTTCATCAATTGAGCAATTACTCGACTTTTTGAGCACAAGATATCTGGTTTTAACGGTGGCAACGGTTTCCTGTCTGGAACTGGGTACGTCTCAATATTCTAAAATATACAAATCGCCATTAATTAAGATTACTACAATTAGCTTTGCATAACTATTATAAACTTACACAATTTTCATCTTCTCTGTCCATAATACTGCTTCTCGTTTGACGCTTGCTGAGCTCCAAAAATGCTTGTTCCAAGGTCGAACAATTATGTTTAATGAGCAATTGAGTTGGTGATTCTTCTGCCAACAATAGGCCGTCTCTCATCAGTCCGATCTGTAAAGTTGATTATTAATAAAACAAAATATATTTTGTATTATTTTATCGTAATAATTTTAAATTCAAATTAAATGAATCATTATTGCGCCCATTAGACATTAATTATTATGTTAAACCAACCGTGTGCGCTTGTCTTGCTTCTTCAATGTAATGTGTTGTGATTACGACCGTTTTGTTTCCGTTTGCTGTCAGGTCAAGAAGATGTTGCCAAATGCTAAAAAAATGTATAAGATAAAACATCATTTTGTTCGATTACATCAATCGCAGTTCAAAATTCATACCTAGCGCTCAGTACTGGATCTACGCCTACAGTTGGCTCGTCAAGTATCAACAGTTGAGGGTCATGAAGTAAAGCCACTGCGAATGATACCCTTCTCTCTTGACCACCACTTTTTAACACAGTTTAATAAATATATTTTATATTTTTAAAGATACTCTGGTAGTTTCAAGTATTATTTTACCTCAGCCTGCTGACAATGTTGTTTTCACCGGGCAGTTCTAGAAACTTTAAAAGTTCATACGTCCTAGTTTCTATTTGCTTGTAGGTCATGCCAAACAATCGACCGTAGTAAATCATTGTTTCTCTGATACTGAACTCTTTATATAGAGCGAGCTCCTAAAAAAGAAAGCACATATAAAATATATAAGAAGTAAAGTAGATATTTTATTTACCTGAGGCATGTATCCAATATTGGATTTAGTTTTGGCTTTGACTTGTATGTCTCCGGCATCGAGTTGGCATCTTCCAACCATACAACTAAGCAAGGTAGTTTTACCACACCCACTCGGACCCAAAAGACCATAACTAAATTTCAACAAAACACCATCGATTTAATAACAGAATATTATTTTAATACCACACGCTTTTTGAGTAATAATCAACTATGGTCTATGTGTATGAGTATACATCATCATAATAAGTTAAGTAGGTATTGAGGTTTTTATTATCTTTTTTCTGTACTATTTAATAATTGTACATTGATAATATTAAATACCGGATTATTAATAAAATATTGACTAACACATATGAGTTTGATAATTATTAATTGATAAATTTATAAAAACAGAGTGATAAACTATATTTTTTTTATAATGATATCACTATTATATTATGATAATTTCAAATTTATATAGTAATTTTTTGTATGGTCGTAAAGTATCTTAGCCTTGGGGTCATATTTTCTGCATTAAGTGTAAGTATTATACTGTGTAGAAAGTTTATATAATTATTAAGGACATACAATTATGTGCAAACGAATATTATAGAGTCATTGCATCAATGACCATGATGTCGCTTATTGATGTCTCACCTTTCTCCAGCTATGATATAATAGAATGAAAAATATTGCAGAGCTGATTATATTATTACGTTGTATAGGTACCTTTTTGTTTTAAAATACATCCCGTCTTCCATAAGACCGTGCCATTTCTTTTGTGTACGATTTTTAGTTAAGTTTACAATGATTAAACCGGAATCGGTGTATTTATCAAGGAAAAATGTATATTGAGTAGATGTAAAAAAAGTTTTTACATTTAAGCACTTGTATTTATAGAATTCGAAGTATTAATAACATGATTATTGATTATAAAATGTGAATAAATATTTAAAAAATCATCCTCTAATACTTAAATGAGTGTAAAATCCAATAATAGGAGTTTTTATATTGAGTAAAGTTGGACGTTTCAATAATTTGTAAATAGTATTGTTATAATGGTTATAATATTTAATGCTTAACAAAAAATCTAAAAAATATTTTATTTAGTTTAAAACTCTTTAATTCTTACCTAACATTTTAAAACTCGTTTAAAAAGTATTTTTAAGTTGAAAAATTTAACTATTAGAGGTAATAGTGAAAAAATTGCACTCTTAAAATCTTGGATAATAAACCGTATACGTACATTTTTAGGTGCTTCAAACCCCCAAATGTTCCCAAAAAAGTGTGTCCCGTCATAGACAATTAACGGTAATTCCAATTTTTTTTTTGTTGTTAAAGAATAAAGTCAAACTAATTAATAGTTTTATCGGAGTTAATTTAATTTTATGAATGAATCGTTGGGTTAAATATAAATCAGTAACATTTTCATTAAAATCATAATATGATAAACTGATAAACATAAATATGTTGTACCCACTGTGACTCTTAATATAAATTTTAGACACTATGATTATATAAAATATATATTTCAGATTTTACTTACATTGTACCCTCGGGGACAGTCATGTTGAGGCCTCTAAGCACCACGCTATAAGGGTTATATCTTTTATATGCACCCCTCACCATAACAGCCGCTGGCCTATCACCTCCACTTTTGTCACTTAACGACATGCCGGAAACTTCCATTTTCCACAGTTGTATTACACTTGGTCAACTCATCACCTGCGTTAAAAAGTATAAGCAGATTTTTTTTTAAATTAATGTTTCAAAAACACACTGGTCGTTAATTTTAAGGTATTTTAAGGTTGTCACGGAACACGGAAAAATAAATAACAAAAAAAACGTAAAATAAAACGTCTTATGGTCTTGGAATTTTAGTTTTGACAAATTAACACACATTTGGTTTATAAAACAGGACGGGAGTACAAAACTATGTAGTTATTGGAGTATATGTTTTTGATGATTACTTTATTATTTATGTTTTATCGAAGTATAGTGTTAACATTTTGTAAATAATTCGTGGTTGTTGCATTGTAAGTTAACATTGCTAGTTAAGTAAATATACAGAACAAACGCGTGAAACATAGTAACAAAAAATTAATAGAGAAAAAGGTCGTGCTAGGTTAGTGCTTTCGTCGTATTTCAATTATTAATTATGTTAATTTCTCATTTATCTGTTTTGAAATCAAATCATTTTAATCAAATGTAATTTTATGTTGTATAAGGCTGCGTATCTTTTTGTTTTTTACACGCAAGATATTTTTGATAAAATTAAATACTCTTTTTTTTTTTAATCATACAGCCGAAGGAATTGCTTACAATATGATTTCCTGCTACAAAGTTGGTACTGCACGACTATTTATTTTGTCAACAATTACACAATATTGTAGATCCTACCTATCATGTCTTAATCATGTTTTAAGTAAATTATTTGCTTATGCAAAACGAATTTTATACAATATTTACCATAAGCTAACCATAATAAGATAACGATTACTACCTTGAATATTTTTTCTTTTGTTAGTTACTTAAATAAGCTTTTAAGAAATAAATGTAAATACGGATGTCGTCTTAGACGTACGCCACTTATCACAAGTAAAAAGCACTTAATAGTAAACCTCTATACGTTTCTAAAATGAGTAGACCAGAAATAGACAATAGTTAAACATTTCCGTGTAAACAGTTTCGAAGCTAAAACTGATTCGAATATTAAAGTAAATAAATAGACATTTACACTTATTGGTGGGCATTTATTTGTTTATGATGCTAGTATGATGCTACAACAAGGCTTACAAAATATATACAATTCATTATTTTTATTTTTTACTATACATAATGGCTATTATTATACTAATGGTATAATACCATACCTACTTAAGTTTTTTTTCAAATTAAAAAATATTTTAAGTAACAAAGCAAATATTTATCGTATCTAGGCACTGAAGTACTTAAACATCTTAATACTATAGCATATAGAAAATGAATATTGATTAAAACTGTATACGGAAATTGTATACCATCGACGCTGTAGGCAACAGTTTGATCGAGTGCGCAATTTTGCTTAAAAAAGTGGCAAGGGCCAACATTTTAGAGGTGCTAGTTTAAAAGGGATGCTAATCACACCTCTAAGTCCTCTCAAATTGTGCCAATGAGTTTGATAACTAAAAATAAATTAGATTTAAAAGTATTTTTAAGAAATAATTTTTGGTCTATTTGACTGTAGTCTGTAAGTACTAAATATACATTAATTAGCTAATGATAATTTCAGATTCGGTTCTACCGTTACGCAAACTTTGCCGGAGATATGCTATTACAAATATCAAAATAAGGTTAAATTCAATACAATGCCATACCGCCATATCAAGGCCATACCGCCGACGTTAACAATACGGGACATCTACTCAAAATTGAATTATTATACTGTTTTTAATAAAATCAAAACATTTTGATAATCAAGATACATACATACATAGACATACAGTCTATAGATAATAATAAAACTTTTTAGTTGTATACAATCTGTTCTGTAGTTTATCATTTTCTATTTTAATTGCGTTACAATAGTAGACATATTGTTTTTTTTTTTTTTTAATCTTAACTGGTATAGATTGGTAGTGATCCGTTAGCGAGGACATTTTTTGTAACATTCATGTGTATAGTTTATTAAAGTTCAAGAATTTTTAAAATAATTCAATCAATAATATGAACAACTGCAAAAATGCACATCTCTTTAAACCCGTTATGTTTTGGTAACGCTCTAATAACCCCAATATTCATAGCAATCGTAGAAAGATAGTTACGATTTATTAGAACCCATTAAAAAAAAATCAAGTACAGTGAGTTGGTGCTTAGTGGGACGGATCATATTAGAGCGGAGGAGTTGTCAGATTTACAACTGGAAGTGATAAATTAAATTTTAATAAACGCTTGGATGCAAATCTTTAGTGGTATACTTACAAATATCGATAAAAAAATTGTTCCTACAATAATGTTACCTGACAATAATATTCTTAAAAATGTATTTTTAGTATTAGGATGAATACGACTAGGGTTGTTTGTCTGTATATAATAATTTATTGCCGTTGTTAGGCATACATAGTAATTAATAATATAATGAACATATTTTCAATATCTGGAGACTGTAGTCTCACTCACACAACCAGGAATTTTACAACGGCCAGTGTTTTTTTTATTTACCTTAATAGAAAAGAAGTCTGATTACAGATGTATACAAATTGTATGTTATAGCCCCATTTTAGATCTACCTTCGGTCTAATTTTCAAACCTTAAAACTTTACTTAAAAAAGTGAAATTAAGAAAACTTTTCCACTCCTTCTAGGGGAAAGGATTTATTTTTTTAGATTGTTAACATTAGTCAGTAGTACTAATTCTAAAGGATGTTCCATACAAATTTGGAACTAATTCGACTATTTTTAAAAAAGTTATAGAGCACCGTATTATTAAGTTGAAAAATATGTAAATTTGTTGGGTGTTTTTCTTGAGTTTAAAGGGAAGGAATGAACTTTTTAAACTTCTGACTCGACAAAGTATCTTTCAGGTATAATTTCTGATCTATAGAGTTGCTACACTAAGAAATCGGTTAATCGACACAAAAATAAAAACACATAATTGTTAAAACAATACAGCATCGCATCGAAGCAAAAAAAGTCGCAAAAATCTACTCAAGAGAAGAAAAAAATAATATTTTGCGTTTTACTAATAAAGATGTAATGGCTTCGTTCTACAGTTATTTTGATCTCTGGTTAATGTGATCAGCCGTTCACGGTTCACTATGATTTTAACACAAAGTACCAATTGGATTAAAAAACATGAAAAATGTCGTTTAATTAAAACAAAACATGCAGATTCATGCTCATATTTGTTTATTATTTGAATACTAAAAACCAGGCAGAAGGCTCGAAATTAGAAAGCTGAAGATGCACTTTTCAACCCATCAATTGTATTTTATAAAGCCAACAACCTTACTAATAATTCACGCCTAAGCTAAATTAAATATGATTTATTTCACAAGTTTTATTTTTTAATTTCCTGGCATTTATGACATCTATGGCTAGTCGGTTGATTGTTTGGTTTGGTTGGTTTGGTAAGGTATGACCACACCATTTTTTTTGGTAAATTATTTTTTTACTATAGTCAAAATAGCTACGACCTCCAATTTCATTTAATTTAAACTGCTATATCAATAAATGTCAAATAAGTTATTCAATTTATAGACAGATAAACATCCAACGCATATTACAGCTATATTTTCTATGACTCTTAAAAAATATTCTAGAATAAAGTTATATATTACCTAATGAGTAATGACTAATAGTGTATTCAAAGTGTATTAACCACAAATGTCAATTGTACAAGTGCATATGTAAATAGAAATATCGTATATCTTCATCATGTTATAACAAATTTGTTGTGTTTTTAATTTATTTAAGCACTACAACTTTGTGTTTGTAGTAATATAATTTGTTTAAAGTATCTATTACGCCTAGTCCATGTAATAATAAACAGTAGCCGATGAAGGTAAATGTTATGCGCATGCATTGTAAGGTATCGTCCAAAGGGGTAAGCAATTCTTTTGTTGTAATGTATTATATTATGATAACAGAATAACATGAAAATGTCATTCGACACTATAGATCACGCTAATTTTAAAGAATTGCCAGTAAAATTTGTATATTGTTGTTATTAAAATATATATTTTCAAACGTACCTTTTAGTTAAGGAACGTTCAGTCCTCTTCATATTATTATTGTGATTTTCGAATTGAATGCGGCCTCTACATAGCGACAATTGTGAAAGACGGTATACTTATTAGTCAGTAGTAAAAACGATACGTCGAAATTCGATTTCGTGATACGGTCAACTGTGGAAATGTCTTTATACTATTTGGACATACGCTTTGGAGTATTGGATCCCTACCTGTTAAAAAATACGCAAGACATAGGTACATATCTATGCGTGCCACATATTGAAGACGTGAGTGACGTCACAAAGCATCGTATTTTATTTGCTAATCAAACTGTAAGTGAGGTCAAATGTAAAAACAATTCTTGTGTTGTGATCTTTAGTGTTCCTTTGAATTGCTCAGATTTCGATTTATTTTGACATTTCGAAAAGAGTCCAACAGTCGAAAACAGTATGCGGGAATTGGCTTTTACCTCAAGAGGGAATACAAAGGGAGAAATAATAATACAGATCGTTAAAACAAGATTCAGATAGTACACACTGATATAGTTTCCTAACTTAAAAATGTACCTGTGAGCCTTCACGAGGGCCAAACTGTATCAATAATAGTTAATTATATGTTACATTTTAAAATACGCTTTGAAATAAAAATAAAACACCTATCTGAATCTTGCCCAGTAATTTATTAAAAGTTGGAAGGCTTCAAAGTACTAGACAATAAAACGTTTGTAGCAGAGAAAAGTATAGCTTAGGTCAAATTTTAAATATTTAAAAATCCTGTTTTAAAAGGTAACTATAATAAACGAGATTGCCAACTCCTGACAAAACGAGAAATTACTTTCTGCGAGTCTCTTCGCATTCAACCATACATTATTTTGTAGAATCTCTCCTTACTGATTTTGTAATATTAAAATACAAAATGAGGTTCGTAGCCTATTGCTAATAAGCCGGAAAGGTCTTCACTCACCTTACTCCATAATAAAATGGTGCGTACACATCTAGCAAATGATTAAAATATAATCAATAACAATTCAAAAACAAAAAAAAGTTAAAACTACCGAATTTGTTTTTATGTTCGTTCGCTATGCAATGGATTCTGGACGAGATTAAATCGTTCGTATACTACCGTTTTCGAGTAGGTTTTAACTTTTAATCAATGTCTGAAGCCGTTTGTTCATTAATGACTTCGAGTCATTAACGGCTATATTACGTTGTTTGCACATAATGACATGCATACAGTGAATATAAACGACAAGACTGATTTGAATATGTAAGGACGACAAAATAATCTTAGAGTGGTAAACTAATCGGCAAACATACTATGAGGATTAATGTTTTTTTTTTTTGTTACATTTGGGTAGACGTAAGCTGCAGAAAGAAAGTAGTCATCTAATAAAAAAAAAATTCCAGACTAGTATTTCACCCTAATTTTTAGTACACGTGTAAAGTAACGCTACACAATATGTATAATAGGAGAAAAAGCGAAAGTGTCGGATTTTTATTAGACGAGAGCAAGTTTTTAAAATACACATGTATAATAATATAGTATGTAAGTATCTGTACATGTAAAAAAACGCATTTCACAGTGTTTCGTAAGATATTAAATCATATAATGTTTACCTATGGGTTGGTCGTCGAGAAGAATAAAGCCTATATTATGTTACATAATTTTCACCGATCATTAGCACAATGTTTATTTTATTGCCTACGCGAGCCACGCCGGTCGCCTACAAAATAACTACCAATATTGTTTTGCCGGCTTTTAGTATACAGTTAAAATATATGCAATAAAACTATATAAACCAAAGTGGTTTTTACACACGGATTTTGAATCTGGCTGAACATTTGTAACATCCCGTGAATTATAAATACAAGATTAACACGTTTTTAATTGGTTCTCATTAAAACAACACTTTTTGCTGAATCTAGGCCAAAGACCCTAATTGATATTAACTATTTAATACTATATTTATTAATATAGTATTAAATAGTTAAATAAGTAGTTAATTAGTTAAATATATATTTATATATTTGCAGCTAAAGAAAACATAAACCATACGTCTAAGTAATTAACAAATGAGCCCTTCAAAAGCAAAGTGGTGTACGTCAATTTTTTAAAATTTTGTACTCAAGATGTAAATTATTTTTTAAATCAATGTTAAAATCGCAAACTTAAAAAAAACTGACATACACCACTTTGCTTTTGAAGGGCTCATAAATAGGTATACAAATTAAAACTACAAGTACGAGTTTTAGTTATAGCAACAAGCATTTATTTAACTATTTATAAAGGAAAAATTTATTGAGACGAACATTATATACATACATATATAATATTTTGGTCATCATCTATGTAAAGAACAACTTTAGTCTTGAATAAGATAAGTAAGTTTTTTAAGTTGACACATTTTTAAGTTATTTAATAGTTTAATTAAACTTAAAATAAAACTATTATTTTATTTGTACAATTATAAAACGTTTGTAGGTATTTTCTAATTTTTTTTTTTTTTGTCATGTCGGAAATGTCATGTTGTTTTACACTTATGATGGTGAATATTGAGGAAGAGAGAAGAGTAAAAATAAGGATTTACAAGGATTTTTAACAATTATCCAACAGTTAGGGACCGACCCCTAATTGCTTACTAAGAGACAAGAAAAGAATAAAATAAGTTAGGTTTTTTTTCTCCGCGAAAATCATAATAATATATTCTTTGGCAAGAATTAGACAAGGGGTCCAAAAACAATATTTCAATATCGTTTCAAAGCCAAAATTAAATTATTTAAAATTGTATTATGGGCTATGGTTATTAATGATTCTATTAATTATTTGGAAATAATTTATATTAATAACCTCCAGTTAATAATTAGAATATTTATATTGTTATAAAATATTATAAACCCAATCTTAAGGACACTGTTTTACATTAAATTAGTATTTAAAAAATAGCTATAAATTAAGCTTTTATGATTCGTAGTGATTTGAAATTAGTATATAGTTTTAAGATGGTATTCGCTTATAAAACTCCATGTAATACTATTTAATAAATTACTACTAAAATACTGTTATATATTTGTAAGTGTAATGTTTTGAAAAATATTAATTAGAAAAACAAAAAATACAAAGTCATTAACTTTGACTAAGTTAATAAGTGTACTTTAAATACCTAGTAGTTTTATATAAATGCGGATCATTTTTATAAAGTATACAACATCGACCAATGAGTTATTTGTATTTTTCCATAATTGGGACTTGGACTAAATAATAATAATAAACAAATAAGGCAAATGTTACATTTGTAAATTAAATAATTATAATTTCATTTTGAAATACACTACTGTTGTATGGTAAACATTTTACAATTTTAATTATATTGATTTTATGTTTGGTAAAAATTACATTTGGTCCCATTTCTTTAAAATTCCTTCGCTTGGCCATATTTTATTAAGTTACAATTAATATTTATTTATGTGTCAGATACTATAGCTACAATTATCTATGATAATTACAGATATATACGGATACAGTTTTTTATTTCTGTATTTTTAATTCAAAATAATGAATAATAACAGTAACGAGATGATATTTTGTACATATTATTATGTTCCTTACCTACCTATAGGTACTGAACGATTTCCGAGTGAAAGTGGTCAACGAACGCGTAAGAAACCTGTTGGGTGCTCATAACAGCCAAATCCTTACATAATGTGCGTACATTATCCAGACATATACTCAGATGGAAAAAATGACCTAATATCTACCAGATCGGGTTATTGAACACATATGATGGTCGTCTTACGACAGTCACGACTATTTCCGGTAATTCCTGTATGTATTTTACAGTCCAATCTTATTGATTAAAATAATGTCCTTAACCGTTTTCACAAAAACTAATGCCAATAAGGTAGTCTAAAGAAAAAAACAAAACATAATATTACCTATGTATTTAGGTACATATTTCTTGCAAAACACAAATCGCTTTATGGAAAATGTAGACCAATAAACATAATAACCGAAAGTGGTATTTTACACCGTTTGTTATGTATAATATTACGCTGATTTGTTTAAAATAGTTTTATATTGTAAAAGACAAATACATATTTTATTATTTATATATTAGTCATTAGTGTGCATTAAATCTCAAAGGTCAATTGCATTCGATTTAAGTTACTGTTTACACGAGTAACTTTGTAGGTCGCACTAACGAAATATGAAATTAGTTTAACGATTTGTTTTATAGTTTAATTTACGTAGTTATACTCAATATTAATTAATTAATTTTATTATTAAAATATAGTGTGCCAACTACCAAGCGTCATACGATTATGTTGTAATAGTTCATTCAACTAATTACCCACATCTTTTCTATCATCTGATATGTAGCTAGGTATATCTATTGTTTTGTAATACAAATGTACCTATGTATATATGTTATTATATAGTAGGTACCTATTGTTTTAAAACATTATTAACTATATCAAAACCGCGACAAAAGTATTTTAATGATGCCTGGCAAAAAAGTATAATTAATTACTAAACAATTATAGGTATATTGTACATAATAAAATAATAATATTTGAATTATTTTTAATCCTTTACATATTTAGCACAACTATAGACAGCCCGTATAAAATATTTTCAAGAGATATTTTTGATATCCTATTTTGCTATTTGTATTGCATAAACTTGTAATATTCTAAATTAAGTCAGTAAAACTAAAAATAACAAATATAGTCGTACCGATAATCGTTTTTGTTATGATCCTCAAAATCGTAACAGTAATGACTTATATTATGACATTGAAAAAAATACCTTTTTGTTCAGTTTGTATGTAATTATATGGCGTGTATTATGGTGTAACGTTAAGAATGTTTTGGTTAACACTTTCGGAATAAACCAAATGTATGGACAATACAAATTTACAACTGTGTGAAATGAAAAATATTTAGAATCTATAATAAAAATTTAACTTATACATACCGTCGCGTACGCTTTAAGAAAAAACGATAGAATTGCACATGCGTCTCAGAAGCATAGAACGATACTAGTAGTAACTCTAACTAGTAGATACTGGTTGTTCAGTAATACATGTGACAGGACAGCCACTTGCTGATGGTAAACTGAAATACAGTGACGTAACCCTTTTACTTCATTCTTAATGCGTAACTGTTATAAGGGAGAGGTGGAAAGGAAGGAATAGCTGAACCACAATCTTATGGTGCATCCGTCGGACCAAATTAATTAAAGTTTGTGTAGAAATATTCTTATGATAAACTTTATACGATACAATAATATATTGCGCAAACACGCTACAATTGTTAAAGTTAAAGTTCTCGCAATAAAAAAAAAACAAAACGGTGTTGATACTTATCAATCAACATAATATAAAACGAGCTAAAATAGTTATTAGTATTCAAATCACCGTCGTGACAATAATAATTTGTAAATTTGAATTACCCCGCCAACCGAAATAGTGTCGAATAGACCAAACAAATTTATATATATATATAATATATTCTGCTGTAGGTATCTAAAGTTAATACAAGACCATAGGTTTTCAAATTCAATTATGTATTATACATTGTATATTAATTTTACTTAAGTTATTCACGATGTTATTTTATTCACCGGTAAAAGTAAAAATCTTTTTTTATTTTTTTTTGGATTAAAACAAAACATTTTTTTTTTATGGAATAAAGCAAAACATTATTTTTGTTTGGCACAGGGTTTTAATTCAAACGCAAATAATCCAAATATTTAAGCCCTAGTAATTTGCGCTTATATATATACGTCACTACAATCATAACTTCTTGTTATTACTTCATTTTCACGTTGAAAACACCGGTCACAGCTGTACTGTATCGAGCGCTTTCAATAGTGTTTATAATAATGTTCAATGAATTACACGAGGAGAAATTTGATCCAGACATGCAGCGTTATCTCAAGGTAATATTATTGTCGTAAATGAAGTGGTTCCGATTCCCTACCTCGCAAGCCACATAGCAACCTAAGTAGATTATTGGCGCAAAACAATTACCTACTCTCGGTTGGTCGACCTTCTATGGGTTTTATAATTTATTTTGTTATTTAATACGTTTACCAAAGCATACTATGAATAGAGACAGAACGAATCAAGTATTCAGTATTATAATAAATTAATTTCAGAACATATACAGAGTATAGACTACAGTGTTCTTAGAGTTGTTACTTATAATATTTGTTTACGAATACGTAGTTCTTTCGGAACGGCTGGAGTCTGTAGCTAAATTTTTACGAATCGAGCATAAATGCTTAGTTTACAGCCGGGTAGGCCATAATTCGGCCATTGATTTTAAAATCAATAGTCCATACTGTGTAGAAAAAATATTTCTTGTCTTCATTGTAAACTCTCTCCTCATTGTAAGTTAATTGCCGCTCTTTTACAGAATAGGTTCTTATTAAAAACTATGTCATGAGGCATTTATTTTGAGCCGAATAACTTATTATTTAGATTTTTAACTTTAATCTACCCCATGATCCCCCGACATCAAGAGGTAAAAACATTAACTGAAAAAACCGGTCATTTAAATTTTATATTCAACAATGGGTATGTTATATTATATGAATATGAATCATAATTTCTCATTAATCAGTCCTTAGACTTTAACTTAGGAAAGAAAAAAATTTTGTATTAGAAGATATCAATGAAATCATAGATTAACCGAATACTCAAGAAGCCAAGGCTAAAAGTAAGAATCTCTGGCTATTAATATTTGTATAGGTACCTACTTAAATGTATTAGGTGTCTAATGTTATACATAACTCAATTTCTCAAAAAATTGCCCTTATTTCTCTGGGATTTGGGATACATGTAATTTTATTTATCGTTGTACATCGTCTAATGCCGACGCGCGATTCATTATTATCCAGTCTATGATTAACTGCGCCCGCACATGGATTGATCATATTTTTATAATTTCACAATAGTTTTAAATTTCAACAGTGAATCAAGTAATACGGATAAAATACTAAATAGTCATGTTACAATTGCTTATCGATAGTAAGTAAAAGTCTATCTGGGCTTTATAGTAGGATATTTTGCACTTCAGGTTAGGTTAGTAGCATGAGCTGCCGCCTTAGTTTTGTGTATCGTTTGATACGGTTTCGGGAACGTTGTGTTAATATTTTGAAACATTTTAATGGTATTTCTAAAACTTGATATAGTTCATCATCCTAATATATATTTTTGAAGGAATACATGTGTACTACACATGTTAAGTCTTTGGACTTTGAGTACCAATATTGTTTTAGCACCGTGCGATTTAGTTGGGGCTGGCATGAGGTGTTTCATTCTTTCAGTTTGGCTAGACAAATTGATTAGGTCTTAAGTAGTTTTGCTAGGTGTTAAAAATTATCCAGGTATTCTTATGGTTGTATCATATACCATTTCTGCAACAGTAAATTTTAAGTCTTCTTTAATATTGTTTTTATTCCTAGAAGTAGGTACAATAAGGAGGAGGTCTATCCAATTATTAGTTTCCCAACTCCCAGCACCTGATTGCATTTTATGGCCGCAAAACTCGCACAGGGGACAAGGATTTTGAGTTGAACTCGTAGTAGAATTATAAAATTTGTACAGCACACATAATGTACTTTAGCTGTGTTATAGCGTTTTGATTTTTATCCTTACGCTTAATCTTCTCATTGAAATGTTTTTCTTTTAATCTAACGGATCGTAAATTATTAAGATATATAACTGTCCAGAATAATTAACATTGAACGATATTATCACAGTTTCACTTAAAATGCAAATTATTGGTACGCTTGAATACATATCCAAAAATAAAAGAAGTTCTCAAGCCTCCAAGTCAAATATTGCTTAACATTAAAAAGGCTTTCATAATACAGTAAAGCCCAATGTATTTATTTTAGATTCTAGATGCACGTAAATTCTACAGATAGGTTAGTATATTTTTCTATGGTCTATATATATAAAGACTTTTTGATAATAACAAGTATCTAAAGTTTAAATAATTCTATTTCCAAATTTTTAATATAACAATGTTTGTCGTATAAGCTATAAAAAAACAAATAAATTATAAGTAAACAAGTCTATTTAGTTAAATATGGAATTCAATAACATTTAATTGATCAAATCGACAATATTATTGTAATTCAAAAATATAGAAGAAAAAAAAAATAATACACAATCGCACTTATACAAAATTGTAAATTAATGCCATCATGCATTTAAAGTGTGTGTAGTAGTAAAACAAATTGCAACTATTTTGGTAATACACAAAAAAAAAAACATCAACAATTTTCAAATATGAAAACATTTACTGCAGGGAATAAAAATAATTTGGAGTTCACGAAAAATGATAACTATCATTCTTTAGTTTTCAGCACGAATTAAGATATCTTAATTCGTTTTCAGATATTTAAATGATTATAATTACCTATCTAAAAAAATAGATAACTGAAAACACTTATTTACATTTGGAAGTATCATTTAAGTTGAAAATTATATCCAATTTTTTGTATAGTATTATCTCATATCTGTTGATTTTTGAGATCATAATGCCTACCTGAAAAGGACAAAATACAAATTATCCAAAACATTTTTAACTTTATATTTGAGGGAACAATAATGAAAGTATAGATGCACACATAAATTATTATCTTTTTTTTAAGTTTGAATGGATTAATTGAATTTATTGAAAATGGTTTCAATAAAAACAAAAATATTATATATTGTCAGCCTATTTAGCAAACAAAGGACGTACCTCCAAAAAAATCAATTTCAGTATACTACACTATTTGAAAGAAAAAAAACTGTACTTCGGCTGGTATAATGATTATATATATATTTTTCTATGAAATGTGTGATTAACAGTAAGTAATTGTTATTGAAATAAATAGAATAAATTAAACGTTTTCCTTTTAGTGTGAAATTTGGTATTTTGGAGTTACGCCTACTGCTAAATAGGCTGACAATATTATGCTTATAAAAAACTGTACACTACATTCACGAATCACGTTTTTCAATTTTTTAAGTGATTTTATACCTTATGAACAAAAATCAAATTAATAAAAAGTTTTTATTTCAAACAATAATATGTAAAGAAAAACAAAATGCATTAATCGTAGGTATTTATCAAAATGAGAAAAAACTGTTTTTAATAAATATGTACAATTGCATTTCACGCTTAAATTTTAATGGTAGTTTTTTATTAACACAATAATAAAAAAAATCTATAAAAACTGTTTATTTTAAACACTTTACTTATAGATTCTATTGGGGGGTTTTTGGACGAAAAAATATACATTAAAAATAGTTTGATAAATACAGAAAAAAGCAGTAGATGTTTATTAGTGAGTTTATAAAATTAAAAACTAATCGTTTTCTTTCTATCAACAATAATATTAGGAGGTAAAACAAAAGTTGTGCAACTAATTTGGATAAGGAGATGGTAAATGATATAAATTTGTTGTCATACTATATTTTAAAGAAATTTTATAGGTAAATGAATATAACTCCAATACCTATTAAATCCCTTGACTTAAAACTGATTAAGTAATACTCAAATAGGAACTTAAAAAGTTATATAATTTTAACTTGGTTTCATTACTTAGAAGATGTTGCAGTTTCTTGGTTGTCATCACTTTCGTCATCATTTTTAGCCATCATCATATTTAGTCTAAATTCTGCAGCTTTACTACTAATTGGAGAATTTACAGTGACTGTCACTAAGTCGGTATTGAATTTCAGGAGTCCATCAGCACATTCTTCTCTACTTTTTTCTTCTAACCTACTCTCGTGGTATCTGCATTGCATTTCTTTTAGTATCCTACATTCTTCTTCTAGTCCTGCTATTTGTTTATTACATTGTTCTTTTACCCTTTCTATTTCTCGTTTTTCATTTTGTACAGAAGTGTCCTTAGTCATTAACCTCAGTTCAAGTTCTACTATCCGTGCATTTGAAGCTTCTAATTGAGCAATTTTTCGGTCCAACTTTTCTTGTAGCTCTAAACAACACAAATTAAAAACAAAAATAGTTATCAACAAATGAAATAAAACGAGTAATATATTATTCAACATACTAATTGTGTGGTGTTTATAAGAATTTTGACTTAACATGGCTTTAGTAGCATCGTGTTTGAGAGAATTTACATGTCTCACAATGTCACGTTGCCGAGATTGAATTTCACCACTAATATTAAGTTCTCGCTGCAAAATGGTTACGGTATTTTCAAGTTCTTTACTTTTATCAGCAGCGGCTCGAACTATATTGAGTTCACTCTCTGTGTTAAATAACTCTGCTTTAGTAGCAGATAATTGCTTAAAAATAAATAAATACATTTTTTTATTCTGAATTATTATACATTTATGTTTTGTTTTACACTAACTTTGGTAACTTCCGAAGTCTTTATTCTCTCCCCGTTATACAGTTGCTCTAATGCTTTATAGTTATTGTTAGCTTCTTTTGTTTCCTCTTGATACATAGAACACTATAGAAATAAAACAAATTGTTGGATAAACATTTTTTTGTAACAAATACTATAACAGTTACTCACTTCAGTTTGCCAATGTGATACACTATCTTTGAGTTCATTAATCTGATTTCTTGTATACTGCCTATGTTTTTCAAACTCTGAAGTAACATTTTCGAGTTCAGTTTGCAACATTAAAACTTGATCTTTCTGAAGGCAACAAAAATAATTTTTAATTTTATAATAATAACACTTTCCTTGATAGCAAATTGACATTTTACCAAAGCAGAATTATGTTCATCAAGTGCTCGACTAGTGCGCGACTTTCCCAATAGCCTTCGATTACGTTCAGCATGAACTTCTCTACGATTGCGTTCAAACTGTAACTGCAAAACTAAAAGGGAGACTTGATCCTTTAACAGTTTGACATCATCACACGAAGCTGCAGTTTGACGATGATTTTGGACTATTGCAGACGTTCGTACATATTTTTCAATCAAACCCAACGATTCGTCTTCCCGAAAATGTGGGCTAGATTGATGATTCCTATTGCCTAGTATAATTATTTTTATATTGTAAAACATACTTTATAAAATATAAATTATGTAGTTTAAAATCTTACAATTATTTGAATCGTTGTAGGCTGGAAACAAACAATAAAACAAATGTTCATATGGTAAAATATTTTCTGTTTGTGTAGAAATTGAACGAGCTTTGGTTACCTTATTTTCTGTGTTGCAACTATTTTTCTACAATATAAAACATTATTTTAATTTTTATATATACTTAGAAATATCTTTAAAAATAATACTAGAGTAAAATAAAATATCACAAAAAAAAGATTATAAAAAATAAATACATTTAATGTTATAGATAAGTCTTACTCTATGAAGACATGAGTGTCCATTACTAATATTAATATTGTCGCCATGATCATCTTCACTTTCCTCTTGTAATGGAGTAGTACTAGATGATAAAGTACTTCCATTTGTCTTTTTAATTTCAGGACATGAATTGGCTCGTCTCACATTAAGAGAAGAAAAATCAGAACATTCATTAGGACTACTACCAGTACTTTGTCCTAAAATAAAATAAGGCCTATTAATTGGTTCAGTGATTAAGCATGACAAATTAAGCTTGATCATTAATATCAATCAAATAACTATGAACATTTTGAAAATGTATACCAATAAAGCACATGGTTTTTTCAGGTGTACACTGACTGTGATAACGTCTTCGTGTTCGAACGCTAAAAATAAACTCCTTAAACGAAGCAGAGTCAGGCATATGTAAGCCACCCTTATGAGTCTGACATGGTGAACCATTACTTTGTTGATCACACTCAACCAAATCTTCATCCCCAGTCTAAAGAAAAATTGTATTATGTATAATATATTTAAACACACTTTGTGATATTCATGCAAAAGGTGATAAATCTATTGTACATATTTACTTAAAGAATATAATTCATTATACTTAACCTTAACATTTGACTTAAGCTTAAGCATGGTTTAATACAAATACCAGGTGTTCAGAATTTCAGTTATAAAAAATTATCAAAGTAAAACTTGTTTGATTTTCATCAAACAATAATAATTTTAAATGTTTTAAATGTAGTATTTTTTCTTCAGTCAGAAAACAGATTTAAGGGGGGGAGGGTAATTTTTAAAACTCAAATGGTACAATGTATACATTTAATTAGTTGTTTTAATTATTAATAAATTGCAGAAAATTTAGACTGCTCTAAAAGTTTTGAGTCATTACTTTAAGTTATTACAGTCAAATATTAGGACGGGAGATTGAGTGCGGTAGAGTATAGCTATACGCGCTTAATCTACTGCACTCCACCTCCCATCCTACCCTTTAACCTTTAGTAATTTAAAAAGTAACTATCCAAGTTTGGTTATCAACCAGGCAAAATTTTCAGCAAATTATTTATATTAAAATGGCTATCTTGAATTAAAAAAAAAATTAAAAAAAAATAGTTAAGTGCAATAAAAAAACGTGGTGCTTATAGCGCAAATAAGTATAAATTAATTAAATAAAAAAAATCTTTTAAATATTCACTATACTCTGTTCAAAATAAGAAGTGACATGCGTAGAAACGTAAACGCACTATTTTTGGCTGAGCTGGCGCAGCAAGGTGTGACGCGTTTCTATCTCTGCGCATGTCACTTCTTATTTTAAAACGAGTATAGAACAAAAGTTATTTCATTTGTAGAATCATTGTGGAGCACCTTGTATACATACCGGGTGATTCTTTTTATGCCCTACACTAGTTTACTCTTAAAAGAATTGTAATTTTGTAGTGTTTCTTTTTGAAAAAATCTACACTTATGTTATAGTACAATATTAAAATTTTTTTCTTTTTTAATATTGGCTAGAGCTTAAAAACTTTTGAAACTTAAATGATAACATATATGTTTAATTGATTATTTAAACTAAGAATAATTTACTGAAAATGTTGACTGATCGATAACCAACTAGTTTTGAATAATTATTTTTAAAATTATTTAAATTTAAAATGGGAGGTGGAGTACGTGTGTGCGGTTGAAAAATGCATGCAGATGCCAAATAAAATTAACTTTACTGTCTACCTTTCCTCTCGTCCTAAATTATAAACTTTAATAACTTTAAAACTATTTGTTCAAAACTGGTTATCGAACAGTTAAAATGTTCAGCTAATTATTCTTAGTTTAAAAAGTTAATAAAATATATAGGTTTTAAAAGTTGATAAAACTCTAGAGGATACTAAAAAAGATAAAAATTTGAAAATTGTCTAACATTGTAATATAGCATAAACAAAATTTTTTTCAAAAAGAAAAACTACAAAATATCAATTGCTTTGAAATAAAACTGGTGTAGGGCATTAAAATAACTATTACAATGATGTACTTAGAATTCACATTTAAGTTTAAAAAATCAGCTGATCTATTACCAGTCTCTTATGTAAAATACATAACCCGTAAATAGTAATTTTTTAATTCCACAGCTTAATTATCATTAAATAACTAAACGAAAATATGATTTAAAACATTATTGTCAACAATTAAATAAATACCTGCAAAATTTCTGGACTACTAATCAATTGAATTTGAGAATTAATTGGTTTAGACTCGGACCGTGTATTTTCCTCTTTATTAGTCTCAGTTATCTAAAATATAATAAGTGATATACTAATGCTAATACCATAATATAAATATTTTATAATACTAAAAAATTGTATAATTACTTAACTAGTACGGTAAAATTACTGAAGATTATTTTATTTTTTGTTTAAGCCTATTCTACCTGATTACGTTCCATTAGCATTCTGTCCATTCTACGGACAAGTGCCTGTGATTGAATTCCTTCTGGGGGAAAAACAAACCCTTCTTTTTTCAATGGCGAACTAGGTTGAGAGTTTGATGTCAACGAGTTACGTCTAGATAAGTTTTCTAGACCAAATGAATTCAGCGCTCTGACTACAGTGGAGTTTATGGGTGGCATTCTGGATTGTTGGTATATAACGTCCTTTCAACATTTTTCGACATAAGGCAAAATATAGTAATTTTGTGACATAAATTAAGCGACAGCCGAAAAATACATGAATGTAAACTACCACCATAAAGATATATTAGGAAATTTAACAGTAAATGCAAAAAGCTAAAATAATTTTAAAATGTAGAGAACCTTGCGTAAAATATAAAACTATTATTTACTATACTGTAGTAAGTAAATAAAATATAATGAAGAGTCTATTCACAATTAACCTTATCAGGTTCACCTTAATGTCTACTGCTTCATCAACTTTAGTATAATAATTAATTATACTTATACCCAATTCAATGAATGTTATATACATTTTTTTTTTTTTGTTAGGTTAAAGTTGTTAGACAACATAAATATTAATAAAAAAAAACATTGAGATTAATGGAACATAAATAATTACACATATTAATTGTTTTTAAGTTACAACAATATAAAAATCAATCTTTCTCTTGAAGGAAACAAGTTAGATCATGAATATGTCTACTTTTGCCCTTTGCCCTCACTTTCAATTTCTTCTCCTCCTCTCTGTCATAAAAAAAAAAGCAAGAAAATTGGCAATTCGATAGAGCTCCAGCCGTTAGATTTATAATAATATGATACACCTAAATATTATATTATATAATAATTTTAATAGAAGGTATTCATAAAAACATTTTAATTAATACTATATTTTATACTCGGTCCCAAATAAGATGACTTGTAGTCGCGCACGGTGGGCTAACAGGCCGCACATCGGTATAAGCACTCCTATGTCTATTCCGATACAAAACAAACGTAATTTAGTCAATCGCACACAAGTTGTTTTAATTGAGACGGAATATACATAACAATGATTTTTCTTTATATATCCAACCCTACATTCAGTAGACTTATTTCAAAAGATACAACAAAACCAAACACTATGTTTATTGTATTTTAAATATTAGTTATCATTAAAAAATAGTTAAATATTAAAAAATAAACAATTGTTTAGTTATGCTATTAATTTAAAACAAAATTATATGATATGTCCACATAGAATTGGAGAGTGGAGACTAATGTACTTTGTAAATGGTGATGTCAAAAACTTAGACAAGATGGTAATCAAATGCATTAAGTATACATCCAATTTTAAAGTATTATATATATTATATTATAGCAACTTATAGTTGAGATAAGAAATATAGTATACTGCACAAGCGTTTGTTATTATTTATAAAAGCTGTATAATCTATGTTGTCAATAATTACCCTGATAGGAGTAGTTTCTGGTGTTGCTTCTATTGCTGCTTCAGGTGGTGAATTTTCACTGTTATTTAAAATTGCAGTATAATAGGTCTAAAATAAAATAACAAATAAAATAACCACTTATTCTTAATAATATAATTGTTACCTGAATATTTGGAGTGGTGGGTATAGATTGAGCAGATTCACTATGAAATTCACCACAATGTAACATCGGACTCCATATTTCTGTTCCTTTAGTGTAATTTGTATTTATACTAGTAACATCTCCAGCAGCTTCTACACTTGATTTTAATTTACCTAATAAAAGAGTTATATAATATATGGGGGTCGTTCATTGGAAAAGCTCCAATTTTTTTTAAATAAACATATTGCTGCTTAATGGAGTCACATTTAGCGATATCTTTTATTATAAAAGAGAAGCAACTCATAAATGTAAAAATTAATAGAAAATTTAAAATAACCAAATGAATACTAGTGTATTTGTTTTCCTACACATTAATTTACAAAAAGCTCGTTATTTCAAAATTCAATTGTAAGAAGAATTTTCACTTTTATAATGAACGACACATAATAAAAATAAAAAACTATATTATTACTCCTATCCATAATTGGGATTTCAGCTATCACTTTAAGAAATTGTTAACAACTTAATACTTAACATAATTAAAAATAGTGATGTGTCAAGCCAGAAATTAAATTATTAAACATTCAAGTACCTATTATTTCAAACTTAAATCAAACAGAACTGAATCACTTTATAATTTCAAACCATTAAAAAACGAAAAAAATATTCGAATTAACAACATGTTGTTTTTTTAAACAAAAACATGGAAACACCGAAAAACCTGAAATTAATTTAATAATCTATGCAAACTTTGGCCTTTTAAGACTATATAAAGTGTACTGTTTTAAACAAGTCGTTTACTTCAATTCTTAAAATAATAAAATGTTATTGTAACTAACACGGCACAGGTAAAGTTGATTTTAATAGTTAACTTAACATTTTTTACACACTACAAATAATACAATAATAATGATAATATTTTCTTTAAACTTGAGTAATTTTATAATTAATTGTTATAACTTTAATGTCATTTGAACTTATATTTAAAATTTTTGTGTCATATCTTAACCGTTATTTCAAGATTATAAATTATATAATACATTTTATTTATATTGTCAATAATGTAATTTTTGTAGAATTAGTTCTTCATACTAAAGTAATATTATCTACAAACGGTGTTCTAGTACACTAAAGAGAAATGTTCACTCCTTGAAATTACTGTATTTAACATACTTTTATTAAACATACTTCTATTAAATTATAACTTTTTCCTTAATTTTTTGTTTTTTTATTAATAAACATTTTATACTTCAAAATTAAATTACCAAGCGCAGATGAAAAATTTGATTCAGCATTTGTCCATGATGATGAGTTTTGATAAATTCTATCACCATTTTCCATTAATGTGTATCTTGTACATTCCATAACTACATCGTGCTGCTCCATTTTCTTCCACCTATAGCATAACCAATTAAAGCCACTTCAGTTATAATTAATTCAACAAATATTATACTTAAATAATATCTAATTATAATTATCAAGATACCTAGCAGTAGATGTCTCTATGTCCTTGGAGCTTATTACCAAACTAGGATGCATACGCATAGTTTCTAACATAGGCTAAAAATAACAAATATATATTTTAATAATACTTAAATATACAACAATTAACATGATTTATACTTTTTACTATATCTTAGGGATATATTTATGTTCTAAAGAGTAAAATATTTATTTTATAGAGGTATATTTTATATGGCACTATTTAGTCCGAAATAAAAATATGCACATCTTAAACGGATAATTCATTCTGCAATAATATTGAAGTTTAAGTATTATACCAGAGATGAAAAGAAAATGATAGTATTGAGGTGAATGAGCTGAGGGACTAGAACAAGAATTATATAAAATTTGGAAATTCAAATTATAAAAAAAATGTTCTTACTTTTATTGTATGGCTAAAAACTACTTGGTTATCCTTTTTACTATACTCTTGTTTTAGGAATAAAACAAATGAGCATGGATACATGCTATACAGCTGGACAAATAGTACATATAATGATATTTGAAGGTGAAATAAATGTATTTCTGGAGCTCGGTTCTTATTTGATGTATTCCAAGCAGCTAAACGACTAAGCAATAAATTGTATATTTAGATGATTGTATATGTCATATATTACATTATTAATTTACATACCTAAAACCTTCAAAAATATCAGGTAAACTTGAAGCAATTAATGCAGGAATGACAGTAAGTAAAACATTTAAGACAAGTAATGCACTGGTTATGGTAATTATTTCATTTTCAACCTGTCAAAAAAACATTTTTTTTAAAAATATTTTTATGATAAAAAGTTGTATTATTACCTTTAATAGTCTTATTAAATCCTTAATTAAGGGGTGATTTGTAATTTTGAACAGCCATGTTGGCTGTCTTTTCACTACATGGCCAAGTAATGTAAGTGCTTGAAGACGACTTGTACCGCGTAAACCATCACCAAGTCTACAAAGATAAAAAATTTCAATATATATTCCTTTAGATTAAATAAAAAATTTGAAAATTTATTAAGTGTTTGCATACAAATACAAGTATCAAAAATCTTTGAATTTACCTATCAAAAAGGTATTTGTCATGAGGTTCTCTAATAGCTACTAATACTTCAACTGCCCTCTGGGATCCGGTTGACATAAAATAATCATACATTCCATTCAATAACCATGGCTCTCGTACTGTTAAAAAGTAATTTTTAATTTATTTTAAACAATTTTATTCAGTTTTTATATAAACATCTAGCTTAAGAAATTGAAACTTACTATTGTTGAATTGTTCATGGAATTTATGTTTAACATCTTCTACTTCGCGTGCTTGATTAGATTCCAGAGCGGTAAATAATTCCATCACTTCCATAGCAATCATTTTTGCAAATGTACATCATACAATTACTATTATTTTCACTAAAAATAATATGATATAATATTAAATCATATGATTATAGTGTTATAACTATTAAACATGTTTAATATTTTTTAACAAAAATAAACTAGGTGTTATATTATATTGTACCTACAAACAAAGTAGTTTTTCGAGAAGTCAAGAGTTTTTGATTTAAATGTACATAATTTCAAGACATATTTGATGTTCTTGGGATTTTCTCTCTGTTATTATAACTGTATTTTGTACAAGTGTCATTGATATATTTTTTAATTATTTGATCTGTAAACAATATCATATTTTAACAACATATTCAACTAAAATCAAATCACAATAAAATTGAATACTAAGTTAATATTTCAGTTCTTTTATTTCTTGGATTGTCAATGAAATATAGTTAAATTCAAATAGAAATCAACATAGGTAATGGAAATCACTAGTTATTAAAAATTATGGTTGGAATGAAAATAGATATATAATTTAAAAACAAAACACAAAAAAGTTTATTTTATTATACCTATTTGTTCATGAAAACGAAGTGATATTTTAAAAGTAAACTTACCATAATAAAACCATTATATTATTAATTAAAGTTGATTTGACAAACACTTTCTCGGTTTTACACTAAAAATCTTTTATAAAATGTTATTGATTTTAAGGATAATAGAGCGATCAGCGACCTAAACAACAGTTATAAAATCAAGACGAAAGCAAAATGTTCTTCATTTTCTATTGTCAATACTACATGGTATTAAATTTGGTTATAATATAACATAACTAGTTGCAGAATGCAGTATAATATAATATTATTACATTATGTACATATCATTTTTTATTAGTATTCTTACCATTTTGATAACGGACACAATGCATCCAACATTTAACTAGAGTTGATCAGATGTTTAACACTTTCAAGGTCAGTCCATATCAGTTATCGATCATTTACATATATCTGTGATTACAAATTATTATTTTAATAAAATTACGTGGCCTTTTGATTTGATAATAGTTATTAGTTAATAGTTTTCAATTTTCAGTTGATAAAAGAAAAATAATATTAAAATATAAAGCAAGACGTGCTTATTTTAATTGAGTTATTCTCACTTAATTTATACATAGTTTAATACGGAATGGTATAATTTTTAATAAATTAAGTAGGTCATATCAAAACAAAAGTCAATCGAATTAAACCTTAAAACAATAATATTGGAATAGAAATTTCAAGTATCAGTATGGTTTATGTTGATCAAAGTAAGATTAGAATTTATTTTAACAAAGTTTAGTACTATTACTTTTTCTATATCAGTAACTAATTTACAATATTAAAATTGTGTTTAAGGTGGAAGTTTACAAAACACTGTGCCTCTGAAAAAAAAAATTGTTGATACATTATGGGGTGTTGTACATTTTGTTCAGTATTTGTAAGTAAAAGAGAATTAATATTCAAACTCTATTTTAGATTGTTATGTTTGTACCATAATTAATATTTCAATATAACACTTTTAAACATTTGTAGTGAGCATTTCAAAACTTTTAAATAGTACATATTAGATTATGACGTATGCATTAGAAATATTGAATACATAATACATTTAAGAAAAAAATAGTATTACTAATTAAATTTCCTAAGAATTAAATTAGTTAATTTGTGTTGTAGTTAAATTATGTATTACATTTTAAACATTTGTATACTTCCACAGTGTCCAGAGTTTAATTAATCCAAGTTCAACAAGATGGGGAAGTCAATATTCTGTTGATTATAGAAGACCTGGATCAACTGGAGGGTAAAATATGTTTATTATTATATATTAAATTACTGTAATACTAGTATCATTCAAATATTATTTTCTGACCCAAACTTTTCTGTTTTGTTGACCATAGCAAATTGTACTGCTTAATTTGTCTAAGTTGAAAAGTTACAATTATTTTTCCAGTATTTTTTAATATAACGAGTTACTTTTAAGTAGTACTAACTTAAAGAGCTACGTTTGAATAAAAAATAACACTAGGGTAACTAGTTATTTTTCAAAACCACAAATTTATTTTGTAAAATTCATTAACACAAATTGATGACCTACTTTTACTAAAACAAAAATTAATGAACAATTAGAGTATATCTTTAAAAAAGATGTTTTTATGATGCCAGTTTTAGTTTAACAGTTTTTGAATAATAACTATTAAATAGTATTTTTTGTAATATTAAAAAAAATGAATTACTTCTTACAGACCCCCAAGACCACAAAGACGTTTTGGTGGATTTGGACCTAGTAGATCCGGCCCAGCGCCACCATCAACATGTAGTAGTTGTATGGGGTGAAAACATGAAAGCTTTTATATTATTCTTGTAATCTTAAAATTTTACTATGGTAAATTAATATAAACAGAGAAGATAGAAGATAATAATGTAGATGAAATTAGCATTCTCACATATAAACTTTGTAACACCTTTTATAAAATATACATATTAAATATAAATGTTATGTGTTTTATATTGATAAAATTATGAATGTTTACTAATATACTTATAAGTATATAAGTAGTAGTTTTACTAACATAAGAAAATAATATGCATTTCTATTCTGATTCTAACCTAAATGTATAGAGTAATATGTTAATTTGTTAAGTGAAGTAATATTAATATTTTTTATTTCCTTGTAAAATTAAAAATATAGTAATAACTGTGTAAGTTCATAAATAAATTAAACACTGATAATAAGTACTATTTCTTCGATTTAAATTTAATACAAATTACATATTTATTATATTATAACTATAAATATATTTAATTGTACTAGTTATAACTTATATATTTTATTTAAATAAAGACATTTTTTATTTTATAGATTTAAATTATATTTATACATACATAAGTATATTAATTTATAACTGTATACATATATATATGATTATATGATTATATTACATATATATATGACCTTTTTTATTTTTTTGACAAAATTGTTTGATTGATTGGGAAAGAAGCTCATGTTAAGACGTACAATTTTCTTGTATCGGTTTTACTTAAAAAGTATTTTTAATTTATCGTTTAAAATAAATGTATAAAAAGTTGCACAATAGAGTTAGGGCATAGTAGGGATGGAGCAAATTGGGGCGGTCACAGGCCTATATGAATTATTGCAACTGAAAGTGATAAACTCACTTACAAATAATCGATTTGATGTAAACTTGAATGGTAGAATTAAAAATATTGAAAAAATCGTTGTAATGGCATAACGTGCTAAAAAATATATTTTTGTATAAGGGTGGATACAATGGGGTTGACCGTCTTTTACTTAGATTGTTATCTTTGTATATGTTTTGTGAGTATATATTGTTTTTATTATAATTATTTTTTTTTATCACAGCCTATTATTAAAGGCTTAGGTTCAGTAAATGCGTTAATATTTGATACAAATTAATCAGATGTACGATTATCACTACCTTTAGAACTGTTGTAAATTAAACAATGCACGACTACTCATGTTATAGCAAATAGCGCGCCCGCCGAAAGAGTAATCCCTAAAACTTTATCTATAAAATCGAAGTAAAGAAAAAAGTTCCACCCCTTCTAGGGGAAAGGGTTTATGATATTTGTTTGGTTTGTCAACGTTTATCGCTAGTAATATTCCTAAGGAATATTTTATAGAAATATGGAACTAATTCGACTTATTTAAAAAACATGTATAGAGTGCTATCATTTTAAGTTGAAAAATATGTAAACTTTTTGAGTGTTTTTTTCGAGTTTGAAGGTGAACTTTTCTACTTCTACCACCAATGTACCAATCGCATATGAATACGGGTCGATAGAGTTGCTACTCAACTAGATCATCCACAGGAAAACACAGGATCTATTATCTTTTTCACATTGTTGCTTTTTACCCGTTAAATGGCAGCGAAACTCAAGTTCACATAAAAACAATGACGGTGTCTAATCTAAGCATCTAATCGATGCTTAAGTGACACTTAGGCATTGTTGGTGTAAACATTAACAAGTCCACACTTAATAAGTATGGATTTGGCTTAAAAACTAAAAATTTGGTAGTTAATGTTCTAGTGTTAAACATTTGCCCATGATTACTGCCCACACTCCACTAATTATATCTAATACACATATATCTAACCTAAAATAACTGTAACGTCATCTTATGTTTATAATTCAACCATTTAAAAACAAATTCTCATTTTATTTTTAAAACCCATTTACTAATGAGTTTGATATATTTTTACGCTTATGTGCCCTTAAAAATAACTAGGGATATTTAGATTGGTTCACAATTCATAGTATAGGTATTTTGCAAAAAAACGAAAGCAGAAAAAGTGGTCAATATCACGTGCTAACGTAGGTATGTTATTTGGACCGAACTTTAATATTTAAATCTTAAAAGTTTTAACCTATTGTTATAATATAATATTATAGTTTTATGGTTTTAATAAGAATTTTACTTTTTTTTTTAATAAATAATTTTAACATTTATGGGTGTTAAAAGTATCCAAATTATAGCTTTGTATTCATTAATTTTATACACACTGTATTTTTATATACTTGACTAACCTAGTAACATTAGGTTAATGTGCTGACCTACAACACCATTGTTCTTAAATTTAATGAAAAAAACATATAAAATGAAAGGTCATATTCGGAGTTTAGCAAGAGTACATTTAAATTAAATTAATCTTTTAGTTTTACGTAGTTAAAACGACTATATTCAAAAATCGAAACACAACTAAACATTTTTTTTTCGGTGATTACTTTAATATAAATGAGTTTATAAATGATTCATGATTGTTAAATAATATTTTTTTTTTTTGTTATATATTTTGGGACTAGCCCACAGGCTAAAAGTATTGTATGTAACACTACTATGTAAAACTTAAGTGGTATTATATTTAAACACATTATACGTATTTTACTGTATAATTTGTTTTAATGTAATTTAGAAATCCAAAATAATTTAAAATTTGTTACTTACAATTTTTTAAGAACCTCTGAACCTAAATCTATAAAATCTTACTCTATAAGCGAGTTCAATATGGACGCTATATTTTAACGAGATCCTAATTATATTTTATACAAATCTTAGCCATACACTTTTTATAGCACCTTCGCTGAACTAAAAAAAAGTTCCACAGATAATTTAGAGATGAACATTACACACTTTGACGTTTAAATGATTTAAAAAAAAACTATTTATACATTTTTTAATTGATAGTTCTCTGTATAATTATTGTAAGAAAAGCTCCAATTTTAAACTTGCGCATGACCATTACATTATAATTACGTCAACAGGTGTTTTGAGGGTGATAGAATTTGGTTTCTTAATTCAATGTGTGTATTGTTTTATATTTTTAATACAGTCAATTATTTAAATTAATATTTATTAGTATTATGGCTACTTGATAATAGGGTTTCTATTGTTCATAAATTTGTGCGCAAACGAAATGTTTTTTAGGTAAATGTGCACAATATAGATGTAGCCAGAGATGAGAATTTTTTATTTAAGGGGGCAAGTCGCGTAAACAATTTTTTTTTTTATTTCTTAGAATATTAGTTTATTATCTGTAGAATGTTCTCTTAAATTTTCAAATTGAAATTTAAAGTCTAAATATACCTATAGAATATTATTATTATATATTATTAATATAGACGCGCACTAGTGGCGCGTCCTAAACTATACCTACGACCGCGCGCGTAAACGCTTTACCTTTCCGTCTATTGGCCAAATATACTTGTTGTTATAATTGCAATTTTTAATAA